TTTGTAATTACAGTCTTCAATCGTTATTGCAAGATCCTAATGGAATGATTTTCTTGTAGCTCTGTGAATAAAATAAGTCCCTCTTAATTCAGAACACTTCATTAAAATATCCTACTATACAATACATAGTTGGGGGACGAATAACTGAGGCCCAGACAGCTTTATAGAATTTATGTCCACAACAGATTTCAAATATTTGGGTACCACGGAAAAAGACCCTTTAGACGGCCTTTTGCAGGTTTTCAGATAATTGATACAAGAAAAATTTCACTTATATTCAAATTCATGAGATGTGGGTTTGATTTTGATTTTTCTGTGCAATGTACCGGTAGATAGACGGTTATTTTAAAAGTCTGTTTCCTGTCAAATATTTCTTTCTTCGTTTAAATTAATTTCTTTCTTTGCGTAGTAATATTTGGAATTTATCACATGTACAACTCGCCAACACAGGAAACATGTTTTGCAGTTAATTAACAAAATTAATACCAGGCACGATTGTATTATCAACCAGTCATCCAAGGCTAATTAGTGAATCCGATCTTGTATCAGTACGATTGTTGATGTTTGTTATTAAACGGCTGCCAAAGAGAAAAGGGAAAGCAGTTTATAAAGGAAAACTGACCATGTCTTGAAAGAGTATGTGTTATAAATCAATGCCACTCCATGTACTATGGGCAATGTTCATGATAAACATTGTACATAAAATCGTCAAAATCGTACACTAGAATGGCCTGTTGAAATCGTTTCACAAATCAACTTTTTTGCTTATCACAAAAAGGTGGGGAGATACATACCCTACCCCCTCAGGATTTGTGTTAATGAGAAAAATAAATTATTGGCAACAGTACTTTCCAACATTACTTTAGTCTAAGGCCCGCCCCCAGGAAATGCTGTGTCAATACTATGGAGGTGACTTTACAACATTCTGTGTTGACCGGTCACTGCTGCTATACCCATTTCACTTTGTTAACCAATCAACTGTGGCGATTACCTGACCGCAAATAACGTGGGTTACTGCCCATGTACAGCCTGCAACCCAACCCCCCAGATCTCGTTTAGGGCAAAAAACCGCAAAACCCATTATAAAGAGTAAGTTAGGGCAGGATTAAGGTACCAACTTTTACGACAGTGTGCTGGTAATGAGTAGGAATGCACAGGAAATGAGCGTGAATGTCCGGTTGTAAATTTGCAAACGAAAGCTCTGACAGTATCTATGAAGGCAGTCGACGGAAGACAGTTCCAATGATAGAGCATCCAGTTTATAGACGATTGCAGTTGCACGTGAACAGGCACCATGTGTACATGAGTCGAGGTAGAACGCGTTGAGGTCGTGAGGTCGGGTCAGTGACCTCAAACATGCTGCATAAAGGGACCAGCAAACCGTGGATTGCGTGGAAGTCCGCATAAATTCTGACACCATGTTTCGTTATGTCGTTAATCACTTTATGGTAGGGCTGATGTCGGTAAAATGAATGATATCTCGAAGGAAGGAGACAAATACAGTGTGGTTACATGATGCACACTTAGGTTATTTTCAGATTAAGGAGACCTCATGATAGTGCCCTAAACAGGGCTTGGGGTACGGTGTTGTGCCGGAAAATCTTGCAAGGACGAGCACCCACACGCAGTAGTTGCCCAGGTGTATATCGCATTCCATGTGAACGCGGCCAAGTATACATCAGGGAAAGCGGAGGGGACCTCCCCACCAGAGTCCAAGAACACCGCTCACATGGCCGACGAGGAGAATATGGCAAGTCGGCCATCATTAAACATGCACACTTCACGGACCACCACATCGAATGGAGCAAAGCAGAACTCCTCACTTCCATCCAGAACTGGCTTCCAAGGACAATCCAAGAAGCCATTTTCAAGCACAACATCGTACCCCAAGAAATCGGTTTTAAGCTCAGCGACATCTGGTGCCCACTACTAGCACCCAAGCAGACACCCACTCCTGGGCAGTAGGGTCCCCTATACCCAAAACTCATGCCCCCCACCCCAGGTGTTAGGGTCTTCTCCACATGAACCCACCCCCATCTCCCCCCCCCCGGAGTAAGGGTCCCCTATACCCAAACCCAAGGTTTCCCTCCAATTCCAGGATCCAACACCTTCATGCAACAGCGCACACACTGAGTCACTCAACCCACGAATCACTTACCACGCTCCACCGCTTCCGGATTACCTTTATAACCAGCTATCCACTCCAGTCCAGCACTCTCTCTCTGGAGGACGGCTACAGCACACGTGTCTAAAACGTCGAGTTAACACTCACCGTTTCTTTTAAAAACCACACCTTGCCGAAAGAGATTGATTCCATGGTGTACCTGCAAACCCATCTCTCATCTAACAGTTGACTTTAGCAATGAGAACAGACCAGTGACTTTATTAAAGAAATAAAACCAAAAATAAAAGAAGGGATAGACTTCCATTTTCTTCATTTTTTGTCCGTCTTTCTGTTGTTTGGATTTTCAAACTTCTTCCTTCTCTCTAAAAACAATGAAAGGACATTTAATGTTATTCCTCAGTGGACAGCGGACATTTCGCAATTCAGAGTGTACCAACACTGCTTTGTGAATTGTCAGCTGGCTTGGCGCATGGCCAGTGCATAGTGACCATCTTTGGTCGTGACGTAATCTTCAGATACATTAATAAGCATACAGTTTGAATTGCTACATGAAGATGACAAAAGACACGGATAAAGACAAGAGTATTTCCGATTTGAAGGGAAAAATTCTCTTTTCTTCTCAAACGTGAGCAAACATTACCATCATTATTAGAATCTCCGATTCTCGCTTAATCCTAGGCCAGGGGCATTTGGAGGTGAATTTGGAGGATTTTGATTCGGGTACAACAGCACATGAGCGACACTTTGAGTGATATGTATTCAACAACCGATAAGAAAGGTAACAATGCGTACCGTCACTACAGGTTTGGATGGTGATGTGGGGAATGACAGACATCTGGGGAGGTTCATTAATTACAATCAACAACAATCACATTTATTCTTGCGTCGTGTGTATGATCAACTCACGAGCCATCTTGACAAATCATGAGACTTGCCTTCCCATAATCCATTTCTACATATTACTGGTACATTGTCCTGTTATTTAGACTCCACATGTTTTGCCAAACTATGTCTTAACCCTAACCGCTAAGCGTATTACAAAATACCAAGTAGAAGTCTGAGCCTGAAAGACCTAACACTACAAATTACTACTTCTGGCTCGGTTACTTCCATTATTACTTGTAAAGAGAACAATAAAGCCATGCATTCATAGTGCCACAGCACAGTATGGTACATGTACATGGTCGTATCTATTGTATCTTATGGCTTCAGAGAACAATAAGGTCATGTCCTCTTACAAGCGACAGGGTTGAATACTACATTTTACTACATCTAGTAATTTGTAGTATTATGTAGGGTTAGGGTAAATGTTATAAAAGGCGATTTGTAGAGTCCAAGTTACTCGGACTAGGCATAATCAATGCATTTGATTGACATGTTACGTGCACCAGTGCCATGTGCACATGTACATGTTGACGCATGCAGATTCAGTCACCTTTTGCTGAAAGCAATATGCTTAGTGCAACACCACCCCCAAATATTTGATGGCCATCAGCAACAATTTACAAAAAATAATTCCAAGAAACATGAGAAATGATTGGCACAAAAACAGTTAGGGGCATAAGGGGGGCTACAGATGCCTGTAAGTGGCGCGTAACCGCTGTTGGTCATCAAAAAATAAATAAATAAATAAATACATGTACATTTGTGATCATTGCCACCACTTACAACCAATGGAAATGCTAGACAAACTAGAATTTACAAGATGATTATTTACAAGGCAAATGTGCCTGAGTTTTTAAGTCAGTTTATCATTTTTATGAAGTTTGCTCACCACCTGGAAGAACAAGCTAATTGCGCCAATCATGCGCGTTGTTGCAACCGTCACGGGGGAATAAAACACATGATGATAAAGGCCAACATAAGAAAGTCATGTACGCCAATTTTTACATAGCCTAATCCCTGAGCATCGACCCTTTCTGATTTGGGTATATTTTCCATGTTTACAGACAAGCCAAATTCAAATTCAGACATGTCAGACAGAGAGACGAGCGCTTACCTCATGCTGTCAAGCTCTTGCCCCGTCCCAACTGTATTGCCGGCCGCGCATGTCTCGTTTTTTGGTAGGGTGGCACGGCGCATTGCATGCACATGTGTACACGTACACCAGCGCCACATTTCTTTTTCCGTTTGCGCGCTGCGCGTAGTAGTCTTGGCCAAAGACGTCCGTGATCAGTAAATGTTTTATTTCTGTTGAAGAGCGCCCTCGCACAACTAGTTTTTACTTACTCTGGCGCACATGAGTCGTTAGGGGGCGCACTATGCACTGTGTCCGCTATATCAAGCACTAACGTCTTGAAACCAAGACTATGCGCGTAGGCGCTGTAACAAATATTTTGCGCCCTCTATTGAAAAATATTATAGCGCCCTCTCTTGAATCAATATTTAGCGCACTCTGGTAAAAAAATGAATAGCGCCCTCTAATGAACAAAAGCATGTAAATGAAAATGTAATAGCGCCCTCTTTTGATCGAATACAACATTTTCCGCTTTTCCTGGAATTAACAGAAAGTTTTTCATTGGGACTGTTGTTCCACTGTTGTAAAAAGAACTGCATTCCAAAGCAGTATCCCAGCAATTTCGATCTCTTAAGATTATTACATTGAATGAAGATGTGCGGAATGACCGCACCTGGCTGATGAAGAGTGAATGTTTTATTTTTGCGTAGAATCTTTTGTAATGGATTACTCGATTGCCGGATAAATCATGTAAAATGATTGATGATGTCGATAGATGCGCACTACATCCAACGGTAACCACACATACACCATATGTTTATCGAGATTTCGATTTTATAAGTCAATTGTAACAAAAGACGCTCGTTGGAAATTCCTTCATCCATATTTGTTTTCACTGGTTACCAACTCAAACCTGTTTTAATTACTGGCCTATACAGAGGAAGAAAAATTTATCATAATGCAGTGGCGTGTCTAGCATGGTGTGTGCCCCGACAGCATTTTTGGGAGGTGATCCCAGGATACAGCAAAACCACTTTGAACACTGGCTTTATCTTTCAGGAAATAATTTGACCCCATTCATCAGTTGATTTTGAGTGAAAAAATAAACAAAAAAACCTGCAAAAAATAATGATAATAATATTCATATTTATTTTTCTGATCTTTTTCGAAAAATATGAACTATTCTTTATGCAAAATCAGTTGAATAACAAGTTCTCAACAACTGTTTCACATGTCAATCAACTTTGTCAAATCACTGAAACATAAAAATTGTTGCTATAGAGCGGTCTCATCGTCCCAAGTCAACTTTATATACCAGCTGAAGAGCCTCCTTTCCGGTCGTCACTGTAAGCGCTCCAGAATCCCTGTGCGTCTCGCATTATGCCTTGCACCACGCAGCCTCTCGTAGACTCGTAAGGATAATGGCCTTTTGCTCTCAAACCATTAATGACGTCCTGAACACAAGCAAGATTACATTATTATAATTGTGATGAAAAAGAAACGCTTGGGGCAGTTTAAAAGATAAGCCAAAGAATTTTACAGGGGAATATATTTAAAACAATCAAATTAGAAATTAAAACGAAACGCACCAAACGAACCAGAGACAAACTTACCCTACCCCACTCTAAAAAACAGACAAACAAACACCCCCCACCCCAACAAACAAACAAACAAACAAAAAACAAAAAACAAACAAACAACCCCTAACAAACCAACAAACAAACAAAAACAGAAAACAAAGAAAAACAAAACAAAAATAAAACAATATGTGTTCCTTATATGCACAAAGTGCAACTTCAAGAAATCATACGTAGATTGTTGAGGGCGTCCTTACCTGTTTAAAACCTGCTTCATAAGTGACATTATTTGGAACTAACTGATGATGAAAACGCCTGCGTTGGATCGCATTTTTTATGCTGTCACCATACCACAATGTATCCACGGTTACCTGTTGACCACAAAGTCAATGAGAGGACAGTTTTGACGATTTACATTTGTCGAAGTTAAAACCACTTGGATATTAAATACACCTGCTGACGATGGATGCAATACATTTTAATTCCTGCTGTTACAATACGTTGGCAATTAACATATTTCTAGATTTTAACAATACCCCTCCAGAAGTCGACTGCCTTATGCATAACAGCGATACGAGCATGTACTGTGATTATGCATCCACGCCTTGTGGTCACTTCACCTGTTGAAGTGAATGATTAGTGAATATGAGCGTCGCAGAGCCTTTTTTGGGGGGGTATACCATTTTTTCAGGGGAACTTTCGGCATACGTGTACAAAGCACTCATCAGCCAAAATGATAAACACAGGAGGTTAAGTTTGATTTTTTTTCTTAGCCAATTGATGATTTTCATCCTCTTTCCTATTTTCTCATATCTTTGCTTCCCGTTTTTTTCTTTCAGAACGTATGTGATGCGAAATTGCTGCAAACTGCTTGCTAGCTACAGTGGCCTAAAATATAAATCACAAAATATGGAGGGCCTGATGTTTCGATCCTACCACACTCTTTCTCAAAGGTAAAAAGGGAATTTTTCAGCACGTGTTTGCCTTTGAGAAAGATTCTGCTTGGATGGAAACGTAAGACTCTCCTTCTTTTGTTTCCTTTTTCATTTTTTTCCTGATAGGGGCGATAACAAGCGCCTACACCCATACCCTATCCCCCTTGCAACACCCATGCTTTTGAAGTTAACATCGACGTGGTGCACGACATTTCAGCGTTCAGTTCATGTTGTTTTAATACTAGTATGCCAGGTAAAAAGATCCATAATACAGCGTCAACTAGGTGGAATCGTACTTGCGTGGCTGTGGATAACACTATTAGATTTGTGTACCTGCGCCACACCGGTGGTAATGCGCGTACCTCCTGACGCACCAACCAGGAGTTTCACTTTGCCGTCACGATCCACCACTATGGTGGGTGTCATGGAGGACATTGGTCGTTTTCCTGGCCGGATGAAGTTTGAAACAGACGGTGGGACACCGAAAGCGTTTGGTTCTCCGGGCTTTGAGAAATCATCCATCTCGTCATTGAAGAGGATTCCTGTCCGATTGCCACGAACTTTGGATCCAAAACTGGACAAAAGGGTCAGGGGTCGGGGGGTCAGTCATAGGTCAAGTTGATTTTAATCATCCTGTATCCTTTAGTTTTCACTGCTTACAATCGGTGAATATTTGTCAAACTAACGAAAGGGTTAAACATGTAATTTCACTTTGTTCTACATGTGATTATATATAAATATTATTTGTAATCTACATATAATTATTTTCATAGTTTTTAAAATGCTTACTAAAGGTTTATGGTGCTCGTTGCAGCTACAGCATTGCCGTATGTATCAACGACCGACAGGTGAGATGTGCCGCCATCAGGCTGATTGTAGTAGGCAGTATAGTAAGACGGATCGTGAGACATGTTGTCATCAATAGCGGCTCGTAAGGAGTCTGCATAAGACTGTGACGTCATGTTTGCAACGATCTGAAGACCACAGAAACCGAAGCTCCAATGTTTAATGGCTTGCAGGAGTTCTAACAAACAGGGCTACCATTGTTGATTCAGGTACATGTCAAATCTTATTAATATACAGTAATTCTCGGCCCTGGGAAGAAACTTAAATCACACTTTGCCACCAATAATCCACTTCAGATTCCCTGTTTTTTATGATTCTCATAGCCTATGAGCCCCGGCCACGAACTGGACTAAGAGAAGGCGCAATTTCTTTTACCGATAGAGGCTCCAGTGGTGCAAACTGCACTTCGCTGGTTCACGAATGCACGCGTTACAGTTGCATCATTACCGACTTCTTTTCAACCAATGAGGGGTGCTTTTGCTCAAGGTGGATAAGAAGTCAGTAAAGTTCTTGTCAGTACTTCAGTTCCTTACTGGATTACACCCATATCTTTTTACGCCATGGCAACTCACTTCTTTGACATCAACGTAGTCTTCATCCCCAAGAAATGATCGACCTGCATACCCGAACTTGAAAGCCTCTACCATACGATGAGTTGTCAAGATTTCAGCTTCAGTGGTAGCAATGCTATCTGGACCAATGCCATAACCTAGAAAATGCATAATTATTGGTTACAATACGAATTAAAATGAGTCCAAACGAAACGAAAAGGCACTTTGTGTCACTCGAAAAGAGAAAGTACTTGGTATTGCTGCAAATTGAGCGAAAAATAACAAAATTGTACATTTAAAGAAATTTGAAATAACACAAAACGAACAACGACGATGGTTAAAAAGTAGAAACGAGATGAGGCAAAAAACAAGGCCAAAAGTTACAGCAGTGTGATAGACGAGGACAGCGCACATCAACATTTCAATGAGATGAAATGGAAACTTACACATTTATTTGAGATTTAAATTTAAAAAACGTACATTTTAATGCAACGAAACAAGACACACATGAACAGATGAACCGAAATGATAAACCGAGACAAGATATACAGCAGACAAGATGTAAAATGTGATACTTGAAGATATTGTTTAACAACAGAAGATATTGATTAACAATTAATATTAAATTTCAATACAATAACATCACAGCACTATGATAATTCGAGGCCTAAATCGATATATTTACCCTGGAGGATGTTCATTATGAGTGCATACACGGCACCACTGCCTGGTGGGGGAGGCGAGTACACCTTCATACCATCCAACTCAATCATTAGAGGTTCCCTCCGTCTTACTTGATAACTTTCTAGATCTGCCTTTGTGATGATACCACCTAGGAAGAAAGTTCAGTAAAATCACAGTCGTTTTCGGAAACAATGATAAATTCTAACGAACAGGGTCCGGATTTGAATGCAGGTCGTTCAAAATGTCGACTCCACATGAATAACAATTCACACAAAATCAGTGTCAATGGCCCTTCTCCAGATTGCATTAGTCACCTCTATCGGCAATGTCGGCCACGATGTCATCGGCAAGATCTCCTTTATAGAAAGCATTCTCTCCACCCTCTGCTAGTTTCTTATAAGTTTCAGCCAGTTTGATGTCGACCAGTGTATCTCCTTCCTTCAGAATCTCCCCTTCTGAGTTCAGAAAAATTTCCCTTGGGGAAAAGTGGAATAAAATTAAATCTAAACCGCTTAAGAAATTATGTAGATATTGGTAATAGGAGGATGAAAAACGCTATGAGGTAATTTCCGTTCTCTGAAGAAAGTCACCTTATGGTACAACGTACTTGAGAATACAAGCTTTTCAAAACCAAGTACACATGAAAGAGGGTCCTTTAAGGGAACCTGTACCAAGTTTGAAACTATGGTCAAAATATTTAGACTAGTTAAAACAACTGTAGGAAACAACCTGTCCATATTGTGAGTCTTACCCTAAACTTGGATCGTTCTTCATGTAACTCTCTCTTATTTTAATGACACGAGCCAGCTCTCTGCTAACCAATATTCCCTCCTCGGCCAATTTGATCGAAGGTTGAAATAAATCACTCCAGGGTAGCACACCGTATCGTTGATGAGCGGTCCAGTAACCTGCTATCTCCCCAGGAACAGCAATGGATAAGCCACCTAAAGTCAGGGGAAGCCGTTTTCTCTGTTTAATGTAACTAAACAAAATGTGATTAATGTTGCTCGGTACTTTCACCGTAAATTAACTAATATGTGAGCCGATCACATGCAGTATTTCCTGTTGACATGAATTTGTTTAGAAGTATTGTCCACACATACTCAGTGTACTTAGCTATGGTCTAAATGGAAATCACGTAACAATATGAACAATGAAGACAGTGCCCACGATCTAAATACTCTAAAATGGACAACGTTATAGACAACTCATTTACCTGAAGTGGAGGCGTCTTCTGTCTCATTTTCGTACATTTTTTCGAAGGCAGCGAGTGGCGCTTTCTCTCTCGCATCCAACATTTCAATGGTTTTAGTCTTGGCGTTGTAGAATAACAGGAAGAAGCCTCCGCCAATGCCGGCACTGTGGTAGTTATAAAGACCAACGCAAAGAAATGCTGCTATCGCAGCGTCTACGGCTGTGCCTCCCTTTTCCAGCATATCCCTGAAAATATTCAACATTATCAGAATAACAAAAGAAATTATAACCGGTTATTGATGCAGTATAAGTCCAATTTATCAAGAAGAATATGATGTAGCCCTCAAAGCATCTCACCAGTACGTTTCAGGTCTTCACCAATAGCAATATAGGTAACTTCTTGTGTCCGTAAATAGCCTAAAGTATGGTGGGCTTTCCTCTATCATTTGGGGAAAACTACACGATGTGATTGCCCTTCTCTTTCATTAGCACTTGCAAAAACTTTTTGGCAAAAAGTATTCAAACTATAACTATTTTCAGATGTTCTTTAATTATTAGGGCCATTCAAAGTCAAAAACCACCGTCACTACTTATTTCACAGATATTAAGATGTATCTACTTTTTTTCATGAGAGGGGTTCAACAGCAACTACGGTAGTAGGCCTATATGAGAGTCCAGTTCACTACCTAACTCACCGGCCAATCTCTGAGCACTCGCCAGCATCAGCAGCCACGGCAGCCTTGGCGTATTGGTACTCGCCAGTTGGTTGTGGAGGTGGTTGTGATGGCTGTGGAGTGACTGTTACAGCGTTGTCATCCTTGTAATAATACAATAACCCCATGGTCACACTGGCAGCCACGGCTACTATCAGCAGCAAGGCAAAGGCCACTTGCCATCTCAAAACCTTGGATTTTCTAGAGCAAAACATAAAAATGGACTTCTTACGACAACAAGAAATTCGATGCAAACATTTGGTGACGTAGTTTTTGACACTCTAAAGTACCCACCCATTGTTTCAACCACCGCACAAAGTAGTGTACAGTAACCGAAAAGTTTACTATTAAACTTGAAGTTTATGTCTTAACAGAGAAACTTAATTTGTGTTGAACCCTTGCCATACACCCAGTTCAACCACTAAAATGCTCGTAAATCCCCATAGAATTCACCAAGAGGTAGTAGGCCTAGTTGATCCAATGGTGTGGAAGTGGTATTTATCACACTGGGTCTACTTTGAAAATGATGTAGTCCTAACTTGAGAAACGGCAAGCAAATCGGTAATAGCAATTGTTGGACACCTTAGTAAAGTTCTGCAAATCACACTTGAACTTTATCTCTTTAGGGTAGCTGCAATCAATTTGTTTTTACACAAAATGAACCTTATTTTCAACTCCTGTTTCACTATTTCAAAGGGAATTTTACCGTCTTGTTGGTTTTTATCCTAAAGAGTACGTGTATTTCCATAGTCATAAGTAAAACTGAGATGTCATCCCAGGAAGAAAGCCTCAATTTTAGAATGGAAATTTATTCACAAAATAACCCACATTTTCCTATTCTCTGCTGATTCATTGTTGTTTATTCGCATCAACAGTGGAGAGGTCAGCAGGGGTGTCCCTGAACAATATTTGAGTGAGGCTTTTGATATTTTTTCTCCCTCAACATTGCGATGAATAAGCCTGAAGCCGCATTCGCTTTTGAATTCCCCCCCGACACCAAGCGCTGGATACGCCGCTGGGCCTGTCAATGCAATTTCTTGTCGATGATGCTTCCAGAGTCTTTCAAGGTGTGTTTGTCAACTGCAGTTGCAGCATTTCTGTTCATTCTATTTGGGAAAGTAGTAGCACACCTGTTTCTTGTCAGTAGCAAATTTTGACTTTAACAAATATAGAAATAAATATCGAAAGAAGTTCGTTCACATGCTTTTATGCTTTCACAATAGTTTACAAGCGTTTGCGGTAGCTGCATGAAGATCTACAACTAGACTTCTGTTTTGTTGACTCACTAGATGAACATCAACACTTATCTCCTGCATGGCTCCTCATTAACTGTTGGCACCTTTTCGAGTGCGTGATTGAATGTACTCTGTACCTCAATTACACACTGTTTCTGTAGATTATCTCCAACTTCCAGGACGGTTGCACTTTGCCTTACCGTACTTACTGAAAACGATAATCAGACATTACGCTATGCGACCCATCTTACCCTTTGATGGTCACGTTTGCTTTTTCTACATCAGGGCCCGTCAGCTCCAGCGTTGATTTGCAGTTTTCCATTTCAGCTTGGTTGGAGAATGTCTTGATGTACAAAACGTTTCCCCTTTCAATGAAAATCACTGGATTCAACTTGTCTGTTGCACTGCACACAAACTAACTATTGGCCTTCCTTGAAGCCCACAACAGATGAGAGCTCGAGATAAACCTGAAATGCAACACGGTGTCTAACTCGTAGCTCAACAGTATCAGAATGTAATAGTTTTGTGCAAAAACCACAGCAGAACCGGAATTAATAGAGCGCCGCCTACTGAACGCGAGGTTCGCATGCCCAATGGCTCTACAAGCCGGAGTTCGCGCAGCTTGTTAACGTAGGTGATCATCGGTAGGCCGCCCGAACGCCGGGAACATAAAACCGGGTTATCGCTACGTGTTATTTTGTGGCAATCAACATGCAACATGGCGGCGTCCTTGTGCATTCTTCAAGAGTTAATGTTTAGATAACTGGGCTAATTTCTTTTCCATAAAAAATAATTTCTGTCATGGAAAATTATTAATGTTAATTTTGCAAAACTTTCTCCAGCTTTGTCAGCCATTTCGATAATTTTTGCAGCTTTTCAAAAATCAAATCTTACGAGTTTTTCCATGTGTTCGTGTAAAACCCAGACGAGGGGGTGGTGTGTGAACCTGTGACGAGAACAGTGTTCTTAGGTTGTGATCCCGCCGCTCGAGCGCGACAACACGAAACCCGTGTCAAGAACTCGACCTAATTATTAAATGTTGCTCCCGAACAATGAAGGGTGTGGCAGCTGTTTAATTTGATCGAAAGAGTGTTTTTTCGCCTGTATTTCAACTTGCCCACTAACATAACCGTTTCACGGAGAATCCAATTCCAAACACTAAATTCACTTTCTTGTTTTTCTGAAGAAGGATAATACAGTTTGTCTGTTGCCACTGAATGCGGAACTGTTTGTGCGCAATGACAATCTTATTCCGTAAACAAAAGGAAAAATCAAAGACACAAAAAAGAAAAGTTACCAGAAAGAGGAGGAAAGGACGGGATCATGGAGTGGAACTTTCTAAATTCTGTACCTCGGAGACCGGAGAAAACTTCTTTTTTTTTTTTACAAAAATGGGGTAATTTCAGGCCATTTTCCAGTTATTATAGGATAGAATAGTCAATAAGCTCCTATCCAAAGACACAAGTTGTACATTCCTGTGATATGTGGCTGTAATCTTTACTGTTAGGGTTAGCCACGAAAATTGAAACTAAAAGTGATCTACTGGCCATAATCTTGAATTTCCAGTAAAAACGGAGGCCAAACTCTTCACTAGAGTCAACAGGCGGCGCTATTTTGGTCTGACTTTGCACTGTTTTTTTATGGGCGCGTATTTGGTGTAGTGCAACCTGTAAAGACAAGATGGCGGCGCCCATGGCAAACATCCGAACATGCCAATATAGACGGGAAGACTTCGGAATATTTCGGCCATCTCCGGCGTGGACATTGGGTGATACCGGACCCTTGATTCATTGAGTAGTCACAATCAAAGGATATGGTATCCAGACTACGGTACAACCTCCTGTCTTTCTTTTGCCGCTTGGGGGTGCACTTCCATTCGGGGCGGATTGAACCAATTCAATGCAATGTCCCTTTAATAGATTTTCTCAAAACTGTGATCACTGTCAAAGTGTCAAACTTTCTTGCCTACTCTACAGTTGCTTTATATTCGAGTCTATCAAGTATTCCTAATTTTCAGCATTATGTCTAAAAAATCACTGACCCTTGAAAGCCTCATTCAAAAGAATTGGGGACTTACCGTTTGTATAAAGACACTTCTCATAAACCAAGAACACATCTGTAGTCGGTAACATAAAAATGTGGACACAAAGCAAATTAGGTACATGCATGCCCGCAAAATAACTAAGTCGGTTAGTACGGGCTAAATACATAGTCTAAAACACCTGGGTGACCCACGTCCATGGGTAGAATCGAATTGAAACTTAAACCTAAAGAACCAAACCATAAAGTCTTACCTGTCGAACTCGAACAGCCTCGAAGAAACCAGCATAAAATGGAAGAACTGCTCCACGTATGAAATGACCCGAAATTTTGGTGCAAGGCAATAACAAATGACCATTCAGCTTATTGAGCTTCAGTCCTCGTAGGCTGAAGAGGGTTGTCAAGAATAAGGATTATTTCAACAATGGTATATTTAGCATATGAAACAAGTACTTGATTCCTCCATGGGGCTTTTAAACACCATTACGCCAAACTGGACTGTTCCATTAGTTGGAACTGAAGCACGAATAGTACAGTTAAAAAGTGGGTCACGTGGTATGGAGTGCAATTTGTATAACAACATTGATTAAACAAAGTTTATGGAGCACGAGAACTCACAAAATTATGTGAAGTTAATTTTTGTTACTACATGTAATACGTGTGCAACGGACTTCACGTTTATGAAATATTATTCATTCTGAATAGCCATTTTCTACACAACCAGGGGTTATGAAGGAACGCGCAAGCAGCCCATGGAGTCGAGGTTTGAAAATATGTACGTAAATTATTTAACAATAAAAATGTTAGGAGCATAAGAACTGGCAAGAAGATAGATAAGAGCACTAACTGTATTATAGTTGTTAATATACGTCAATTATTTGTTCTCAAGCATGTGACCTTGCTCAATGTGCGCGAGGCTAGTGAAATAGACATCTAGAACGCGCAGCGCACACATGTTGTATGTTTTGGTTGGTTGCGTCTATGATCTCCATTATACGTCCCCTGCGTTTGCGTTGATCACGTTTGGTGCACCCCAGGCCTCAGGAGCTATAATACCAGAGAGACCAATACATATAGGAATTTAAACTTCATGGGGTAACAGAAATTGAAAACATTTATTCGTATGAAGTATTTCAAAATAATAAATACGTAACCATTTCAAAAGCATGGTAAATTTAATGTTTACGCCATTAATTGTGACCCCAGGATGAATAAGATCCTGCGTTAGTAGTGAGGGGACTGTCTGGCGCACTTTTAACTTTGACCTAGAAATAGGAAAAGGTCATGAATATGCACAAGCATAACAATTATGATCATGAATAAAAATGAGGTGTAGGGTTTAAAATTTATGGTACAAGATGAATGGAAATATCATAGGGTCGGAAAGTCTGGCAGTTTGACCTTTCCTATGGAATTATTGCACAACAGAATGAAATAAGATAAAAATAGACGATGAGTTATAAAGCACGATGTCATGGAAAAATACTGACTGGCCCTTTTTTTTTTCAAGCAGAAGGCGTCATACGAGATAATCCCTAGACAATGGACTGTAGGCGGCGCCGCGGTGTGTCGGGATAGGACATAGGTCTGACTTAATTCTTCGGTACTGAACTAGAGAGGGCGCGCACACGCCACACGCTAACGGTCTTGCGTTCGGCTTACTATGGTTGCAAGAAGGAGGCTTTGCTGGCCCTTGCAAAAAATGAAGACATTTATAAAAACTAAACGTTAGTTGAACTTACTCAAGCAAATAAGTGTTCGCAATTCATTTGGCCACAGAAGTAAAAGAGTTGCCGCGCCTTTTCCGATTTCTAAGTCAAAGGTCAAAGTGTGCCAGACAATCCCCCACTAACACAGGATCTTTTTATTCATTTTGGGGTCAGAAATAATGGTGTTAACATTAATTTACATCATTTTTGAAATGGCAACGCATTTATCTTTTTTAAATACTTCACGTAAACTAAATATTTTCAATTTCTCTTATCCTTTAATAAGACACCGATCAACGACAGAGTTTGTTGAAAAATCCCTCAATCCATTTTTTTTACTTCCAATTCCCTTTTTGCGTTTACATTTCTCCAAAACTCCAATAACTGATACCTGTTAATTACAACATCAAGTTAATTACAACATCACCGAATACATTTTCCCTTTTTACTTAAACTAATAGAAAGTCGTACTAGTGTTCCACTGTCGTAATTAGAACTGAATTACAAAAGCAGTATCCAAGTCTTTTCCCTTAAATTATTACATTGAAGTAGATGCGTCTAAGATTCTAGTCTATTTGTTTCCTTAAGTCTTTCACGTAAGCCTTAAAAATCCCTTCACCTCCATAGCAATCAGACGTTTCAAGGTAGGATGAGAGTTTTGGCGCTAAATGGTGTAAATTAAGTTCTTTGAAAATTGACTTTCAGCGCATTTTGATTTGCTCAGTCGACACTCCGTTAATCCATACATAAATGGACAATTGCACCCTAAATAATATGTAAAGGCCCTGGTCTTAAATACCTTCAAAGTTTATATAAAGTGAAACAAAACGTCTGAGGATGATTTGAATGATCCCAGAAACCAGTGAGCCAAGTTGTTTCATACTCATCACGGTACGTTCCTGATCGATAGTAAACTCCAATCTTTCCCGCCGAAATATCTGTCAAGTCCAGCCGGTCATCGTCCTGGATCCATTCGGATATTGAGCCATCTTTGCCAGCTTTTCGGCTCACTTTGTGAATAAACCATATTGCCCACACGTTCCCTGCTGGAGATATGGCAATCCCTTTGATCATCTGGGAACTCGGTGGGTTTTCATGACTTTACTCGTACAGCTGCCAGGAGCCGAAGGCCCTGTCACCAAACACAGGCAGCAGCCTGAAGATTTGACCAAATCTGTCAAGAAACCAAATCTCGTTTGGACCTACAATTATCTTGACAGTAAACGTCATTTGGGGACTGAGGCTGTGTTCAATCCACCCAGCACCGTGATTACACTATATATATATACCTGCTCGGTAGCCTCTGCCCATAGCAAATAAGGCTTGCCGCCCAAAGACCGGACGTCCCCGCAGCAAATTTATCCACTTGCAAGGACCCAACCAATTTCCATCTATAGAACCCTCGGTTTGCTCATCAGTTCCTTATTTCTCCATGATACAAGACTAGGGTACGTAGAGCCCCTATGTATCCATTAGGGCGGACAGAAATGGCTTGCTTGTTGGACCAATGTTGCTTAACCCACTCTCCATAGCTGAGGTATTCACTTGTAGCCTGAGGATTTCAGTATTACTTCTAACTTGTTACTAGCATCTTCTAGTAACTGCACGATATACTGATTTACCTTTAAGTTACGGAAAGCATGATATGATTAATAATGTTAAACCTCTTTTTATACTGGCCCGTACGGAGGCGAATATTTTTTATTCAGAACAGTTATCATCATGAAGTAGCACGCTGGGGTGTGTCGGGGAGGGGGTGTCTGGCATGGCGTGTGCCCCGACAGAAGGTTGTGGGAGGTGGTCCCAGGACACAGCAAAACCACAACCCTTGCTTTATCTTTTTGGGAATCCGATCTTCATTCATCAGTTGATTCCGAGTGAAAAAAGTTTGAAAAAACTTCAAAAAAAAAACAATGATAATAATAATCTCTCTTTCAAACCAATATTTTTCGTACGTTCTCGAAAATTAGGAAGTATTTTTATGCAAAATACCTTAAAACCCTGCGACGCAGTATGAATTTTTTCTCACAAGGTTTCGGGAGCGGACTCGCCAGTTGAGTCCGTTTCATTTTTCAGGGTTGCAGAGCCCTGAGTCCGTCTTAAAGGTACATTAATGCTTCAGTGGTTGTCCCCTAGCCTCTACAGCTCTAACAAACCACCAAAAGTACATCACAGTACCGTGGGGGGGGGGCGTTTTCCCAGGCTATCCCTATTTGAGGGGGGGCCTCGTCACGCGCCAGCCAAGCCATACCACCACCACATCACCCCCCACCAAAATAACACTTCAGAGACAGCCGAAAGAGGCCTCTGACAAGTTCCAGACAGCTGTCACTGATAAGAAACATTCCACTGTCTGCCCCAGGCACCATTTTGTAAACAATCCATTAGATTGTACACAAGGGGGCACTTAGCACACAGTCCTATGGGAATTGGCTGGAGGCTGGCTGGAGACCGGCTGGCTTTTTAAAAAAAATTTCTGGCTGGGAAGGCCCTGTCTGTAAAGTGACTAAAGCAGGTTTTTCAGCATGTACTACAGGGGTAGGATACGATATAAATAGTCGTTGCATTTGGACGAAAAAAAAATTAAACGTTAATTAGCTCCAATGGACTCGCCAAAAGAGGCCGTTCCCTCTACCGAGATTAACAACCCCCAACAACTTTTTCTGTCAATCAATATCAAAGTTGTTGCTGTGGCGCGGCCTCGTCGTGCCAAGTCAACTTTATATACCAGCTGGATAGCCTCCTTTCCGGTTGTCACAGTAGGCACTCCAGAATCCCTGTGCGTCTCGCATTATGCCTTGCACCACGCAGACTCTCTTGGTCTCGTTGGAATAGTGGCCTTTTGCACTCAAACCATCGATGACGTCCTGAAAACAGGCACCAATACATTATTATCATGATAGCAAAGAAACGCTTGGAGCGTACCAGTTTGAAAGATAAGCGAAAGAATTTTACAGTGACCTATATTTATGAAAAAACAAAATCAGAAACTAAAACGAAACGAAAGAACTAGAGACAAAGTTACTCTACCCCCCCCCAAAAAGGGTAAAAACAAAGACAAAAACCAAAAATAAAAAATATGTGCTCCATATGTGCACAAGTACAACTTCGAAAAATCATATATAGATTGTTGAGGGCGTCCTTACCTGATTAAAACCCGCTTCATAAGTGACGTTATTTGGAAATAATTGATGATGAAAACGCCTGCGTTGGATCGCATTTTTTATGCTGTCACCATACCACAATGTATCCACGGTTACCTGTTGACACAAAATCAATGAGAGGACAGTTTTGACGATTAACATTTGTCGACGTTAAAACCACTGGAACATTAAATACACCTGCTGACGATGGATGCAATATATTTTAATTCCCGCTGTTACAATACTTTGGCAGTTGGCATATTTCTAGATTTTAACATTACTGAGTACTTAAAACATTCATATTTATGTTGATACTCCTCCAAATGTCGACTCCCTCATGCATAACACCGCTACGAGCATGTACTGTGATTATGCATCGATCTATCCCTAGTAATCACTTCACCTGTCGAATTGAATGACTGTTGAATATGAGCGTCGCAGGGATTTGGGGTGGGGCGGATATACCAATTTTTTCAAGGGAAAACTCTTCGCGTGCGTGTACAAAGCACTCATCAGCCAAAATGATAAACACAAGATACTAATTTTGATTTTATTTAACAAACCGATTATTTTAACCTTCTTTCTTATGTCTCGCCTCCCTTTTTTTTGTCTTTCAGAACGTACACGTTGTGATACAAACTACTGCAAACTGCTTGCTGGCTAGAGTGACTGAAAATGCAAACCACAATAGAAGGAGGGTCTGACGTTTCGATCCTAGCAGAATCTTTCTCAATGGTTATTGCCTTTGAGAAAGATTAAAACATAAGGCCCTCGTTCTTTTGCATGTTTTAATGTTTTCTGTGGCCGGGGTAGGCGACTCTACCCCCTCGTGACTCCCAAGGTCTTCATGTTGACATCAGCACGTTGCACGATATTACACTGCCTTATTGAGTAGTATGGCACATCAGCGTTCAGTTTATCTTGCTTTTAAGCTAGCAGGCCGTTAAAAAGATCCTTGACATTCAGTAAAAAATTAGATTGAAACAAATTGCACATGCGTGGTTGTGGATAACGCTATTAGATTTGTGTACCTGCGCCACACCGGTGGTGATATGTGTAGCTCCTGACGCGCCAACTACAAGTTTAATTTTACCGTCATGATCCACCATTATGGTTGGTGTCATGGAGGACATTGGTCGTTTTCCTGGCCGGATGAAGTTTGAAACAGACGGCGGAAGGCAGAAAGAGTTTGGTACTCCGGGCTTTGAGAAATCATCCATGGCATCGTTGAAGAGGATTCCTGTCCGATTGCCACGAACTTTGGATCCAAAACTGGACAAAAGGGTAAGAGGTCGGGGGTCAGTGGCAGGTCAAGTTGATTCTAATGATCCAGCATACTTTAGTATTCACTGCTTATAATTGGTGACTATTTGCGGAACTAACCAAAGTTAGAGCAGATTATTATGTATTATCTGTAAGTAATTGTATATTAATTAATATATAATTGTAATTTACATATAGGTACATGTAACTATTTTGGTAATTTTTCTGTATTCATACTTACTAAAGGTTAATGGAGCTCGTAGCTGAAACAGCATTGCCGTGTGTATCAACGATCGACAGGTGGGATGTACCGCCATCAGGTTGATAGTAGTAGGCAGTATAGTAAGAAGGATCGTTAGTTTGGTTGTCATCAATAGCGGCTCGTAAGGCGTCTGCATAAGACTGTGAAGTCATATTTGCAATAATCTGCAGACGAAGGAGATCCACAAGCTACAGAATCATTCTTACAATTATTGCGATCGTTGTTGACGCAACTACAGCTGTCAAATTTAATTAATGTATGGTAAGTTATTCTCCTTGAAAAAAAATCACATTACATTCTGCCAGCGATAGGCCTAATCCTGTTCAGATTCCCCGATTTATGATTCTCAGAGGTTGTGCACTTTCACCAAAGTATGTATACGCGAATTGGCCACTGTAAAGCACTTTAGTTCCTTACTCGATTTCACAATTTTGTTAAACTCCTACCCCACTTCAGTACTTCCGTAACTCACTTCTTTGACGTCGACGTAGTCTTCGTCTCCAAGTAATGATCGACCTGCATAAGCGAATTTGAAGGCCTCTATCATACGATGAGTTGTCAAGGTCTCAGCTTCAGTGGTAGCAATGCTATCTGGACCAATACCATAACCTAGAGAAATGTGATTACACATAATTCATGGTTTTCACGATTCCAATTCGAATCAAAATGAGTCCGGACGAAACGAAAAGGCACGTTGTGTCACTTGAAAAGAGAAAGTAATTGGTATTGCTGCAAAATAAGCGGAAAAGAACAAAATTGTACAACTAAAGAAATTTGATATAACACCAAACGAACAATGACGATCGTTAAAAAGAAGAAACGAGATGAGCCAAAAAACAAGGCAAAAAGTTACAGCAGTATGATAGACAAGGACAACGCACATCAACATTTTAATGGGATAGAATGGACAGGACATATTATATATATTAGTGTATATTTGTTACGAAACGAAACAAGACTCATACGAACAGTTGCGAAGAAATGATTAATCATGACAAGAGATGTAGCAGATAAGATCGAGAATGTGATTGATATGAGATATTTGAACAGAATAACTCGACAGGACTATGATAATTCGACGTCGAAATCAATGGATTTACCCTCAAGAATGTTCATTATGAGTGCATACACGGCACCACTGCCTGGTGGGGGAGGCGAGTACACCTTCATACCATCCAATTCAAACATTAGAGGTTCCCTCCGTCTTACTTGATAACTTTCTAGATCTGCCTTTGTGATGATACCACCTGGGAAGAAATGTTCAGTAAAACCACAGATGTTTGCTCATACAATGATAAATTGGAATGATCAGAGTCCAGTTTTGAATACAGGTTGTTCAAATGATGACTCCAAATTTAATGAACAGCAATTCATACGACCAGAGTCATGGGCCCTATTCCAGATTGCATTAGTCACCTCTATCGGCAATGTCGGCCACGATGTCATCGGCAAGATCTCCTTTATAGAAAGCATTCTCTCCACCCTCTGCTAGTTTCTTGTAAGTGTCAGCCAGTTTCGTATCGACCAGTGTATCTCCTTCCTTTAAAATCTCCCCTTTTGAGTTCAGAAATATTTCCCTGGGGAGAAAAAGTGGCATAAAATTGAATTTTAAATCGCTAAGATGCAAATCGGGGATGAAAATGCTATTAGGTAATTTACATTCACTAAAGAAAGTCAAGATATAGTATACTGTACTTGTTGAGTATATGCTTTCCAAAAACCAAGTGCATATGGAAGACGGTCCTGAAAGGAACGTGTATTCAGTTTGAACTATAATCAAAATATTCAGACTTGCTAAAAACAATTGAAGGAAAAAAATTTCATGTCGGGTGACTCTTACCCTAAACTTGGATCGTTCTTCATGTAGATCTCTCTCTTTTTAATGATATGAGCCAGCTCTCTGCTAACTACTATTCCCTCCTCGGCCAATTTGATCGAAGGTTGAAATAAATCACTCCAGGGCAGCATACCGTACCGTTGATGAGCGGTCCAGTAACCAGCTAGCTGCCCGGGAACTGCAATGGCTAAGCCACCTAAAGTCAGGGGAAACCATTTTCTCTGTTACATGGAACGAATTAGTTGTGACAAACTATTGCTCTGTAATTTCACCGTTAAATTAATAAAAAAATTAAAAAGTATGTGAGCTGCATACAATAATTATTTCCTGTTGACATAAGTTTGTTGAGATGCATTCCCAACAGTGAAATCATCACTTGCGATCACAAGGATGAGTTACAAGTATCAAATAGATGAAGTTACAACACAGCTTATTTACCTGTAATGGAGGCGTCTTCTGTCTCATGTTCGTACATTGTTTCGAAGGCAGCGAGTGGCGCTTTCTCTTTTGCATCCAACACTTCAGTGGTTCTAGTCTTGGCGTTGTAGTATAACATGATGAAGCCTCCGCCAATGCCAGTACTCTGGTAGTTATAAAGACCAATACACAGATACGCTGCTATCGCAGCGTCTACAGCAGTGCCTCCCTTTGCCAGCATATCCCTTGAAATATTCAACATTATCAGGATACCAAAAGTAACGATCGGTTATTGATGCAGTTTAAAAGTCCACTTATCAGGGGTTTAATACCTCGGATAGTTTCCCCATTCAAACACGCACAACACGTACGTGATCGTACATTATAACATTCGTTACAACATACCTCTCTCCCCGGCACGCGCGCATCAATACCAGGGACGAGTGCCTGTTACTATGCCAGTACTGTCAGTAGTCTTGAAAATGTTTGACTGGTTGTTATGCCCTCTGGAGGTTTCTACGACACATTTTAAAACGTTGTTGCAAGAATTCTTTTCCTTGTTGAGGATAGCATCTCAAAATTAGACTGTGTCAAGGGATACTACAATGAACCCTCAGTTTTGTGGAATTTTTGAAAATCTATTGATAGTGGAAACACATAATGGACAGGCCAAACTCTGACCGGTAAGTGACAAGAGGAGGGTCCTATTTCCTTCGGTCTTGGGAAATAGGACCCTCTCCTAGTCACTCACAGACACTGGATACGAGACAACTTTCAATTGTTTTCTTTGTTTCAGACTAAAGTGGTATTTAGGGGAATAAGTACGTGCTTGTTAAACTATCGTTTTCAGACCGGCTCATCTCAGGAAACGGACGTGACTGATGCCTGAGCCGCTGGCGAGGGCATTATCTGCGTTCATTCTCCCGAACCGGTCTTAAACGCACTTTCAAGACCGACCATGTACACATTTTTCCCATAGTATATGGCACTTCTCCCCCATTGTATCTTACCGGTATGTCTAGGGTCCTCATCTATAAAAACAGGTAGCTTCTTGTGTAATAAAAGAGTCCAAAGTATGGTGAGCTTTTATCTATCATTTGCGGAAACTGCACAATTTTATGGCCTTCTCTTTCAACACTTTCGTCAAGAAGCCTCCGTCAACATCTTTACAAACTCTAATCACTTTGCACATGTTCAGTAAGTTATTGCTGAAAATCTGAAGACTTTCGAGCGAACTGTTGTTAATTTCATAGGTATTAAGATGTACGTACTGTACCACGGTGAACACAAACTAGTTAATAAAAGGTCAGTTCACCAGCCGACTCACCGGCCGATCTCTGAGCACTCGCCAGCATCAGCAGCCACAGCAGCCTTGGCGTATTGGTACTCGCCAGTTGGTTGTGGAGGTGGTTGTGATGGCTGTGGAGTGACTGTTACAGCGTTGCCATCCTTGTAATAATACAATAACCCCATAATCAAACTGACAGCCACGGCCACTATCAGCAGCAAGGCAAAGGCCACTTGCCATCTCAAAACCTGGGTTTTTCTAGAGCAAAATATGAAAATGGACAACTTAGAACAGACAAAAAAATCGGTTAAGTTGCTGATTTTGGGGCGACCTTCTTGACCCTTTAAAGCACATTATCCGTTGTTTCACCCACCAACTACTAGCACTAGCAAAATTTTATGTTTCATTAACAAATTTATGTTTTATTATATTTTTGCAGACGTTTTCAACAGCCGAAGGTGAAAACTTTGCCAACAATATTGGCAGTTCCCAATTAAGGCTGCCCAATGGTTTAATTCCACGTTAGTTATTTACCCGTTTCCATTGCTCATTTGCTCATTCTCTTCTCATTTTCGTAGTTGCTATTATTCCTTTCTCGTAGGTCTAAACGTTTCATCTGTTTCTTGTTATTTAATCATCTTCCTTCCATTTTATCGACTTTTTTCTTTCTGTCTAAATATTGACATATTCTTTAAATTGACAGGTTCCCTTACTACCCTAATGAGTTCTTTGCATGTTTGAAATGTTTAAATATTTTTAAATTTGGTATTTTCTATGCAAGTTCAACAAAGAAGGAATACAATTTTGTTTTCATCGCGTCGAAGATTTCAAATGGGATTTAAAGCTTTATGATAAATGCAATAAAAAAACAGATCCACGTTTTTGATCTAGCCAAAGTTGGAAAATGAAAACTGCTACCATGACAACCTGCCTAAATTGGAAGAGATTCAATGACGTCATAACGTTTTGACGCAGAAGCCTATTATTGGAGTATAAGAACGCTTTCACGCTCATCTGGCTGTTTTTCACTGCCGATTTCCCCTAAGTCACTCGTGTGGCTCGTTGTTTCTCAAGTTAGGACTACACATAATTCTCAAAATAGACCCTGTGTAATAAATACCACTAATACTATTTACTGGCTGACTAGAACTCATGACTTTCTGGGTGAATTATATTGGGCATTTACGAGTATGGTGGACTAACCATGATTCAAACAAATTGGGTTCGGTTATTCATCACACATCATCCTTTTACAATATGAACTCCGTAAATTCACTGGTCAATCTCAACGGTTTCTGTCCTGAGTCCACGCATCTAAATTTGTGTGTCTAACTTTGAAGGTTGTTCTGGTATAATAAAACCATTGGCGCTCTGCAACTATCATATCGTCATTCCGAGCGAGGGCCAACGGTGATGTTTACTTGGAAAAGGAAGCGGAACGGCTTTCAATTTATTATTTCATTGTACCTTGTCCCCAAAACCTGCCGTCGGAGTTGGATCCACATACTCATGGAAACATGAAACATTCAAAATATATTGTGCAACAAATTTCATGGAGAGGGGAAAGGAAAGCATGGATAATTGTGAGTGTTTAAAAATACTTTTTTCAATGCATCCAACTACGAGTGGCAAAGAGTTTTCTAAAACTGAAAAGTGTCCGAAATTGTGTCTAAGAAAATTTCAGTTTATATGCTTTCAAAATAGTTTGCAAGAGTTTTCGATAGCTGCATGAAGAGCTGCAACTAGTCGTCTGTTCTGTCGACTCACTAGATGAACAACGGATAATCTCCTGCATGGCTCCTCATTAATTGTTGGTATCTTTTCGAGTGCGGAAAATATTATTGAAAGTACTCTGTATCTCAAATACACACTATTACTTCCAGGGCAGTTATACTCTGCCTAAGTGTACTCATTGAAAACGATAATCAGACTGTCATTACGCTATGTGACCCATCTTACCCTTTGAGGTTCGCTTCTTCTGTCAGCTCCAGGGTTAATTTGTCGTTTTCTTGGTTGGAGAATGTCTTGAAGTTGAAATCGTTTCCCATCTATAAAATGAAGATCACTCAATTCAACTTCCGTTTGCACTGTACACGGATTAACTAGACTTTCCTTGAAGCCCACAACAGAGAGCTCGAGTATAACCTGAAATCAGTGATGTAAATCTGTGCTGGAAATTAAGGGGGGTGGGTGGATGGGAGAAGGGGAGAGGTGGGGGAGAGGACATGACATGAAACTGTGAAAGCAGGTGGAGGGGTGGCACAATATGACTCTGACGTATATAGAGGTCGAAGTTCATGATATTAATGTACATCTGCAATATGTACATGTATTCAGAATGCCATATTTATGGCTTTTAAATAATGTTCGCCCTCTTTGAGTGATACTGAATGCATTGTAGTCGTTGGAAGTCTGAAAAAATTTGCCATCCGCTTTTATTTTTTTGCTCACCACAAAAAGTGTGGGTGTGCAGGCATGGCATACATAGTGTGGACTTCTATCTGCACAAAGGAGTCCACATAATGTAGTGTGCGATGGCGTAGTGTGGACCACAGGAGAACAAAGGAATGTCCACACTTTGTATGTAAAACAGGTATGGGTGTGGGTGTGTGTGTGGGGCGGGGGTGATTCAGTTCCCACATCCCCCCTCCAAAGGGGGGAGGGGTAAATACCCTCATCTCCCAGGATTCACGCCCATGCCTGAAATGCAACAGAGTGTGCAAAACTCAACTCAACTTCAATCAGAATGTTGATTGAGTCGAGTGCAAAAACCACAGCAGAAACGGAATTACTAGAGCGCTGCTTACTGAACGTGAGTTTCGCATGCCTATAATGGCACCACTAAAGGGCGTGGCAATCGTTATGAAGGGTCACTGCATTGAGTTTGTTTCAATACAAAGCTTACAATACACCGCTGTGTCTCGGTTAACTTCATTTCAATTTTTTCATTGTTTTCAAGTGTACTTTTCTTTGTTTGGCGCGGAGTTCCATATTAATAGCAAAGCTGTGATTTCATCTCAAGAAGAAAACCTTAATCCTAATTCGTTTGCACATTAATGATGGATTTAAAACATTTAGGCCCATTTCCTATCCTGAATTTTTATGTGACCGTAAGCCGTCACCGTGATCCTAGTCGTCTTTTAACCAGCGATATGCAGTTCCCACCTTTGCTCTCCATTGTGTTAAACTTCATTATTGAGACCAATAACTCCCACCCAAGAGTCTCAATCCGTTGCTAGAAAAAAACGCGCCCTTTCTGGTCCCGCTCGGGGCGGATTGACTGAAGCTCATCCTTTGCAGTTTGATCACTGAAAGATACATATCACCAATGATATAGTGCCTTAATGCTGAACCTCGGTCTTATGGCCGCCGTAGGCTTGATTTCTGGGCCTTGGCCTTAAGGGATCATTGCCTTGTAATTTTAGAGCCTTACTCTTAAAACCCCCCTAATTATTAAATTTCCAGGTAAATTTGTTTGACATTCTGCTGTTCTGCAAACATACGTGTACACCTTAGGGCCAGCTTTGCAGTATTTAAGATAATCGTGTTTTGCCATCGAGAAGGGAAACGTCCTAAATTCGTTCACTTGTGCATTTACAATATGAACGGTTAAAAGAACATTTTGCTGCTTCCCCCAAATAAAGCTGAAGTCACTTTACATAATATATTATAATTATAATTGTGCTTGCGTCCATAAGGCCTATAAGATTATTTTTAACTTCCAATTAAATTATATGGAATACACGTACATTAAACATCTGTTGAAGACTGCCAATCGCCTTCGCAGTATACTTCCCCACACACGGAAATGATTTTTTCTAATCACAATGTAGGTCAAATTATGGGTTTTTTTAGTTTAAGTTTCCACCGGATAACAAAACAACAATTCTTCTAGTAATTTGGGAGAAAAAAAATGTTATTTTGTGCTAGGCTTCTTTGGAGGCCAAGTTTTATTACAGTGAGGGTTAACGTTTGAGGGTCCAAACCTTGGCCTTTAGGGTCAGAGGCTTTGTGTTCAGGATCGAAGCCTTCGCTCCAACACTGCTTCTCACGAACTAAGAACGCGTCAATGCATTCAGTCGGTAACATCAAATGCGGACAGAAAACAAAGTAGGTAGACTGAAAATAACTACATGTATATTGGTTAGTACATGCTAATGGTCTAAAACGCCTAGGAGCTTTGAACAACTGGCCAAGAAAAGAATCTGAAGTAATATTTAGTGGGTTCAGAATGTTTTTAGAAAATATATTTGTAAATTCATACAATAATTTTCCCCTTAATACCATAAAACTGCCCACATTCGCATGTAAGACCAACCGTGACAAGAATAGTCCCATCCAATATTTTGTATGTCTGGTGAATCATTAATCTGTTAAGGGTTAGTTTCAATTGATTGTGTTTTTGTGGGCATTGGTTATAACAGTACAATTTTCTGTTTGCATCTTAACTGATTTTCATTTTCTGATTGTTGTTTTGTGCTTAGTTTAGATGAGATGCGCCTACTTTAAATTTTAAATGCTCTGTTTTTTATTTATTGAATAGTTAAGCTGAGTGTACTATGGCAATTTATCCTCCGGGATACAATAAAAGTGTTTGAAATAAACCACCTATAATAATAATAACAATTAAGTAAAAAAAGATTTGTGTCAAGTTACTCTTACATTTTAAGTTAGTACAGGCTATATAGTACAAAATGTCTGCAAGATTTCGGTTCATATGTTTACAGCAAACATTCGTATTATTCTAGTACAATTTCCCTGACAAGATATTTGACATAACAGTGCAATATTTATACAGTGTAGCAATCACGTCAATGGGAAGCCTCCATGAAAACTTAAACTTGAAATTAAACACATATAGAAACAAAACAATACAAAAACAAGACAAAACTAAAACAAACTCACAAAGACTTACCTGTCGAACTATACAACAGTCTATGTGGATTTTTTTGTACTTGCTGGACAAAAGCAGTGACCAACTAATTCTCACCTTTATACACTTAGTCTACTTCTACTCTGCTAGAATGATTCGTAAGGAGCATGTGGACCTACAGTCAAGAAAATATACAGAGGTTAATACAAGCCTGACGTACCAAGCCTTCGCAGGAAACAGATAATCAGTAGACAAAGCCAAAGAGACATAATGGTTGGCACCAAACTAATACGTACATATCATAGAGCGATACATGTACATGTATATAGCTTTATCAAAATATATATAGCTCTAAAGCCCCGCCATATGCATTGGGCCAGCCACAACCACCGACGTCATGAAAAGACAGTGCGTGTATACAAGCCTATCCGGTTCGTAAGTGTGACGTCACTTGAGTTTAAACCACGCCCACTGCACATGCGTATTGATCGTCTTTTACATGGAACTATGAAACCGGAAGGTAACGAACAACTTCAGCGATCATCCACGGGGACGTGCAAATCGTGGCGCGTCCGCGTGTATGACGCGTGCAAGAACCTGCTTGTAATCACCAGCCTTTCTTTCGCTGATTGGGGGTGCACTTCAGTTCGGGGTAGATAACACAGACAACAGTTTGTCACCATCAACCAAACGTCTCAACGTCTGCCAATGGTTGACGACGCGCGATACGCGTGCGTATCACCCGTGCATGAACTATGGCACGAGCGTGTACCAACACAGAAACGTCTTAGAAAAACAAACTTAAACAAATACAGGTAAACCACCGTAATTTTATTACTCTAAATACATGCTGGGGTCATTGTTGCCTTTTAAACTATGGCTGCATCCGAATCTGTTGTCTAGAGCTAGGTCTAGGTCTTCACTCTATTGAAAGTACGTGAAGAGGCGCAGACAATACACCTAGCCGTAGCTCTGGAATCCTGATACGGACACGGCCTGTATCTGGGAAGAACGAACAGCTACTTGTGGCACTGTTGCTCATTTTAGGTGGGGAGAGGGTAGGTTGGTCTCAATAAAATTCTAATCTAAATGCCAGCTGGGTAGCCTCCTTTCCGGTCGTCACTGTAAGCGTTCAAAAATCCCTGGTTGTCACGTAGTATGCCTTGTACGACACAGCCACGGGTAGATTCGTATGGGTAGTTTCCTTTTGCTCTCAAGCCGTCGATAATTGCCTGAGTAAAGAAAAAAAAGGTTTTAGGCTTATTAACAAAAAACACAAAAATGGTGCTAGCAAGATGGAGGATTAGAACAATAACACTTCCTTCAAAAATTAAGAACTCAAATTTAAGGCTTTCAGGCTTTAAAACAAAGAAATTCATGCAGTTTTCATACTACACCCCAAAGCAAGTTAGAAGTCGTTCTGACCTGATCATAACCTGGCTCATAGGTGACGTTGTTGGGGATAAATTGATGATGAATGCGCCTACGTTGGATTGATTCTTTAATATTCCGTCCATACCACAAAGCATCCGCAGATATCTACAGACACAAATATCAAAAGGACATCTGTGAATCTTGGGTAATGCCTGGAACTGTTTTCAAAGGGCAAACTTTTCCATCAATTTCTCACCTTTGTAACACTTTACACACATCGAAGAACTGACTTTTCCCGAACGTACTTTGAACGCCATAAGCAAACAACAGAGGGCACTGCACAATTTACCAACAAAAATATATAGACTAGTTTCCTGTCTTGCACAACACCAATATATGTCTGAAGACAACTACTTTACACCGATTTTTATACCTGGACTATGCCACTTGGTATCCGTGAACCCCCTGATGCACCCACCACCAGTCTAACTCCACCGTCACGATCCACTGCTATGGTGGGAGTCATGGAAGACATTGGTCGTTTTCCTGGCCGGATGAAGTTGCTCACAGACGGCGGAAAACCAAAGAAGTTCGGCTGACCAGGTCTGGAGAAATCATCCATCTCGTTGTTGAAGATAATTCCTGTACGATTTCCACGAATTTTGGATCCAAAACTGCATTGAGGGCAACGAAATAGTGGCAGAGACCAAAGCCAACGTCAAAGGTGTTAGTGATTGGGGGTTTTATCTGTTCGTCGTTCAGTCGGTTGGGTAATCCATTCAACGGATGATGAAGTTTGTCACACAATCAGTGGATCAATCAATTATTCAAACCCGCAAAAGCTATATTGATAAAGCACAGGGCGTAAACTAAGCGAGTAGAAAAGACGGATCAGTCAGTACAGCAAACAGTACCTGGATGAAGGTAGAAGGGAAACATGTAGCAGGGGTCGGCGCCTTTATGACTAGTGGTATGTTTAAATGGAGTTTCATGTCGTGTTTATGTGTACTTACAAGAGGTTTATGGTACTTGTTACAGCTACAGCATTGCCATGTGTATCAACGACCGACAGGTGAGATGTGCCGCTATCAGGCTGATTGTAGTACGCAGTATAGTAAGAAGGATCGTGAGACTCGTTGTCGCTAATAGCGGCTCGTAAGGAGTCTGCATAAGACTGTAACGTCATGTTGGCAACGATCTTTGACACAAGAAACCAATAAATTTTTAAGAGAAAAAGCTTGTGAAATTATTTTGGCAATAAAGTAAAAAAATCACAGAGGTGGATTACCAAAGAGTAAAAGCTATACGAGAGCGAAATATACGGATGGTCAGTCTGTATGTTTTTAGCCGAAGCATTATTTTCGTCAGATCTATATATGCACAAACGCTACTCACTTCTCTGACGTCGACGTAGTCTTCATCTCCAAGGAATGATCGACCTGCATACGCGAACTTGAAAGCCTCTACCATACGATGAGTTGTCAAGATTTCAGCTTCAGTGGTAGCAATGCTATCTGGACCAATGCCATAACCTAGAATCAAAGAATATGGCAAGATTAGGCTCTTTAGATTTAAAGTTGTATTTGCGTTATTTGGCTTCTTTGCCTTCTTGTTTATGTCCCAAAAGAAAAAAATCTGTCAGTTAAGATCCCTTATTCATCGACAAAAAATAGGAGCACAGTGAGACAAATTCACACGATAGGAACAGACGAGAATTATCAAAGGTGCAAAAGAGATCATGCGATTATTATTTTACATAAGAAAAGGTCCGAACCTGAGCATTGGAACTTTCAGGTCAAGCAGATTCAAGATGAAGTCCGATTTGAAATACAACCTGAAGCAATATGCTCACTTACCCTCCAGAATATTCATGATGAGTGAATAAACAGCGCCGCTAGACGGTGGTGGAGGGGTGTAAACCTTCAGATCGCCAATTTCAACCATCAAAGGTTCCTTTCGTCTCACTTTGTACTCCTTCAGATCTTCTTTTGTAATGATACCGCCTGTTTTATGTCAGACATTAGTTAGTTCAATTGATTAGAATTTTCCCGAGGTCAGGTCAGGTTCTACACATTACATAAATCACCCACCTCTATCAGCGATGTCGGCAACGATGTCATCACCAAGATCTCCTCGATAGAAGACATCTTCTCCACCCTCTGCTAGTTTCTTAAATGTCTCGGCCAGTTTGAGGTTGGTCATCCTGTCTCCTTCTCGTAGTATCTCCCCGTTTGATTTTAAAAGTATTTCGCTGAAATTTTAAATATCAGTGCAACTCTGCACATCAATCATTTTGCACCACTTTATTATCATCAGCGGCCGTATTGATCCAGCTGGGGGGTGTAGAATATTTTCACGTAACCTAACTGCCTTTATGAGAAGCGAGGCTACATTTGGGGCCTTTTTACATGCTTTTTAGAAGGGTAGGAAGTGCAAATTGGCTTTGTCATTATTCCTCAATAAAGTATGACCTGCGTTTCCCCCGCTCCGCCCTTCATGAACACGCAATGGAGCAACCAGAAAAACCTTAATTTCCTTATTCATTCCATACCAATGTTCAATGTACAGAGGATAACGTATGCTTAGCATTATTGATATCAATTGGAAGCTCGATTAGTTAGCCTCACCTCAAGCTTGGATCCGCCTTGATAACACTTTCACGAGCGCTTATAGCTCTAGCCAATGCCGCGCCTACAACCAGACCCTCCTCCGCCAATTTGATGGAAGGTTGAAATAAATCACTCCAGGGTAGCACACCGTATCGTTGATGAGCGGTCCAGTAACCTGCTATCTCCCCAGGAACAGCAATGGCTAAGCCACCTGAAGTCAGAAACGAAGACATTTTGTCCCACTCTCAAGAAGGGTTTAAGTATATATGGCACGTTCTACACATAGGTCAACTCAAACTTCGAGCCTCAAATATATCCTGTGAGGAGCACTACCGGGTACTGCATGTACTATATAACATTTCAACGTTTTGTTTTGCCCATTAAATGCCTCTGACAGTTTTTGTTGGAAATAAAAACATTGAAAGTGTGCCTTTACCTAGGGTAGACGCATCGTCTGTTTCATTTTCATACAGAGTTTCGAAGGCAGCGAGTGGAGCTCTCTCCCTTGCATCAAGCACATCTGCGTTTCCTGTCCTAGCGTTGTAATGTACCATGAAAAATCCACCTCCAACGCCCATACTTTGGCAGTTATGAAGACTGACACACAGCAAGGCTGCAATAGCTGCGTCTACTGCTGAGCCTCCTCTAGTCATGATATCTCTGAAAACAAAACAAAACAATGATTGCTGGCTCTGTGAAAAAAGGTCCTGAGAAAAACCAAATATTGAGCACATTACCACATGAGACTTTTTCCTTCAACTGGTCTCCGGCACCATTTCAAAATTCGTATCGTTATCGGTTGCCTATGGGGATAATTGTTCTCAAGTGGCCAATTCTATCCGATACCTAGACTGATACATTGTATTGCTCCCAAGGCTGTGTGGTTTCAGTGGAGCAAGTTGTAAAAGAAAAGTAACCTACTAGACTCCCTAAAACCCAAACCAGGCTAATGGGTACTACCTGCTGTCATCTGTCAACGCCGATTAGCCACTTGTCCTCCCGGCCCCAAAGTAATCCACCCCCCTTCATTCCATCCTATAAGCCACCCGATGACTACAATGAAATGTGATCGGGTGGTTATTGGTCCACTATTTATTGGTCGGATAGCCCTGTCCGATACTCACCCGATAAGAATTTTGAAATGATGCCTCCATTGGAAGCATCCATTTTACTGGCTAAACGCGTCACGCATGTTTCAACATAGGAGCATGATATTCAACTTCTTTTCCTTCCAATTCATAAACAGTTAATTTCAAAGCCGTCTAGAACGTGCTACAACGAATTTAGTCACTCCAAAGATCAATTATCTATCTCCTTTGTTCTATTCTCTCATGAAATGGAAATACAGAGAATACAGTTTCATTTGCGTTTGCATAGCCCTTATTTCTTGGCGCATAAAATTGTCGAACAAAATGGACATAGAAATAAGTATGGAAAAGACATACCTTAAAAACTTAAATGCAAGTAAACTAAAAATATGTTTCAAAAATAAGTGAACACATGGAAATGTAAAAAAGGCAAATATACAATCGGGCGACTAATTTGAATGAAATTTAAATGAAATTGAAAGCCCGACATGACAGAAGTCTTTCTTCTGTTGTTCATTTGGCAGCTGAGGACGACTAAATCCTATTATCTTTCACGAAAAAGCGTGGTACGTGTATGGCATCGTTTGAATAAAGTTCAAACATGTGCTACGTACATGACATCGTTTGAATAAAGTTCAAACATGTGCTTCGTGCATGACATCGTTTGAATAAAGTTCAAACATGTGCTACGTGCATGACATCGTTTGAATAAAGTTCAAACATGTGCTTCGTGCATGACATCGTTTGAATAAAGTTCAAACATGTGCTACGTGCATGACATCGTTTGAATAAAGATCAAACATGTGCTACCAGAGACAAAATTCAAAAAAGGGATGTGAGCGATCATGAATATTAGAGACAAATTTGAAAATGACCGCTAATGAATTTGAACAGAAAATGTATGAAAATGCGCGGGGAAACCAAGTCACATCCACGTCGTCATCACTCTGCTTTTCTACAGGTATACACAGGACAGTTCACCAGCCGACTCACCGGCCAATCTCTGAGCACTCGCCAGCATCAGCAGCCACGGCAGCCTTGGCGTATTGGTACTCGCCGGTTGGTTGTGGAGGTGGTTGTGATGGCTGTGGAGTGACTGCTACAGCGTTGTCATCCTTGTAATAATACAATAACCCCATGGTCACACCGACACCCACGGCCACTATCAGCAACAAGGCAAAGGCCACTTGCCAGATCCAAACCTTGGATTTTCTGAGACAAAATCAGAAAGAATTAATCGCATATTTGTAGACTTTTCCCTGCCAGTCTCGGAATTCTTAAAAGGTAGTTTATACTTCAAGCGAATGCGAAACTAAAGCGACTTTGACGCAACAAAATTTGCATCAAACTTCACTCGAGTTGAAATGTGTTCAACTTTTACAAATTTGCAACGGGAATATTTTGATCTGCCCTCACAAAGTCGCGTTTGTTTTTGCTTTCGCCCGAAGTATAAACTGACCTTAATTATGACAGATGAGCGTGTAAATTAAGATCAATGCATGACCGTGATATTGTAGTGCCGGCGGGTCCGGCCAGTGGGGGCGCCAGCTCGGACCCGCATGGAGTTGGCTGGCTGCCCGCGCTGGTATGCGAACGGCCCGCGGTTTTCCCGCCTCGCGCCTGCGCAGTCCCTGAAGAGCACATTGTGGTGTACGCTACAGCAATAAAACAGAGATTTCGTGACCAAAACAGCGAGATGTGTGTCATTCTATACCAGCGTCGAACCCTGATCAGTAGGACACGCTACAATATACATGTCCATAAACCTTCAAGCCTAGTGTAGCCTATTTAATTCATAATTCACTGTGTCAGTCAATAAGTACAATGCAGTAATTTTCTTTTCTTTTGCCAAGAGAAATAAGAGCGTCTATGGCACAAACGCCATGCATGGTAAGAAAGAACCTGAGTTGTTTAACTCAAATCCGCAGTTCGACCTTCCACAAACAGCCTCCTATTGTTTGGGTGAACTCCGGTGTTGTGCTAAACGTGAATTCCCCGTTCATTGCTCAGTAACCCACAAACCCATTCATCCTGTGCCTTATCGCGCATCCTTGCGGAAAAGTTAGTGCCTGAAACCTTAGTAATAGTAGTACCCTCCAACGCCCTTTGTTGGTTGAATAGGTGAATGGCTTTTGTAAAGAATTGGTGTAGGTATCCATACAAACGGAATACGTGGCAGAAAACAGGTTGGTAGTGTTCATGTTTATAGTCGTACTCGACTTACTTTTGGTAGGCTTCTACTCTCCTTTATAAATATGAACAAGAAAATTTTCGCAAACTCGTGGAACTTGACAATTACTTAATGCCTTTCTATGGTTTCTTCTTTGATCGTAATTTCACTTTATATAGCGCCAACGGAGTGAGAACAAGTACTCAACTTCCCACTTGATGCCAGTGGGAAAAGTATTTGTGCATGTGCTTTAAGAAGTGTTGATGGTCTTCTAGTGACCTTCGAATTTATTTGCTTGTTTGAATATTTTAAAACATAATACAATATTATTTTGTCAGTGGACGCAAAGCCATTTAGCGGAGACGAATTTCCGCTGCAATTAAAGGAAATTTGGGAATACTTCTGGAACATTATGACACCACGATAATGTAGACTTTCGGCGCTGTGTTAATACCGTACTCAAGTAAGAGTCAGCATTTAAACACTGCTTATGCACACTACGACGATCCCCATGGACAACCTACAGAACCATAATAACTCTCACATCTACTCTAATGTACCAAGATCATTGCAATGAATAACGGATTTAATAGATCAAGTATTCCTATAAGCAAAACAGTTCAGCCACCTGAATTCGGGTCTTCAGCTAATAGGTAATGTGTACCAGAATTATGAGCAGCAACTTTATTGATACTGGGATATTTTGTTACTGTTCAGTGCCGGACCACGCAGTGAACAATTATCGCTATCACTTGACCCATACATTTAGTGTGATATGACTATAGTTTTCTCAACACACGTTGATTTTTTATAGACTTAATTGAATTTAATTTTGGGAAGTTATGAGACCACATATTCCAGTTTTAATGGCTGAAATCGGTGCACGAACGCCCGTTATCCTGCCTCTGTGAAGTTGTCTCTATACCCTGAAAGTATGTGGGAGTGAGTGATCAACACTGTTTACGTTGTATAATCTAGCTGATAATCGTAAGAACGGTGGACTGGCCATAAGTTGAAGTTTAAATTGATCTGAAAAAGTCTCCTTCCCCGCCGCAAAGATAAGCAACGAAATCCTGGTGGGAGAGATTTTTAAAAGAGAAATAATAGCCTCATTCTGGTATTGTATGACAATGATATGAGCTGACCAGATTTTGAAATCCTACAGTACTGAACTGACTCGGCTCTCTTAGATCTAGGTGAACTCTGGACTTGCTCGGACTTGTAAACAACCTGCAAGCACATTCATCGGTTCTTTTTATAACCAACACATTAATTTAGAAGAGATTGATTCCACATGGTGTGCGCGAAAAACCTCTCATGGTATAGACTACATCATGCAAAGTCTCGAATCTCACTTGTTACAACATCACGAATGTATCATATTAATTGCTCAAAGAGTGGTCTCTCTTACTCTTTAATGTGCACCTGTTCCATGTCCAAAGTGGCTAACTGCTGGGTCGAGCTGGTACCGTCTGGCATCTTCGATCAATTGCACACTGTGCAGTTCACTTATCGAGAAACAAATCTCAAATGTACTGCTGCGCGACTGCAACCACCAGTTGGTTCCAGGAGCGAATTAATAACCAGGCTGGGTATTAATAAAAATGCACTTTTACCAAGGACCTGATGACACTGGAATAGGTTCTCCAGATGTGAAGTCAGTAACGCTGTGCAGTGCTTGGTCCAAGACAGACTTATTCGGGCGTGAGCGTGACGTCAGTCAACACAACGAGGCCACAGCCCCGTTTTACAGCAAGCGTTGTAGGCCTATGTGTTGTTTATCAGTGTTGTTCAGTCAATAATAAAAAGTTAAATTCTCGGCGGAGGTCATCCCATTCACACCTTTCTTATTTTTTTCACCTAATACGGTTTACAATGACATGTACAGTCAACACACTTGATCCATGTGTGTCTGGGTCAGGGTTGCAAAAGCGCACTCTACATTATCTTTGCAATAAAAGCTCATAGTTGAGCTTTGGCTCATTTCTAGCCCTTAGCGTACACGGTGAGTTCCAAAGTGAATAAGTCACGTACACATTACTACGAGGGTAAAAGGCATTAGTATGGAATTCCATATCTGCCGTCGCCCGTCGTCTTTTGCTTTTTGTTGTGTCCCAATTCTGCCATTTACCAGTTCAAAACATGCCATTTTCCGTCGCCCGTCGTGCGTCGCCCAACAAATGGGTTGCATAGGACCTGCAAAAGCCAGGGTTCAACACAATTATTGAATTAACAATGTGATGATTCCATTCACTTTTAATGATCTTTTCCCAATAAGGCAAGTACAAATCCCACCTGCACTGAGTACTAGTCCCATAATTAATGCCAATAATGCTAGACTACCCCTGCCCCTTGACAAGAAAATGTCTCCTTTCTGAGAATTCAACCAAGTGTTTTTTGGGGGAAAAACATTTTCAGCAAAAATGTTCAGGCCAACTTATCCACAGTCTAATTCTAATTTGCATACTGTAAAAATGTGCCAACTTGTTTTCATCAAATTCTAGAAAGAAATCTGCCAACCGATACACATATTCCATTTTGCCCTCTCAATTTCACCTTAAATACAGAAATACTAGACAGTGCTATGGATAACAAATCGTTTACTAAATGTATTGTTAGGGGGCAATTATCACTTGGTTTAAGTTTCAGAAAATGTGACGTGTTGGTTTTGTGGGTGTGTATGTCATGATGGATAGACCAATGAGAACAAGTTGTCAAGCATATCAGCATTATTTATGGGGCTAACAAGAAACCTTACTGTTTAAAAGACTTCTGTGAGCCTACCTGCAACTCAAGTCATGTCTAAATTGGAGTATACAGCAGATTTCATCATAGATATACCCGCCCTCAAAATAACGTTGAATCAGTTCGTCTCTTATGAAAACTATTAAGGAATCAAACATTGTAAATAATCTATTATTTACATTCTGTTCGGTGTGATATCGTGCAGGGACAGACAGAAATGTTACATAGGCTATAGACCTAAAGTCAGACCGTTAATGAGTAAAGTTATGAATAACTAAGTTATCGAGAAAAACAATCTATCCTAACAAAAGTCTATTTTGTTTATTTATGTAATAAAAATGGTATTATTTCATATACACGTCACTTAACCGATGTCAGGATGTTATTTCTTCTTTCAATTGGAGTTTGGCTCAACTGCAAAATTGAATACATGTACATCTTCTAGTTCTATTGCTAAAATAACAGTCGTGCATGGTGGATCGATCGAACAAGGACATGTACATGTGAAACGATCAAGGGTCAATACCACTGCGCAATCGTAACAAAAAAAAACCACGGACGACGGGCGACACACGACGGGCGACGGACAACGCACGACGGGCGACGCAAGACACACGACGGGCGACGGCAGATATAGAGTTCCATACATTAGTGCAGGATGTGAACCAACACGCGCGCGTACTCCAGTCGTTTGTCTTACTTTTCCTGGTAACGGTCTTAAACTCATCGGACGTTTACAAAATGCATAAAAACCAAGTTATACCTGTCCAGAGAGCGATATTCTGACGTTGTCCAAGACCTTCCATGTTTATATCATTAAAAAGAATGGTTACATCCTTTTCTTTAGATTTTTTTAAAATTAACACATTTTACATAGTACACCGACGTATATTCATAACACTAGTTTGTCCAAAAGCTTGCGAAAAACCCACAAGCTATACTCGCGTGGTACTCGATCCCATGATCTCCTACTTAGTAATACAGACGTAAACCAGTCGACCATCCAGCTTGCCTGGGTCAACTGGTCGTTCCGAGTCAGATTTGCAGGGCAGATATATTTTCGATGCTCGGGGCAACGTTAAATTACTGTAACATGACGCATGAGGGGGTAATCATAGTACTGGCGGGTTCGCATCGCATGCGTCGGCGGCACCGGTATTTCATGAACAGGCACAAAGGGCGTGGATACGGTATGAGCGAAGTTCAATTCCCAGCTGTGATAAGTAGCAAGTAAACATCAATCTTTCCAATCTTAATGATTTTCCTATCAAGGATTTAACGATTGGCCACCAAAAAAGCCTTGTATTCAAGCAATCAAAGTATATCATAGCGTGCTTATATGGGTCAAAAATTTCTATTAATGTTTCAGTAATTGTTGTTTATCTGTCTACTTGACCGTGAGTTAATTCTGTGCATGCAAGATTTTTGCAGTGCGGTACAACGGTAAGTTCCAACAAAATTGCGGCTGATTTCTGCAAACATCAAGTCAGGTGAAGGACTGGTCTGCATTGTCATTTGAGCAGTTTTAGTTGAAGCTTCAATTAATTAGACCAATAAAAATGGCGATAGGCTATCGATGTTATAGACCGAAGCTCGCTGATTTTGGGTTAACGACCAAGGATTCCAGTGTGTTTTACTCCGCGCAGGTGAGTTTACGAGGTTTTATGTCCCTTCAATGAGCTATGATCGGTTGTAGGATGGAGATTAGGCTGCTCTAGAACACCATGACACGATAAAATACTACGTGTATAGGTCGTTGACAAGATGGAAGGTTTTGATGGCTTATGAGTATCTCATAGCCAAAATCATTCGTACAAGTTGTTGCTGCAGGTACCAGAAAAGTTCTTCAAGAGATTTTACACAATGGATCAAACTGGTATTTATTTTGCCAGGAATTCACCGTTTTACTCCATATCACCAATCTTTTGCAGTGGACAAAATGGCCCCGATTCCATTACGTGTTCGTGTTGTACCGTATCCTGGTAGCTCTCTATGTGCTGGGTATCTTTATCATGGTTCTGGTCCATGACGTCAGACTACGTGGAGGTCAATCCTTTGTTTATCTGACCATGCTGGCATTTATAGTTGTCTTCATCTATCTAATGGTTGCTGGCTTTGTTGCTTGGCTCGATGGCATCATCTTGCGTGCACGAAACCATGAAGGTATCAACGTCTATATTTTGTTTTACACTTGTTTTTAAAAACCTTCCAAATTCACAACTGTAATAATGTAACAAGAGCATCAGACAATTGAATGGTTATGACAATGGAAGTTCCATTTACCCATAATGCGTTTTCATAGAATCAGAGTTTACAAGACACAGTCTCAAATCAAGTTTTGCATCAATACTATTTTCCCGACAGTGATGGCCATAAGACACAAGATCCAGTGGTTTTTCTTCAATGTAACCATCGATACCAACCTCATTGTCACCATCCTTTACTGGAGCTTCTTGTACAGTCCAGAGCAGAATCCACCAAGCTTTCGCAACTTCAACGTCCATGCTACACCTGCCATCATCACGACACTGGATCTGTTCTTGACGGCGATTCCTGTGCGGTTCCTTCACTTCATCTACCCTTTGGGTTTCGCCATTTCCTACATCGTCATGACTCTCATCTTCTGGGCAGCTGGGGGAAGGACGCCCTCCGGGCCAATCTATCCTTTCTTAGATTACGACGACGATCCTGGCCTTGCTGCAGGGGGTATTTGTGGGGCTATTGCCCTCGGTTTTGTCGTGCATTGCGCCTTTTGGTGCATTTACAAATTCCGGGTGTGGGTATGGACGAAATGTAGGGGTGATCAGATCTCAGACGAACTAAGCATAATAGACACTCCCATGTAAGACAAGTGGAAAAGCACACAATATGGCCTCAGCAAAGCTGAAACATCGCATTACTACTTTTGGGCCCCGAGCTGAGTTTTACGGGGCTCTGGAAGTGTCGTCCGATTTCTCAAGCTTGAGTCTGAAACATGATTTCTCATGACATGACAACATGTCGCAGGCTAGATGACAACATCCTGGAATAACGACATCCTGAAAGTAAACTGACGACATCGTGAGATAATATACCGCAGGATGACGGCATTCTGAAGTAATGTAACACGGAGTGGTGACATCCTGCCAATGTGATATCGACATCCGCAGATAATTTACACATCCTGAAAGTAAGCGATACATTATCTTTGGGTGTCGACATCCTACTCTGAGGATATCACCAAGGAAACTGTCTTCATTAGTCACGTTGTCACCATGGTAAGACTGTGAAAAAAGATGTAAATTTCCTACTTCAGGGATGTTGACAACCTGCCTGTAACATGACTGTTGTCATCCTTAGAATGATACTGTCAGGAACTCAACACGTTGGACGGCACCTCCAGATCTCCGTAGATTTTGGCTCGACACACGAAATTATTTGAATAGGCAAGACATCTTCTCAATATTTGTCGCCTGAATTAATCGATAACTTTTGTGAACATTTTTAATGATTGCCATTTTGTGATCAATAAATGGATACTTCGTTGCATAATATTCGTCCATTATGAATTCTCAGCATAACCATAGCATAACAAAACACACCACACGTCATGCAGGCAACTGACTAAATTCAGTCTCATTAATTAGAATCACGAACTCAGTGTAAAGCAGCCTATAGGATTGACCTTCGTGAGAATTGGTCTTTTATCATCCATTGAGGTTGCCTGGGGATATCGCGTGGAAACTCACTAAATTTACCGTACTCCTGTGAAGGTGGTAATAAAACCCCAAGGATCGCTGTCTGAAAACAAGCTTTTCAAAACTGCGCTCATTACGGCACAACAATATCAGTCACTGTTTACTCGGGAACAGCGAAGCTTTTACGGCTCGTGCTTGAATGTAAACCTTGCGGAGGTGTAGGGTTGACAATAACCACTCAGCAAGCACTTTGCTCAAATAAAATATTAAACGTGGGGGGGGGAATTGTCTGTTTAACCGTGACCACCAGGGAATGGATAATTAATATGCTCACTCGGAGAATAGCTGGAACACGGAGAGCCACTGGCTTTTCACTTCACGAAAGGGAGACGAGAGCGAAAACAGAATAAGTTGAAGAGAAAGAAGAGTGGAAATACTGGATGCTGATGAGAAAGCTGGTGATAATGGAGAACAGTCAACTCGTCAACGCAGAGACATTGTGACAATTGAACGAGTTCATCCTGAGTTACTCCTTGGGGTTCCGGTTATAAGATAAAATTAAACGAGCTGTATTTCCTGGCGCTTTGAACTACGACAGAAGAGAACTCCGTATCAAAACGTCGCGTTAACTCTCACCGGTTCTTCTAAGAACCACATCTCTTCCAAAAAAGATTTATTTCATATCTCAAGAACGTATTGCTGTTGAGTCACTGCAGAATATAGTGGACATAATATCGTTGATTATGCTTTGCCAAACGTTGTTCTTTTTGATCAGCATTATTCTCACTGTTGAATGTCAGATGAAGATTTGCTATCCTTCTGTCCATGGGGTTACTGGCAAGAATGCATGTCTCTCTGGTTGGATGTCATGGGGAGGTTCATGTTACTTCCTCACCAGCGAGCAGTCCGACTGGTTTGGAGCCTACGAGGCTTGCCGTAAGAAGGGCGGTGTGCTGGCTGCACCACGGTCGACAGAAGAAGATGAATTCATGGCCGGAATCTTACAGGCAAGGGGAGAGAAGCTTGCTTGGATCAACTGTAGCGACACAGAAGATGAAGGTTCGTGGAAATGCAGTGTCGGAAAGGAGGAATCTCATTTCAGGATGTGGGCAAACAGCGAACCGAATGCTGAGCAACAAGGAGTAGATGAAGACTGTGTCATGATAAACAAAAGAGGTCGCTGGGGGGACGTTAGGTGCGCTCGGTCGTTACCTTCTCTGTGTCTGACCATTCAACCGGGTCTGCACTTGCTGAATTGAACTTAAAACTGTCGCTTGGAGATGCCAAATAGTGAATATCATAATGACAGGTCATTTCTTTAGAACAGTGTTTTGCTGAATGTTCATCGATATTGAGAAATACATCCACAGATGTGTAAATACCTATTGGAACATGTGTCGCAATGACAAACAAGTGAAAAGTGAACTTAAAAATTAACACTATATCATCATGTTATTCAAGTAAATTTGCAATTTCAATGTCAGAGCAGACACTGCGTAATTTTTATTTTAAAAGACCTTCGGAGATAAATAATGCATAATCTTCATATTTGTGAGTATCAAAAGCTTTCTTTCTATGTCTCACATTTACTGCTCTTTTCTCGGACAATTATACGCTACAACAAGTGGAAGAAATAATGTCCATAAACAGGCAAACGAAACGGTATACGAATGTACTGTTTATTTCTTGCAAGAAATAAGTAGGCCTACGTATTATGAAAAGTCAAATATATTGTTCAAATGTTCTCTATCCAGTGGGCTTTCGACAAACAAACGTACATCATGCGATGAAAAAAAGATTGAAACATTTTTCAAATTGATCGAATAAAGACTAATTCAACCCTTACATTACAAACATGATCATTGGGTGAGACAAATCCGTTTGAAATTTGACGAAATTAAATGGATAAATGTTGAAAAACACTGACCTCTAATCACTTGAAATGACCAATGCCTCAATTCCTTGCAGCATTCGCGCGTTTCTTCTTGAAACAAATTTGGAGTTAAAACCAATATGATTTTGGACGTAAAAAGTTTGAACATGTGCGGGAAAACCAGTTATCACAGATATCAGCTTATTTGAAGTTTCACTTTTAGTCTAGGAACTTGTTTCCTTTTCTTTTAGGGGTGGGGGTAATTAGTCTCCTACGACCATGCAATGTACATTGAATGAAATTTCTTACATTCTTCAAGTTGCTGCTTGAATGCAAAACTTCAATGTCATCACTTCCTTAAAAGTGTTTTCAATTTGAGGGGAATCTCTAACAACACTCTTTTATATGTCGTTTTAAAACAGGTTTGAACAAATTCTTTCACAAAGTCTGATAACAGTAGTTCTCAATGCTAAATTTAATACAAGTCCGTTTTGCGCGCACGTCATTTTTTAAAATGGGAATGATAGACGATGGGTGTACAGCATGGAACACTGCCGACATTTATTGACAACGCGCTGCATGCACAGGAGCCGATAGAGGGCGGCACATTTATAACAAGATGGCGACGGGCAATCAGTGGGAAGGTAAAGACACGTTGGAACTTCGCTTTCTGTTCTGGTTTGGAATGTTCTTTTGAATTTCACAGCTGTATGACGTTTACCTAGGTTATGTAGAACATACAGTACTTATATTTTCAGAAAGGTGTTTCAATGGTTCTCGCAAAACTGTAAATGACTTAACGTTAAGTCTTGAACTTAAGTTGACATGAAGGTACACGCGTACACGCAACTACTACGTACTAGGCCTACCAGTACCAGCACACGACACAGGAATGTGCGTGACCGTACCGTATACGGTACAGACGGCCTGCCAGGAGCGCCCTCCCTGAGGACATATTTTGTTATTTGGATTTAATGACAATGAATGCACAAAAGGTTTACTCGAGCCTATCTCAGAGTGTATTTCTTCCCTCCTCAAGAATAGGCTCAAGTAAACCTTTTGTGCATTCATTGTCATTAGCCTAAATCTGGAAGGTGCTACACACACGACACAGGCCTTTTATCACGGTAGCCTCGGCCTATCAGTCTATATAAAAAAAAAGAATCTATTGTAGACAAAAAAACTGGGCCTACGACTCTGTTTCACTATTGTAGTTAATTTGGTATTGGCAAATTTCAATTTTTGGGTCTCAACATGCCTGAATGGTGACCAATCATGGTGATAGTTTTTCATATTCATTAGGGCCTACTTCTAGTTCTACAAATTTTGGGCAAAATGAGAGTGGTCCATACTAGGCCTGGGCTGCATCCGAATTCAGGCTTCCAGAGCCTGGGCTAGCTTGTCATGCATTTCTATTGTCAGCGTGTGCCTAGGTACTTTCATGGGCAGGGATCTTAGTCTTTGTTTTGTCTGCAGAGAAAGTTGGGACCTTAGTGATGAAAACCCCTAATGATATGAGTGACTGATGGTGTGACATTTGTTTTGGAAAAACATGCCATGGATATCATGTTTTTGAAGTTGTCAGCATTTTCTTCACACACTAAAATAAGGTGATTTTTTGGAATAAAGTGCATGTATTGTTGTCATTATGTCACACATTACTTTCTGTTCAACAGCCTGTAGCTGACACTAATGACTCTCTGATCTATTACCATATAACTGCTCAATTCAAGGAGTTAGGATTGCTAAACCAAATTGTCATGGCGGCCAGTTTCTATGATCCTTTGACACTAATCAACTAATAAATTACTTTTCTGGTTTTCAATTTCATTTTTCAGATCTGCGTAAGCAGGCAAGACAAGTGGAAAATGAAATTGACTTGAAGTTGGTGTCTTTCAGTAAACTTGGAACGAGTTTCAGTGCCCATAGTGATAGAGACCTGAGGTAAACTATAAAAAGGGATTGTCCTTGGGTTTTATCCAGAATATTCCTCTAGGATTTTCCTTCCACCTCTGAAGTAGTTACTTCCTCTTATTGTCTCTTCTCTACAGGTTTCTTCAGGCTCATGAGCTACAGTCCTTGGGCACTTTTGAGGAATCCTCTGGTGTCATTACCAGATATGATTAACAATACTTTACATGCATATTTGTAAACAAGTTTTTTAGTTAGTGGTTACAGAACCAAGGGTTCCTCATTAAGGCATAAGAAATGCAAGCACTGTACATACAGGTCTATCATAATATGTAGTTGCAAGGCTAATGAAAAACTGTGTGAGGAAAACCCTGCTGTAGTCTTCCTGGAAAAAGCTTAAAAATTAAGGTAGGACTTACGCCCATATGTCTGGTTGGGATTCAGACATCAATCAGACAAAAAAACACATCACCAAATTAACTCTTTATGTATGGATTTTTAACCTTTTGACATTATAAACATAATGTTTTGTTTTTATAATTAACTCTAATTGATAAGTTTTGCCTACACGTGCACAGCTCATCGGACACTTCACCACTTCTAAATGCTTCCAACAGTGAGAGAATGTTTGATACTATGGCCATGGAGATAGAGAGGTTACTGTCAAGGGTGAGTGGATCACTTTGTCAACTACTCCCCCCCCCATAAATCCTGCTGTTGCCTTGACGGGTTGACCCAGCAATAGGTTGTCTGTTCCAAAATCTATTGCACTGCGTAATTCCAGTAAGGTGGAATTATGCAGGATTTTACATGTGTTAGGAATGGCATTTCTAACAAAGTCATCATGTCAATTACTGGAAAGAAATGCCATGGCAAATTTCAACCAATAAAAACCGAGAGTTGCGAGGCCATTATCAGGTCTTATAGTCAGGTTGTAGTCCACACTCATTGTGACATTTGAAGTGAACAGTTAGCAATCACAGATTACCAACACAAGGCTGATGAAAGCAAATATGCTGTATCTTGATGGTTAATATTTTCTGTTCAACCACAGTTGTCTGACATCAATGACAAAATGGCAGACTATGCTACCAATGTGTCATCCACTGCCCCCAGTGCAGCCCTCTTACATACCTTACAACGACATCGAGACATCCTACAGGATTACAGTCATGAGTTTAAGAAGACCCAAGCCAACATCTCGGCTTGCCGGGAACGAGAAGATCTCCTTGGGTCAGTCCGAAGAGAGATTGACTCCTACAAGAACTCATCGGGTCTGAACCGCAGAACAGATCTGTACCTCAAAGAGAACGAACATATAAGAAAGTGAGTTGAGCCTGATGACATCATTTGTCCAGAAAGTTTGTAACAAGCTTCTCAGTATGATTAATTTTTTGTTAATACTGAATAAATAATGAAATAACCTCTTTTTGTATTTTGTTTTTAGTGCTGACAGAATTGCAGATGAGACAATAGGGTAAGTTTGAAAAAGTGTATTTTTAAAAATACATGTCTGTTTTGTTTCAATAAACATTGTTACTACATCTCATGCAGATTTCATGGGCAAACACGTCGCTCCTAAGAAACAATGTTAACGTGACAGCAAAACACGTACAGTAGCTATCTCCTACCTCTGAATATATGAAGACCAATCATTTGACACTTGACTGTAAACCAGAGCTCCATTCCTGTAACAAGATATGAGAATTTTGTGTTTTCAGAGTTGCCATAGCAACAAAGGAAAATCTGATGTCACAGCGAGGTACACTGAAGAAAATCTCCACCGGTGTGACCAACATGGCCAGTATCCTTTGAAATATTGCAACCACTACTTCTGAGCACTGGAGAAATATGATTACCAATTCTAGTGGCTATCTTCGTGGGCGTAAATCCCAGGGGGAAAAGGGGTAATATACCCCCCAAACACTCTTGGAGGATGAGGAGGGGCTATTGAATCACCCCCCCCCCCCCATTTCGTTTGTGGTGAGAAAAATTAAATCAGATTGTGAAGAATTTTTCAGACTATGAACTAAAATGCATTCAATATCACTCAAGTCTCAAAACTGGGAAAACATTTAATTAACTGTAAGTATACCATTCTGAATACGTACTACAAATGTACATCAATATCATGAACATCAACCTCTATATGGAGTCATATGGTGTCAAACCCTCCCCTTTCCCCCCCCCCCAATTTCTGGCAAGAATTACTCCACTGGCCACCTTCTTTAACCTTTTTTAACCAGATCGATTCCCAGTTATCAACAGCCTAGTTCAAAGAATAAACCTCAAGAAGAGAAGAGATTCCCTCATCCTAGCCGGCGTCATTGCTGTGTGTATCATATTTATTCTGTGGTTTGCATTCCGTTAAATGGAGCAGCATACACTCTTACCTAACTACTGAAAGCTATCTTGAGGTTCAGGAAGGCTTCTGTATGATCTAGACGTCTTGTCTTGGTGAAAGGTATAAACAGACTGTGGCCTGCAAGGACTCATTGAAAATAACCACATTGGCCTTCTGCACTGTTTCCCATTCTGCCAGTGTCATGCAATTATGATACACTTACATGTAATTGATTTCCAGATTTCAAGTTCTTATTGGGTGTGCACCTGCAAAGGCTCAGGCTTTCCATGGTGTAAAGTTTGAAAGCGTTCAAAACAGCAGAAAAGGCAGAAAAAGTTATAGCTTGACATATTTTCTCATAGAATTGGTTTAGCAGTCACATTGGACTATTAACCATAAGCTGTTTGGCATGAGCCTGACCATTGGAGGTACATCTTCAGCAAAACCATCATCATTTACATGTATAGCATAGTTTATGTGTTATATACTTGTAAGAGCAAATCCTGCCTCTTAACATCTAACTGAATGCCACTCACCAATAGCTATTGCTAGAGATGTAAATAATTCACATTTATTGTGTCAATTGAGACGATTGTTTTCTTAAGATTTTCTAAATATTCCATCGGACTCAATACTCTTGACTCAACTCACCAGACTTCAGTACTTGGAGGGAATTTCAGGGACTATCCCTTCACAAGAATGAAAAGCTAAAAAAGCAATTTCCACGATTCAGTTAGTGTCATTGTCATCATTGTAAATAAAGTAACTTGTACACATTTATCCGTTATTTTGTTGCAAGATCATGTGTATTTACTAAATGCAACATCACCAGAAATCATAGTGTAATTATGTTTGTAAAAAGTAAGGTATTGGGCAAAAAAAGAACTACATGCATACATTCTATACGAGTGTCTATCTGCATCTTTGATATCGTTTCATCCGAACACAAGTCCCTTGTGTAGATTTAAGTGACATCATCATGTTGTGCAAATCATCATTCCATGCGAGTCACAAATAACATACACTTCACAGTCTTTTTCATTAACGCGAATATTTACAAAAGCTAGTACAAACATATTTTCTATCAATACCAAGCACTTTTAAAAAATGGAAAGTACAAGGTGATTATCTGAAGACAATCAATTACAATAACTTTCTGTAAATAAATTAAAATACGGCTCACACACAAGTTTACAAATACAATCAGGCAGCTACTGCAGTAATTATTTACATTATCTCAAGGCATCAGTACTGTCGCAATCAGCTTATCTAAGATTGGCTTGAAGTTTTTTCCGTTTTGGACTTTTGGCAAACTTTTGAGAATGCAGGACCTGCTGGCAATTTTTAGGCCAAGGTGTGGCTTTGCTAAAATGTCTGCCACACTAAGATTCCTTTTTCAGGGTTTCAGTTGTCAGTAGGCATTATCACAATATGGCAAACATTTAAAATTGTTGGCAATATTTGAGCAGTTGACAAATAAAGGTTTATTTTAGCACTCCATGGAAAAGAGCAAGTGGCTGCAAAAATGCACATTTAGCTGGAACTTTGGCTGCTGTTTCAAATTTGCCAGCAGGAATCCTGCTTGTATGTGTGTGTTTTCCGGAGAAATATTGACCTCTTGTTCCAGACCCACTACTCCCCTCCCCCATGAACCACGCCCCCTCTCCTCTCATACTTTACCCATACATGACCACTTTATCATTACAACTAGACTGCAGTGATATGCTATGACTGAGGAGCTAGTTTTACAACCAGCTACCTGTAGTCTTGTCTTACATGCCTAGCACGGTTTCACTTGTCATTTCTCCATCATACCTTGCCTATCCTTAAGACAGGGTGTATGTTACTTCTGCCTACAAGTGGACAGAGTCTCGGCAATCCCCCACCCCTTCTACAAGGCACTCCCCGATCTCTTCAGCATCATAATCAACTTGTTGCAATGATGTGCTATGACAGAGGCACTGTTCCCCCTAGCACTGTTCTGTCTTGCACTGTTTTGTCGAGCACTTTGTTGTCGTGCGCTGTGTAGTCTGGCACTGTTCTGTCTATCACTCCTTGCTGATGATAGGCTTCCTGGTGTTGTGGGACCGGCAGACTGGATCTCCTCTGATAAATGGGTCAGTTTTTCAATAGCGTGCTGCTTGATAAGACCCTAGCCAGCGTGAAGATGATAAAAAGGACAATTGTGCATTTTTAACATGCAACGAAATCTGGCTGGAACTGGAGTGGCACCCAAGACCCTTAGACAATCACTCAAGTGCGCTACCCACCCAATTATACATACATGTACGAGTTTAAACATGAATTAAAATTTGTATTTCATTATGTGAATTTGAATAAATACCCAAGTTAAACTTCACTGAAGTTGAACTTGACAAACATGAACCCAAGACCCTTGAAATAGCACTGATTACAAGAAGCATGGCTTACTCGCTTCCTGAGCCTCTCATGGGGTGGACAGGTTTCAGCCAAGATGTTAAGATGAACACACTGACCTCACATAAGGCAACAAGAAATACTGCCACTCTCCAAATCATTACTCCTTTCAAGATACATCCTACAAGGGCATTCAATAACTTTAGTTCCCATTCCATGAGTTGTGTTCTTTTCCCTATTTCCTACCTGTGTAAGCTGTGAATGTCTGGCCATTGAGCGTAGAGACAGCAAACACACCTCTTGCACACTGTGTTGATTGTCATGGCAGGCTATCTCCAACAAACTGAAGAAAGTAACCAAAATGCAGAACAGATAAGAAGCTACAGAGGACCATTATTGATCAGGAATATGTCAGATACAAGCTGGTTGCATGAAGCATGAAGTCAGTTCTGAATAAGTCAGGTGACTTGAATACCTTTCTGGTGCTTTGTGCTTGGCGAGTACTGGGCACAGTTTGGAGGAATGTCTGGCAAGGTTGCCCAGTGCACCTGATGATAGGAAAGTAGAAGATGTTGGATAAAATGGGAAAATAATACTAAGCCATGAATTCGATGAATTGTGTTGCTGGAAAAATGACTGTGACAGGTACATCTAGTGATGTTAACAAGGCCCATGGGATCAAGCTATCCCACAGAGCGGAGCAAAGTTTGGAGAAAAGAGAAAACTACCGATAATGGTGACATACCAGCTGCATTGCATCGTGTTCGTCCTTGAGGATCCATGAGCAGTTGGACAAGGGATGGAATACCATCAGCTAATGAGCCATACAGCTCAGCACTGTGATATGCTGCATTGCCCACTGCATAGCTGGCAGCCTGATGACAAGAACAGGAAAACTCAAGAGAGTCATGTGCATGACTTGGACTCAAACTGAGTAAGCCTGCGAGTCAAGTCTATTAACTCGTGATTTGCTCTGAGACTTTAATATGAGTGAGACGAGTTGGTGAACCACTCAGCTGAAGACTGGACAATTATTGCTCGGTGGAAGAGGAAAATAACCTAAAGGTCTGCCGTAATGCATAAAATGATTCCCAGCTAGCAGGTGCAATTCTGAGTAATGGTACATGTATAGTTCATGACCTGTAGAGGGCGCTTTTTAAGGAGCGATTTCAATACATAGTTGTGTCGTGAGCATGAAATGAATTGCTTACCTTTTTGACATCAGTATCTTGGCTGCTCAAGCACCCCAGTAATGAAGTCACTAGTTCTTCCCTCTTTTTGAGAACAGCATAGAACCCGTTGGAATGTCTCATGAGATTACCCAGCATGCCACAGGCACGGGCCTGTACCGTCATGTCTTTGCTACTTAGCAAATACTGAAGATAAGCATAATCACCTACCGGCCAAATCAAGACAGGTAATGGTCACTCACAACTTCTTAAAAATGTAATGTAACAAAATTCTTGGTATTCGTGGCTTAAAGGAGAAAAAAAGTCTTATTTCTGACGTGTAGTAAAGCAGCTATTTAATACATTTTCAAAGTTGGAAATATCCCCCCCCAAGAAGATTTTTAGAGCAGTTTCCAGCTAAGACATTTAAAACAATGTGCAGCAATTGATCAATATTAATTGTAAATCCAGTGCTCTGGTGTATAAGACTAGTTACACTATGCATGTGCTGAAATCAATACAACTTTATGGAAAGATCCCAGAAATAAGGCCAAGGACTGAAAGTCCTCTCTGTGATATCATGCTTGGTGATTGAGTAACAATCTACCTTTATTTCCCTGGAGCACCTGCTTCAACATCATAAGATGCACCGCTGAACTCCTGGCAAGATGACTGCAGATACTAAGAAGATCACCTTGGACTTGAGGGGGACTGTTGGGGGCCAGTAAGGAGTTCAGGAAGGGTGCAACCTGCAGGTTGTGGGATTAAAGTTGATGATTTACAAGAGTAGGATAGTCTGCTGGGATTGACAGGATTCAAGACTAGACTCAAACTGTGAACCAAAAACCTGATTGGAGTGATAGTGGACAATATTCAGGTGCTCTGAATTCTTTGCAGGTCTCTTATAAACATTCACTTTGAATATCCTGTGTATTCTAGCCTGAGATTTTGAGGTGAGATTTCAGACTGAAATAAATGCTATTCCTGGCAAAAAAACTCACCTTTAACTGGGTAACTGCTCCTGCAAACTCTAGGACAAAGGTGTCATGGCTCAGAACAAATCGTGACAATAGTCCTGAGGGCCAAAACAACAAACGAAACATAGTTTGACACTGCAGTTAAGGCAAGGAATTCCAACTGAAACAACTAAAGACTTTAATATTTCACCAGGACATACAAAGGTCTTTAGTTCAACAACTGAATTGAAACCTTTCTAAACCCTAACCCTCCTCAATCCTTCACCTGTTGGAGGACTGAGGAGTGTTAGGGTTAATTACACCTGGAGTCATTCGTCTCTTGTCTTGGATAACTGCCTTTCAAAGAATACAAGAAATCTATCACAGAAGGCAAGGGACTTATTCCAATCGTCTTGATGGCTTCATGGGGTGATATTTGAATGACTTCATAATGCATAACCTTCAGGAATCCACCACTATCCAACACTGTGTACAATATAACCAGACAACATAATCTTGTGTGGACTTATACTATGCAGGGTAATACTACGAGGCAACAGTGTGAGTCAATAGTAGTGGAGGTAGTAATGTAAGGCAGTATTGGCTGGGTTGTGCTACAGTCCTGAATCCAACAAACACTATTAAACTCAGGCATTTGATTTTGATTGCTTTAAAAGGCTAAGGTTAATGCATATCCCACCTAATGGTACTTCCATCTCGTCAGGTTTGAGGTACAACATACAAGCGTTGATGAGCCTTGTCAAGACGTGGCTTTGCTGTAAGCTAGACTGAATGGCTTCCATTAACATTTCATGAGTGTCCAATGCAAATGGGAAGCAAAGGAGTTGGGATACGTTGAGAATGATGTCTATGATCATTGAAGATAAGTCCTGCTCACTGCTCTCACTGAAAAACAAATCAAAATACAAGAATGGAATTGACATGCCCAGCTCAGACGTTGGTTACACTCCGTCTTTATTTTACACTTCCAATTCCACATAATTCACTTACATGTAGGCTCCCAAAGTCATTCACTCTAAATGTACATCCACCTGGCCAGAGATTTCCTGAATGATCTCAAGATGTGACATGGTTCTTTTGATACCCCTGGTATGGGTTTGGAAGGGGTGACAGAGGGAGTGTCACCATGACTCCATTTGATGGCTTACAATCAATCAAAACACAAAGTTCGTTTGTCACCGAGTGGTCTCCTTACTCCATGTACTAAGTAATATTAGAATATTATTCAAATTTGATAACTAAAGTTAAAATGTCTGGAAAACTGACCTTGCAGCCAGAGAGGCTAGGAAGTCTCTGGAGAGAAGTGTAGTCAGACTTAGCATGACAACACCATCAGCATTACAGAGCAGTGGAACGCACTGATAAGGCTCCTAAAAGAATAAGGGGAAAATTTTTAGGAGATGTATTGAAAAATGTAGCGACTTCAAGAGATATTCAGTACTATAGAGAAACGGGCAGCATAATACCTAGATTGCTTAAGTTTTACAATGCCCCTTTTAACCTTTTTATGGGTCCTAAATTCTAGTTCTTACAAGAATTTGTCTGAAGTACCTGGACTTTAAAGGACACATCTAAAAATTTACAACCTTCAAAGTTCTTGTACTGTACCTGTGTGAAGACTATGGTGACAATCTGCAAAGCAGCCATGACACCAGATGGTGAGACAAGATTCCACTGTGGTTGTGAGGTAATAGGTCCACAGTCTGCTAACTCATCTTCCATATCTTCAACAGGAAGATCATCGGATGGCAGGGCTCCTAAGGTCTGTAAGAGTCTGAAAAAAAAAGAGACAAAAATCAGGTTTCATTTTGAAAAGTTGTCGGGTAACAGCCTTTATGAAATTTTGGAGGGATGTTTTGAAAGTTATAAACTCACCTCTGCCACAGCATTTGCCAGACACCAGACTCTATCAGCAGACGGCTGACAGCACTGGGACCTACGCTAAGAAATTGGCATAAGAGGAGAAGTAGTCCGTCTAGTACCCCGTAGTCAAAAGGGCAGCGTACACAGATCTAGATCAACAGACAGGCAACAGTCAATGGTTGAAGAACTACCTCTCAATATTGTCTCTCATGCATGATGAAACAAGAGTTGGGCCTGCAAGAAGAGCAGGGATGGAAGAATTTTGTGCAGCAGCCAAGAAAGTTTTAGAAAGCAGAACAGGGAATTCACATCAAAATAATTATGTAAGTTTCTGCCTGCATTAAGGCAACCTGTTGGAAAATTATTTATGTTCCTCTGTGCAAAGTTTGAATTTGTTCCATTTTTTTAAGGTAACTAGCTGTCCTTCCAGTAATTCTTCCTTTCAACAGACTTTTACAAGGACAAATCATTATTAAACCTGTCCACTCTGATGAGGACTGACCTGACTGAGATCTGTAAGTGCTGAATGTACGGCAGCCAACAAGTCATTGGTTGGCATCTCGATGGATATACCATGGTATAGCAGCTGGCTAACTAGCAAAGCTGCAGCGGTCTGAAGTCAAAAAGAACAGAAAATAAAAAAGACTATCACTTTAGCAGATGTGTCTTTGAGCGACTTTCAGAAAATAGTTGGTGTCATAACATGTACTGTAGCTATTGGTTTGGTATTACAGCTCTCTTTTGGGGCAAGAGAGTGAGGTAGTGTCTAAATAATCCAGAGCTAGTTCTGATAAAGCTGTCTCCGGCTGGTTTGGATTACCAGTAGTTATGAAAAGTGCTGCACGGAGAAAACTAAATGAGGAGCCACTGGCTCTTAGAAAAGAAAGTTAGGTGCCAGGTTGATTTTTGTACATACATGTACATTTTAGGTATTTTAGGTATAAATGCGACTGTTTTGGTGGCACCGCACAGCGCTGGTTACAAAAGTACCAGACACATTTTCATGATTACTTCAAAGTAGAAAAAAGTACAATTAATTCGTTAGAAAAACCCAACATCACAATGAAATCCTTACTCTACAAAACGCTACTCAAAGTTCTGAAAAAACAAAAACACGTCTTTACCGTCTGACTTGCAACTTGAGAATCCAAAAGGATGGCAGCAAATATGACGCTGCTCTGAACCATGCTGTCAAGAGAATTGAGAAAATAGACATATCATCATCGTAGCATCTAGACCTGGATTTGTGTAAATTCAAAATTATTTCCTCTTGCACTCAGTGCTAGGAAAAATTCAGATCTTCCAACTCAATCTCAGTAGTTTTTCAAAATGAACTCAAGCATGAAACTCTTTGTTCTAACCTGAAAATCAATTTTGACCTGTGTGAGAAAAGCTTGTCTTGGAAGGCAACCACAAGCAATGATATGTTTGTGGACAGCAGTATCTTACAGATGGTGTCAGAATTCATTCAATGCATAACTTACCACTGAGGTATGTCTCCCAACTGTGTGATTATAACAGCAAGTGTCTGTAGTGTCATCTCGTAGACAGTGTTCTGATACATGTCTTCTATGTCAACCTGCAATTATGATATGCCATAATTAACAACTAAAGTTATGGAAATCAGAATATATCACAAAAATGAACAATCCTGGAGAAAAACACGATACGAATTTGTAAAAAGGCACACAACCAGTGCATATTCAGGTCACAATATCAAGTCCATGGGCTTGGAGTCGAGGAATCAATCTTGCCTAACAATCATAATTCAGGCAAACACTGCCCTCAATAGTATATGCATAAATCCAATAGCCATGATCCAATACAAAGTTGTACAATGTTCATCAAGGATCCTGGACAGTCAAAACAGAATAGTTGGTACCTTTCCTTGTAGAATCCAGAGAAGGATGGTGATGTAATCCTGATTGAGAGCAAGATATTCACAGAATTCCTTGGAGACCTGGCAGGTGAAGTAAACAGTCTGCAAGGTGCGAGGGACAATATCAAGGACAATATTGATTAATCTGTTAACGGGAAATTGATAGTAACTTTGTCAAACATGGGTTACTTAATATCAAATGGTGGAGCTGTACCTTCAGTGCGTTCTCACAGAGGGTAGGGCTTGTCAGGAACTTCATGTAGTTATGTGTTAACTCCTTGTGTTTAGTAAGAGACAACTGAGCTCCCACACACTTTGCCATCTGAAAGTCAGACATCAAGTAACAGGGATTATGTAAGGGGGACACTCATTCGTTTGCTTCTTGAGGAAACAGATTTTTGCAGAGCTTTGAAGCTTTTCATAGTAAGGGTAGCAAGTGTTACAGAGGTTGCAGTAGCACCATGCTAGGATATCTCTTTGAGTAATGTGTGGTACCCGAGGGTACTCAATGTTTTAGGACGGTATCCTCTGTCCGTCGTCAAGAGACTGCAGAGGTTTCAATGTTGAAGCTGCTTATAGTGTGTCTTGTCTGCAAGCGGTGAGGTGTGGAGAGGATGCTATTGGGATCCAACTTTTGTTGCTGCTAAGGCTGTGCATTATTTCCAAGCTGGCTTGCCATTTTGGCTGCTGTTGCTGTTGACTGTTGCTCATTATCCTACCATTTCTTCAGCTGCTCTTACCGTTGCTGCAAACCCTGCAGCTGCTGCAGAATTACTAGGGCAGGAATTTAACCCATGACTCCGGACCATCACGTACCTGTCGCTTGCCTTGCACACAGCAGTCAACTCCTAGAGGCAGGAATACCAATTCAGCTAAGCCTCCCACAGCCATGCCACATAACTCCTCCCATCGGGCTGCTACCTCATCTGATCTACTATCAGGTAGGCTCCCTGACAGAGGGTGAGACATGGTAATACATACTGAGGGGGATTTTAGAATTACAAAGAAGATAAATGGACTCGTTAATGTCAGGTAGCAACTGGCGATTATAAATTGTAATTCTGCAGGCAAAAATCTAATAATTTAATTCAAGAAGATCTCCATCTGTCTGATCCTCCGTTCTGATTGGTTTTTACCTTGTAGTCTCTTCATGACTACAGCGTCTTCCATCAAGCAAGCCACCAGTGCTGGGACAATGTCTGCATGAGCTGAGGCAAGACTGTTGTAGAACCCAGTGGAGAATTCAGCAGGACTTCGGTCAAATGCTTCACATTGGTAGATGAAACACTGAGAAGAGAGCAGAAAATGCTAACACTCCTTGAGGATTTCGGGAAGGACATTTTTTAAACAATCACACATTTTTGTTTTTAAAACGAGGGTACTATGTCCACTGTAAAGTTATAAGAGCTGGGGTACTTACAACAATTGTTTGAGCTCTTAGTTGAAGCGTATCATCCTGTTTAACATGCAGTAACCATGGCAACAAATCAGCGTAAGACAAAGCTACTTCCATCAGGCTCTTTGTCCTGTTTAAAAAATCATTGTTAACATGTTATTGATTGACACAAATTTAAAATGAATGCCACAAGATTGACTGACAATGACAGACAGTTAATTGATGGTATACCTATGACTCACCTGTCTATCGTCAGGTTGGTTCCAACTTCTGACACCATGAATGCTGTGATGGAAGTTGTCAAATCCATCAGGATTTGAACACACCAAGGTTGCTGAAAGAAATACATGCACAGATCTATCTATTACAGATAAATGCAGAAAATGTTGTCATTTACTGATAATCAAGGGTATTTTGTCTACAGAAATATTTGCCTTTGACAAACCACATTATAAGAACCCTTCACTAAAAGCATTTTGAGCACAAGCAAGAAAAAACTGCCAAATTAATTGGAATCATGTTTTTGTCATCCATTATTTAACAAACAACCACCCTAGTTAACAAATACACCCAGATAAATACCTTTTTCACATTTGGCTTGTCCTTTAACTGACTCAACAACTTGACAGGCCCATGAGGAACATCAATGGCAGAACAGAAAGCTGACAACAGATTCAGATCCCTGTATAACAGACAGATATGTTGAAATATACCAACTCTAAACATTAAATAGAGTTCACACCAACACTGTGGAGAGGCAACTTACCCTCTGAACTCCAGTATATTAGTGACAACTCGGTACACCAGACGCAGTCGAGATGCACCTTCAAGCATTCCTTCCAATACTTGCTCTGACGTGTCTTTCAGCCGAGCTGCGACTTTTGAGACAAATACTTCATCTCGTAGGAGGGCTGCGACGGAGTCTGGGTCACATGACTCGGGAGTTGTTGCATCACACAACGTATCCCATTCGTCTTCACTATCCAATTCCTAATTAAAGTTCAATAAATAATAAATTCATTAAATGTTAGAATGGTGGCCAGTTTATGATCAACCACTTAAAAATTAATTTATCAATGTCATAGATTTTTCTGTGCCTGCCATGCCTATTAACAAAGTTTCCCATTGGATTAAACAACGTTACAGCATGAATTACTCAACACAAACAATGATATTTCAAGTGAAATTTTCTGTGTATTTTGATTTTCTCAGCAAGGTGTTGGAATCTCTGGAGATTCTCTAGAAGACATTTTAGAGCATTACCTCCTCCTCAGTGAGCTTGACCTGCTCAATGCTCTTCCTTACACCGCCCTCCTGGCCTTTAGCTCCGCCCTCCTGGCCTTTAGCTCCGCCCTCCTGGCCTTTAGCCCCACCCTCCCTTCGTAGCACTTTTCTACTCTCCACCTCTACGCTAGGGAACTCCTGAGCATAGTCCCTGGTGATGCGATCCTCTCGAGGTGTAGGTTCAACCTCCTTAAGACTATTCCATGGTTCACTCTTGCCTGCTGCACCTGGGGTAGAATCCTTGCTGGGCTTGCTAGCAGTTTTCTTGTTTGTCCAGGCTTCAGGCTTTTGAGGAGACTTCAGGAAATTAATTGAATATTACTATAATTGAATCCAACCTTTACATATTTCCTAAAGTTTCTTCTAGTTTTGCATTTAATACGCCGACAATTTTCTGTGTTATTTCAGACCAGAAAAACAAGATTATGTACAAGATCGCGTAGCATAAATCCTTTAATGTACGTGTGTTTTGGTGTTTAATCCTTGCAAGCTTACTCTTTCTGACTTGTGCCAATCATTCTAAATGGTAACATTCCATTTATCAATATTTTACTCATCTTCAAATAAAATGATGACAAAACAACTGAACTACACCAATCCAAATATGACTTTGGGGTAAAAGCAAGTTTCTCTTGAACTTTAATCAGATGTAAAACCAAGATAACAAGCCAGGCTGGGTACCTCTTCTTTCTGTGGTTCTCTTCCTTTCAGTTTACGCATGATGGTAGTCCCAGGTGGTAGATTACTGGCCTTCTGTCGAGAAGCTTTGTCTCTGGCAGCTTTTTGCTGAGGAGTTGGTTCTTCAGTAAATGGCTGCTCAGGAAGCTCCGAACTTGAGGATGGAGAAACTAGAAGAAAATCAAATGTAGATCATGGAAATACATTGGTATACCGCAACAAAGAATGAATTTAAGATTCATTTGAAAAGATCAAGCAATGATATATATGTAATTATACACAGCACCAGTACGGTATTCCGGAGGTTGCAGCTTCAAATCCTGTTCCAGTCAATCTCTTTGTTCATCTTTATAATCATTTTTTAGCACCTAGTCAGTTTCCCTAAATAAGCTTGCTTCGTAATTTATGTTCAAAAAGCCATATCCTCTTCGAGTGATCCCTGTTCACCACTTCCTAGGTTGTATCGTGTTACTGGGGTGTGATCCCTGGCTATATGGTGTTTCAGGTTTAATGGCTTCTGGCTAGTGCCCCCGAACAAAGATATTGACAAATGGGAAGAGCCACCAAAATAGGGCTGGATAGTTCAGTTGGTAGAGCACCAGTACGGTATCCAGAAGTCGCAGGTTCAAATCCCGCTCCAGTCAATTTCTTTGCTCATCTTTATAATTAATTATACAGCTTTGCAACGTTTCCCTTCTTCACATGTGAGGATACAGTTCTACCTGGCATATAAAGTCAGATTCTGAGAGTAAATTCCAGTGGTTCATTTACCTCCAAACATTAGATTTTTGCTTGCTAATGACAAGTATTACAACGGGGGTGGGGGGTGATACTATAGTAAAGGCAAATTATAAAAGTGAATTAGCTTCACTAGTAATAAACACAATTACCAACACCACTGTCTTAATTTGAATGATTTCATTCATTCTGTAATCACGCAGAAGGATGGACAAATCGTGAATGTGATCACCAAAAAGTTCTTTTGTTTGAGAATGGGGTTTCAGTATCTCTCCACCACATTTCTCAACCTAGACAGCTTTCCCCAACTGTGCTGAGTCCATATATACTAAAGTGCCAACAATTTTTTGTTGCATGAACAAAAAAAGGAACAAAAAGTCACACGCAACATTGCACACTGCACGGACTCTGACCACAGTCCATTGAATTCATACATTCTTCAGAGACTATAAACCATGTATACTGCCTGACCGACCTTTGACCCTGTTAGATAAAAATAGAAATGGGAATGTACAGTCTGCGATCAATTCCTGTAAGTTCTTGCATAAGGCATCGACAGCAGTGACAATGTACATTTTAACACAATTTATGATTATTCACTCAAGTCCCCTCCACACAGAGGGCAACACAAGATTTCAGGTGAGTTAAGCAAGCACTCTGAGGAAATAAGGAATATTACGACAAACAATCCACCAAGCAAGGTCATGGAAAAGGACACAAGCTTGGTCGAAATGAGGAATGTTTTCATCCAGTAGGTTTATTATTTTTAGGTTTAATGTAGGTTTAGCTGTGCTTTCGTAATTTTTAGTGTCAATGTGTCTGGTAATTACATGTACCTCTTTTATAACACAGGTAGGGTTAGAGGTGTTTAGTCCTCTGGAAAGATTGAGACATCACCATGCCAACAGGATTAGGTCTAGGTAAAATTCTTCCCATTGGCAGGACAGACGTATCCCCATACAGCAGTTTGGGTACTAGAGTGGTGACATTCATTCAGTACTGAATTAAATATCCATTAATTTCCTTAAGTTATTCCTGTACCGCGCCGTTGATTATTTTTATGGAAATGGTGCATTATAAATTTCGAATTGTTATTATTAGTAGTAATCATTCTTTTGAAAGTCCAAAGGATTTTGAAGACCGAGGCATTTTAGTGTACATTTAGTGTACATTTCAATGACTTTTTATGAGGTGTTTGCAGCTGTAGGTACTCAGTTTTGTTCCATGAACAAAAGTTGAACGATTGAAAATTCACAATCTCTTGGCAGGATTTCCTTCATGATATTGGAAAAACTTCATGCAAGTTGCGCAAAGTAATATCTTAAACAATGAGTTAGCCATTATGCCTTGTTTTTGTTTTGCTTTTACATATTTCCAAAATTTATTTAAATTGGAAAACAAACCATGAGACATCATTCCCAACACTGCAGATTCCAATGTAAACATGTCAATTTTTTCCTTTTTTCTGTAGGTGGTGAAGTTTGTCGACTAGTTTCTGTCAAGATGGCTACTAGTGTTACAGTTCAATCATTATTGGAGAAAATAAGTGGGAATCACTTAGAATGCTCCATTTGTACCCTTCGCTTCAAGCAGCCCAGAGTTCTGGACTGTTTGCATAATTTTTGCTTGCCATGCCTACAAGACATGTTGAAGGGACAGAAGCAATGTGGACTGACGCTTGACTGCCCTCTCTGCCGGCAGGGGACTTTGCTAAAGGGAAAAATTCTTGATGACCTGCCAACAAACTTCACACTGACTGCCCTGGTAGAGGAGGTCACAATGATGGAACGGCTCATTAACGAGGGTCAAGGGTCAGAGATCAAATGTCAAGGTTGTGATGAGGGTAATGGAGCCATCTCAGTCTGCAGGAATTGTGATCATTTTCTTTGTCCTGACTGCCACAGGGCACATGAACGTATGACAGTCATGAAATCTCACCACACTGATATGCTAGCTCAGCTGCAAACAGGTGAAGTTGCTTACAAGAGTAAACTGAGGGAACAAGTTCCAAAATGTGGTAAGCATCCCGATCAGAACCTTAGTTTCTACTGTGACACATGTGAGCAGTTGGTATGCACAACTTGCTCTGTTCTTGACCATGGAAGTAAAACACATGTGCTGGTTGATCTACCAAAGGCTTTAGAGAAATGTAAACAAGAAGTAGCAAAACTGGTTGCAAAGGCTGAACAGAACAAGGCAGAACTTGACAAAGCCATACAACAAAATGATAAATCAGGAAAGAAATTGGATGCAATGTTTGATGACACAAGAAAAGAGATTGACAGAAAGGCTGGTGCCCAAATTTGGGAAATAAAGAACGAAGCACAAGAACTGAAACAAGAGTTGAAGAAGGCTTATGAGGACAGATTCAAGGCATTTAAAACTGCCGAAGCTACAAACAGCAAAGAGGTGACTCTGATGGAACAGAAACTTGATGAAGTTGACCAACGTATGACCCAAGCTAGCTGCTATGAGATTCTGAATCTCAAGAAGCAACTTTTACACAATGTCAAAGAACTGACAAAGAGACAACCACAAAGAGTGTCTGACAAGTTGGCTATCCTGGGTCTGGCAGAGGATCAAAGGTTGCTAGGGAGACTGTCTGTTGGAAATGAATCAATATTGCAAAGATGTGGACGGCTTTGCAAAACACTTTGCACAAGTACACAATATCAAACGCTCCTTCTCTTTGTGTTACTGTTTCTTTTATTCCAGCGGTTATTTCACTAAATAATCATTTCAAATTAAGCCTCATATCATATCAATACTTCAACATGTACAGTTCATTTAGCATTACAAGATAATTTTCTTAAACCTTTTGAGCTACTTATCTATCTGAACTACAGTCCTCCTTGGAACAAGGCATTCTCTGAGTTCTGTGCTACCAAAAGTACCAATGATGTTTGTAAGCAAGCACATACACAATACCTTCTCCTCTTAAAACATTCTTGGCTCTCAAGGTTGTCATGTATCATGAAAGTCACCACTTATCATGACAGGAAAGCCTACTTGCAAATTTGTTATTTTAATTAATGACCCATTAAACGGATGCTGTCTTCCTTAGTATCCACCTACCTTGGACTTTGTCTGCTATAAATGGATGGTGGAGGAGGTGTGGCCAGGATAAGCGAGCTCTTGGGTTCTTAGTCAGCAAACCTTGCAGGAAATCCTGCACAATGATATGCAAAACTTAGACATACATGTAGGAAAAAACTTTTCTCAATCGTAAAGTGCAAAATGTAGTTAGTACTGTGTTGCATAATAAAGCACAAAAATACTTCTCTGTAATAATTAATCTCTGTTAAGTCATAAACTCATGAAACACTTATAAGGCATGAATAGAGCTTGATGTTAGAGAAATTAAGTACCAATACGTGCTCGGATACTTTGCGAAAGTAAAACAATCTCATGAAGTATTTTAGATATGTATTGACTGAATACTAACCTTGAATTCTGGACTCATATTCTTTGGCCATTTTACTGGATCCTAGAAAAATAACTGGTTTGTTAGTTCCAAGAATTTGAAATAATTGATTTGGATCTTTTCTTTAAAATGCATTCCTCACATAGTAATTACATACATATATGTCCCATAAAATGATTATCACACTTGCTTGCATTTGACTGTTGTATATATTTCATAGTCAACAAGCTTTGCTACTTTTACATTATCATTAATATAAACATTGATCTTAACTGAACTGGAGAAATATTATTCTAATCTTAGCCTAACTTCACAGAGTATTGATGGACCGTTAAATATCTCACATAGTTGTGAATGTTTTCAATTTATACATAAAACATTGCCATTGGTTTCCTGCACAGTGGAATATTTTGATATAATAAGGTTTCTATGAGTTTCCAGTAAGTGGACACAATGAAAGTATGTTATGGCATTCCATTTCAATGTCAAACTTACTTTAATGATCAGGCTGACCAGTTGGAAGATACTATTTGTATAGAATGGGGGTGTTCCAACAAACAACTCATAGAGGATGCAGCCAAGGGACCAGAGGTCTGCTGTGTGGTCATAAGGTTTTTCCTCTACTAATTCTGGTGCCATGTACAATGGCGTCCCCTGTGAAATAATTGATGATTCCACATCATCAAAGTCATCTGATTTGTGAAAGAGCGTATTTGTTAATAAAACAAAGTGGTTTAATCAAAGAAATAGTTTTTTGAGTTGACTTAATCTAAAAACAAATAACAGAAAATCTATATAACCTTTGACTGTCGTATGTTGTCTACAGTGGAGTTAAGATATGTTTTGTTGGTTAAGATTGCTGATGTTGAGTTGGGAGAAATCACTACAAATATTCTCTGGACTATATCACTTCTCTGTGTCACTCAATTATTCGCCAGTGGCAAGACTGAATTCTGCAAAAGCAATAATTGACCTACCTTGATGGATGTAAGCACCAATGTGTTGATGCTCATGGCTCGTGCAAAGCCAAAATCACAGAGTTTAGCCACGCCCCCTTTACCTAGCAGTATGTTTTGTGGTTTCATGTCTCGATGAAGGATTCTATGCGAATGCAAGTAATGTAAGGCAGATACTAACTGTGCAGCAATCGTTTGTACCTGTTGAAGATGACAAAAAGGGGTTAGACATTTGATGTAGATTTGAAACTTTCTTTACTGCCTTAAAAAGCAGCACAATTTTCATATCAAGAGCTTTGAAAATCGCAACATTTCTAAAAAATGGCAATTTTTTACAACAAATTGACACCAAAAGAGTCATGTGCCATTAAAAAAGTATGTGTTTGCTCTACTCAAAAATATCATAAATCCCACACTTCAAATTACCATGTTTGTAGTCCCTCTTTCAAAAGCCAGTCACCACTAAATATTTCAGAATAACCTTTTCAAACTAAAGTCTATGTGATGCTACATTTTTTTATTAAGTAGAACAGAACAATAGCCAATCATTTGACCTGGTGCTCTGGTAAACTGCCATCATCTTCAAGAATCTGAAAGAGTTCTCCCTCAGCATAGTCAGTAACAGCAACCACCTAAAATAGAAAATAAACAAACTGAATAATAACTGAAAATCTATCTCCTGCTGTACTGCCTATGAGCAGGAAGGTGATTCTAAGCATTGACAATGTTGCCTAATATACATGTACATAACAAGCAAACTAGTACAGGTTGAAACTTACCTCTTTTTCAGTCTCAAAGCTGTCCAACATCTCAATGATATTTTCATTGTGCAACTCTCTCATTATCTCAATCTCTCTCCGTAGATTCTCAAGGTCCTTCTCACTACGTCCCAGCTTGGGGATGAATTTTAAAGCTACAACCTACTCCGAGAAGAAAGATTAGTTTACAGCACTGGCTGGATTAATGAAATATTAGATGCCTTCACATGTCATACAGTCTCCAAATAAGATGGACCTACGTACATGTGCTTAGTTTCTGACTGTTGTGGATAATTTTATTAAATTATTTCACTGATGACTTCCTATTGAAACTTATAATTAAAACTATTATTCCCCAAAAGCATACCGTCATTTCTAGAAATAAGGTTTTTTTCCATTTTAAGAACTAAATACATGATACCTGTTCAGTCCAATTACATGTAATACTAAATACAGTCTGAATAGATAACTTGATGATATTCTATTTGATTACAATGCCCAATCAAAGTGCCGACAAGCGTGTTCTTTAGTGTCATGCTGCAGAAATAGTCCAATGCAATTTAAATCATAAGATGAGAATATATGCATTGCACACTAAGTGAGTGGTAATTCACTTACATTGGTTGACTATAGCACCTGTTAACATACACGTACCTTGCCTGTGTATTTCTTTCTGCCTTTGTACACTTTACCAAAGGAGCCTTCTCCAATCATCTCAAGCACATGGTAGTTATCCATCTTTTATAAAACGGAGGAACAGATGGACGTTTCTCTAGATTTGCCAAGAAGTCAACTTTTGCAGGGCCGCCTGATGTGGCTTCTGATCTCAGATGTGACGACAGCTGGTTATCTGATATTTAGCCGGAGGCCTTGGCTTGATACAAATGGTCCTGATAAATAAGAAAACATCAAATATATCACAATAAAATAAAGAAGAGGAAGGAAAAAATGTTACAAGTAGACACCTGACAAAATCAACATTATCAATTCCCTCATACCTGTGTATCTGAGGACTTTTACTGATGAGCACTGTGCATGTTAGGCCTAAATCTTCATGATCAAACTTACCGAGGTTTATGGTAACCTACAAAAGTACAATAAATATGACAAATTAATGATGTAGCCTAGGCTACTGTAGGCCCTTGGGCCTATGCTATTTTATGTTAGCCCAATGATGAGCAGGATGATGAGTTTGGCCAGGAGACCTGCCAATGGCATGAATGAGACCACACTCATGGGGCTAATCTGTTAGGCTTGAACACTAATAAGTAATATGCATGATCAATCGCCCAATCTTTGCACGACGCGGTTGTGAAAGATTTTTCTAAAAAGGGAAGTAAAGTTAGGCCTAGGCCTAGTCAGAGATTTCATGCAGAATTCAACAATCGCACAGAACGATCAGGCGACTGTGCAGATTGGACAATCACACCCATTATGAAGCTTGTTGTAGGCCCTAGGTCTACCCCCAGAACTGTGGGGTCTGATGTCCACCCCACTACTAGGTTTGCCCCGCTCCCGCAATGGTTAGTGGGAGCGGGATGGACGTCAGACCCCACAGTATCTGGGGGTAGGCGTAGGCCTAGTACTTTGTAGTAGTAGTAGTAGTAGTATTGAGTATTGTATGCCATGTTTGGCCTTTTCTTCACTATTTTTACAAACTGGTGTACAATGCTATCTGTACATGCTGTAAGCATGGTAAGGTTTGTGTAAACCTTACAGTTCTGTGGGTAGTTGTGGGGGTAATCATGGTAACGACACAGCACTGTCCGGAAAGTGGACATGGTGGGCGAATTTAATTAAAAACAATTCACATTATTGATTTTTCTAGATAATTTCAGGGCATACTCCAATAAACTGGAAAGCAAATAATTACAATTTTTATCAAAGCGTTTACCACAACCATGCTGAAAGTGACAGGAGACCAAATTTTGGAGAAATAGCTAATGCCATGAATGTGTCCTTTCAAAAACGGCAACATTAGCGCCATCGCTCCAGCAAATCAGGAATTAGTCTGTCGCCTAACTGCTGTAACCAAAGGCTGTAACTACACGTACATAGATTCTTTCAGCGTTAGAGTAAGTAAAGAACCAGACTACGGAAATCATCTAAAAATATAAATTATTTTGTCCAACGAAACTTTTGCAATAACTGAAGAAATGCACAAAATACAAAAATTCGCGTTTTTTGAATTCTTTTTTTATATTTGAAATGAAAAAGAACTTTTTGCCGGAAAATAATGTCATATCTCTTTTTTGTTTTGCGATCGAGGATAACCCTCGCGGGAAAATCAAAACACTGACTGACCTCCGATGATCGATCATGATGATTTCTGATCTCCGCATGCAGTGCGAAAGTTCGTTTTATAGCTTAAGTCTGATCGTGTGAAAAGACACTTTTGGTTTTTTTTTTTGATGGACAAAAATAATATTTCAAAAAGCTGCCTTATGTTATCCAGACACAGACAGTACTCAAGTTGGAAAAGTGTGACAAATGGGTTCAGATTCAAGTGGAGTTGTGGAATTTCTTCCCAAGCAATTTTGGCATTTGGATCCCGTGTACCGATCGTATGCCAAGCTGTACATTGCGGATATTCTGCAGTTGAAGCATTATTCGACTGACGAAGGTTGTTTCCATTCAGTTGTATTGATTGTGAAACTATTTTTGGTTCATATCACTGCCATTATCATTCCCGTTGTGATGATGTTTATTGGCCTTTTCTGTTGGTTGTTACTGACTGTATGGTGTAAGTTAGCTCTCTAAGTGGAGCGTTAATTGAAGGGCCTATTCCTCTTTTTCGATTTTGGACGGGATCGGTCATCCTCTTTTTCGATTTTGGACGGGATCGTCCAAAATCGAAAAAGAAGAATACTAACGCTCCACTTAGTAGATAGAGCTAGGTGTAAGTGTGATTTTCTTTTCTCCGAAGTAACGTTAGGCTAGCTACATCTATTTGTTACGCCCCAACTATAGCGTCTGTCCCAACTATAGGCCCAAATACTGTACTGCCCAACTATTGTTGGCCAATCTCTGTAGAAAATATCTCAACCTTCCCGAAGTTTATGCAGCTCACACCTGACATAATAAACTTTTTGCTTCAGTAACTCTGATCCTAGCCTAAACTGCTTACTGCTGAAGTATTGGAAATTGATAATAGTTTTATTCCGACTGACTTCTTATATAATTTCATTGTGAACTGCAAATTTAATTTTTCTCTTGCCACGTTGTCTGTTTGCTACTTGTAGGGGCATTTGCATACCAGAATCATCCTATAAACAGAGTTGACGTTATTGGATGGTTGGTAAGAGTAGAGGAACGACCGAGTATGTTTTATTATGGAGGTGAGTTCATAAAGTATCAAGCATTGTTCTTCAGGACTTTATTTAGGCTCCCTTCTGTCCCCTGATATATATCACCCACACATAGACAGTGTGCATTTTCTATTAACCCAAAGAAAAAAGCCAACATACATTTTTAACAGTGGTTCAAATTTGTTGCTTGCTTTTAAAACAAACAGTCCATGTACCTCACTTCCCATATATTTGTCAAAAAAAGTAAAAATACAGAAATATACTCATTTTGACCAGAATGGCAGACAACAACAGTGACCAAGTTGTATTCTGTCGTTGATAACTTTGAATTTTAAGCACTATTGTGTACAATGTACATGCTTTTCTTCTCTCTCAGTTGATGATGGTACAGGGGTGATCAACTGCTGCTGTTGGAAATCAAAGAATAACGGGGAACCTAGAAGTAAGTTGCAGGTGTTAAAACAAATTATCTTTTAATGGAATGCACTAAACTTTATTTTCTTTAAAATTTAATTATTAAAATTTAATTATGCACGGTCAGGTTTTTTTTTGTTATTTTATTGAATTCAGGTATGCTGAATGGTGAAGGCACATCATTGAGTGATATCGTCCTCAGTAAAGTATACAAGTATGACACTCAGGAGTCATGTCTTGAACTGGGTGATGTGATTCATGTCAGGGGTCGTTTGAAGTGCTATCGCAATAGACTGGAAGTGTCAGCTTCCTATTACAGTGAGTTCAGAGTTATTCCTTTAAAAGTTGGTAAACACATCCACACTTCTTTCAGTATTTATTGTTGACATGGTTGATATCAAAGTTAAAAACATTCAAACAAAAACTTCATGTACTTTTACCATTGTTGTCAGGAAAACTTCTTTTGAATTTACCTGTAACTTTCTGAATTTGTTTGCAGGAAAGATTGATGATCCATGTTGCAGGATTGAGATCCATCGAATGGAAGAATTACCAAACATCTATGAGAATGTCTATGACCTTCCATTTGTTCTTCCAAGCCATGTGATGCAAGAGTTGAAAGTTCAAAATGAGGAAGAAAGGACTGGACTGACGAGAGAGGTAAGTCACAGTCAGTAAGTAACCCTGTCTGATAGTCAAATGGACGAGGGTTCTAATCCAACTTGAATCAATTGTGACTGAACACCTTTAGTTTCTGAATAACTGTTTGTTCGCTGGTGACAAAACTGTTCTAGCTTTTTTCAAACTACTTTGCAACTTTCGTAAATCCCTAATGAGCCACCACTGAAAAGTTTTCATCCTGTTGGACTCTGTCGTGAAAAAATGACTTGATTTTAAAACTCTAGAGCTATTTGCTTTCTCATAACTTTGTTGTTAGATCTTGCCATACAGTGTAAGTGTACTAAACTCTGAGGTCATTTCCATATTGGAAGTATGAATATAAATTTTATTATCTTTTTTTCAGGCTCAACTGATCGACAGATTACAAAATTATCTTCAAAATCACCTTGCTGACAGACACACAGGAATAAAGAATTTTCATCTGAATGAATTGGAGACTTTGGATGATGTAATGGCTATAGCTTCATGTCAATGCCTGGAATATAAAAATGTGAGTATATGTTGTGGACAGAGCACAGATTGCAGACTTGTCCTGATTGGCATGCAAATCGACAGACAGCAACCTCTTAGTTACATTCAGGGATGCCATTTACTGCTTGTTTCAAGGCCAAACAAATTGGACTGTGAGTGTCATATAGAGTATAGGACCTTCAGCTTTTCCTGTAGAGATCCTTGGTTGGTGTGAATAATGAATTTTGCTTTTCCATCGGTTGAGGAAAGTTTACCATAACTTTTTGATACATACACTTGTAGTAAGTTTTTCCTACTTTTGTTTTAAGATCAGTTCCTTGCTGCATGTGTTTTCTCATTAGGAGGGTGGCAGTGGCTCCGCCCCTATCAAACAAATCCGTAACATCATCAAGCAAGCAGTGCTGAGGTTGGAGAGAGAGGGCACTGTATACCGGAGTGGGATGATTCATGATATGTACGAGGTAGAAACACAAATAGATGTCTCTTCAAATGACCAATATGACTTAGATTTAACATTGGAACAAATACGTTAAAGTCACCAAGGTGGGCACTGTCCACAAAAAAGTTGTGATATAATTAACAAATGTAATATGTAATGGTACTAAAATCTAGTTTGGTGTTTGAATTATTCAAATTTCCAGGTGGTAAGGACCAACTTACCTTCAAGACTGGACAAAACAATTCTACAGATCTTGAGGAGTGACTGTCATCTTTCCAGATGTAAGATGGAATGATTTTTTGTCTTCATTTAGCATCATTATTTACCAATGTGTTTCATGAAAATTATTATATTTTTATCCTGGAAATTTTCTTTTGAAACTGAGTCACCTTTAAGAGGCATGCTTTTGAAGCATACACCCTGTATTCGCACATTCCATTGCATGCTTTTCAGAATAGTTTTGCAAAAGGTAAACAAGAAAATTCATTGAGAGGTTTTGTGAGAGTTGATATCGCAGTAGTTGGGTGTAAATTTGTATTTTGGAATTGATATGTGCATGGGAAGGTGCATTTGTTTTGAAGAGGCACTGTAAACTGCAATTTCATGTCTTAATTCCCAGATGAAGGAGGCTGTCATTACATGCATGTTATGGACAGACTACATGAATATAGTGACTTCCAAAATGTCTCGGTGGATACTGTCCGAATGGCTTTGTTGAGGCTGGAAGAACACAGTGATGTTATCAGTGCAACATCCAAACATTTCATACCGGTCAACTGACCAAGGTCAACATCGAGGTCAAGCAGTCAGTTGATTCTGGTCAGTAATCAAGGTCAAGAGATCTTCTGAACTAAGTCAGCAACAAGGCCAAGGGTCAGTGTAACTAACACAGTGAGGACAGCACACAGAGTGAAGTCAGAACACATCTGAATGCTTCATCATGGTCATTTGACCCTGGTCAGCATCCAGATCAAGAGGTTAGTGCAATTCAAAACAATTTAAATAATATGACACATTAAAAAAATCCTGCTACTTTTGACCATAGGAATACCCTTGAAATTATCTGTAGATTGTTGGTAGTGCAGTGCTGAGTACAAAACATCAAGTTTATTTAAGTTTATTCCGTAGAGGATTAGCTTTCTCTTACAACCTGCAAATTTGGAACGATTTCTATTCAAAATATTTATGTGCTTTCCACCACCACCCTGGATAGGATTGTGCTGTACAGGTCATCAAGCAATGTTAACATGTGTTTGAGTAACATGCATTACACACTATTGCAGTGTATTTCAAGTGGGCAGTAAGGGTCAATGTTTTAAGCAGGTGGGGGTCTAGCGGTCTCTTGGACACACCTTACACCATCTTTGACATCTTAAATTTTTTGTTTCAAACACAAATGCATAAATCCTAACCAGCTTTGACATCCTGGTTTTTCACTTTATTGGACACTCTATTTTCAAATACATGTCACCGCTACACACTACTCCGGTGTCAATGTACCATGGTTGGAACATTACTCCTAAAGTTACATGTATGAACGGCGCATTGACAAGGCTCATGAATTGCCCCCTCAAGGCAATGCAGTAAGGCAATAGGCAATCAATCATGTTTATTGTGTTTACACATTATATACTCCAAGGCAATGAGTTACAGCTTGATTTTCAGAAGCTGGGCTAGATGGAATGTGTAACACTGTAACATTGTCACAAATAGCCACGCACATGGCACAGTTTAGACAAGGATTCAGGAAGAGGAAATGCTAATGTTGAATTCAGGAAAAAATATATGAGAAACTTGAGAGCACACTGCTTGTGAGTTAATGAGCATGTACATACAATAGATTTAAAGTAACCACACATGTACACAGACATGTCATTCCTTTTATGTTTGATCTCCCGGTAACATGTGGTTTAAACAGTCATGTTAAACAATCATGTCTACAAAAGTGTATTGCATGTACTTGTTACATTTATCACTTTTTACCGAGCTGTACTGCTTGCTTTGGGTCCAAGTTAAGAAATTAGAATTCTGTTAAATTTATGCATACAGTGAATGTTCAAATTACATATGCAGTATAAATAAACAATATTCATCATGGTACATGTATGTGTGGTAACTGATCTGTTCAATAAGAAATCATGTAAAGAATGTTTTATATGGCACAGTTACCTTTTTTTTTTTGTGCTGTAAAGTCAAACTTCTTTGAAGTGGTTGGCTTAAGTGTTGGTTCTTGATGCAGAGTTTGCATCCAAAGCTGTGTTATGTTTGGCCAAGCTAGAGAAGAACTCCTGGGGCTTCTCTGGTTAAACAGGACAACGGATTTCATGAAGAAATTTGTCATTTCAAATTTCCAGCAGAGAGACAGTGTCTAGCTTTACTTTAAGATTAGTCCTTCCTGGAAGCATCCTTGGTTGGGTCTTGATATTTGACCCACACGTATCTTCATGTGGATGGTGGTAAAAAGGGACTTTCCCTGTCTCAGGTTTCCTGTTTCAAACATGATTTATTTTCAAGCTTCCTTTCCCAATGATCTCTATGTTATATTACAAATTTCAAAGGATGGTTTATTTCAAGACTTTACTGCAGAAGTACATGTAAATGGTAGTTAATGCATCATGCTTTGAGAAAGAGAAATAAAAGACAATGCAGGAAAAGTATAAACTGGAAATCTGCTTAGTGTAAAACCTATATACATGCATGTACATGTACATGTGTAATTTAATGTTTACAATTTTATTTACTAGAATAAAATCAAACCCTTGGCTACATAAATGGATCCAACCTTTAATGTAGTCATGGATATGTAATGACTGCCCATTATTGCTGCAAGTTAATTTATTTTGTGTAAAGTACTGATCCTATTGAAATCATGGTGCATACAACAAGCTCATGTGGTTTTCTACCATGAGTGTTCATAATGAACTTAGACAAGCCCAGCTGTTAATCATTACTAATGCCATGAATGCCAGACCACAGAGTGACTTGGAAAATGCGGAAATGGACTTGCTTCATTGATCCACCAGGAAATAATTTCATTTCGTCGTCGCTGTCATCCAGATATTAAATAATGCATGACTGGTTTCATGGTTAATACTGCAGATATATTTGTAGGATGAAGGATACATGTATTTTTTTCTGTCATAGAATTGACAAATAGTTCCACTCAACTAAAAATGTAATTAAACCAATGCTTGCATGCAGCCCATAAACCTATTTTGCATATAATTAAAATATTCAGAAAGGTTTACTATTTCATTTATTTATCACCATATATAATTTTTTTAAAGACAAATCATCAGTATTATTGCATATCAGTGCACTTCTTGCATAATAAAAATTGGTAGGATGTACAGTACAGTACGTACACGTATATAAGTATAATTTACATACATGTATCAACTTTGTATAGCACGGTGCACAAATGACAGTAAAGACAAAACATGACGTTAAAAACACCTTGGAAAGTACTGTCCATATAAAATTGACAAATTTGAGATTTAACAAGTCAACATCAGAAAAGAAAGACATAAAAAGACTGAAAATAAATACATTCAAAGTCTGAAATAGCCATGAGGCATACTATACCTAAAGTTACGGCAAGTCAAAAGTAATATTTCTGTTTATCAACACTTTGTTAGCATTTCAGTTGCGACAATAATTTGTAATTGTAATAAAAGCAAAAATTCTAAATTCTTTTTGCATAAAAAGCTAAATAAAGAGAAAGACACAGCAAATTACACATATCAAACACCAATTATGCATCAATCATCAATGATGAAGCAGTTTGTAAATGCTAAAACAAATGAACATCACTCCTATCAATCGTAACTCTGAGTAGAAGTAACATCTGCATAATATGACATCAGTGAAGTTGGACAGCTCATTATGCTCATCTTTCAAGATTTATATCTGGACTTCCACCTTTTACAAATAAATCACTTGGAAAACATTCCAAATTTCCTCCAGTCTTTCTTTTCAATTGCAAATTTTCAGATGATTTTGTTTCCACCGAGGCAAAGATCTGTGTAGCTCATACCCACCTCTCCCAGCCCCCCTCCAAAAATGTTTTTAAAAATTCAATGGCACAGTGTCGGCTTTTTGAGAAAAGATGTGGGTTAAAGACCTCGTTGGGTGTTTTTCCTCAAATTCCTTAAAAATGAACACTTTAAAAGTCCAAAGTTATGAGAGTTTAAAAAATTAAAATAAACTATACAGGAACATTAGTTACTCAGTCCAGAAATGCTTACTGATGAAATTGGATTCAAAAGGTAGACTGACCATCAGTTATTGACTGCATCCGAAGAGGATTGTCCTCCATGTACTCTGATTCATCTAAGCGTCTCCAATGGTGACTGAAAGTAAGAAGAAAACAACAAAAATTGTCAGTAATCAAGAATTATTCACCATGTCTGTGCCAAATGTAACATGTACATGTAGTTGTTATTTCAAACTGAGGAAAATATAACACACCTCCATGTCAAGTAATTATAGTACCTTTTGTATGAAAAGATCATTATTTTCAAGTGTAGAATACGTTTAGCGGTACATGCTGTCAAGTGGAAAGTTTTTAAGAAATACTGTCGACTAAACTAGCTTTGTAAAGAATGTAACCTTGCCAGATGAGGCATGCACTACAAAGATCTAACAAAAGAAGCATGGTACGGTGCAATGACAATGGATGTTCATTGTTAGTGGACTGTGTTTCTTTTGTTAGATGTTCGTAGTGATGCCTGGTTTTGATTTGAGACTCAAAGGGGATTAGAGTTATTCTTCCCATATCACTTCTCACTGTACAAATCCAGCACAGGTGCATCTCTTCACACTGTGTTTACACTCACTTCAGATTGGCTGGTTGTATAGATGTGCCTCATGATATAACTAAAGTGGGCCTTTGCACAAAGGAATCTACTCATGTAGAGTTAGATGATGTTGTGTGGGCTTTCACATGCCCACACAATATTTTCCCTACCCTGAAAACAGCTTGCTTCAGAGGCATTTTGGGTCAAGGTTATCTGTGGTAGCATGAAGAGGAACAGTCCAGAAAATCATGGAATATTCAGTCTGAAGTGGTTATCATGGTTGGAAAAAAGGGAGCATTTTCCCAGAGTTTCTTACCCACAGGACAAATTTTGTCCATTCTAGTGAAACAAGTACATGTATGTGTGTACATGTACATGTGCCTTGACTTTTGGGGAGGTTTCACGAAAATATGTCAGTTGTACCACAAAGGTGTGTTCCAAACTTAATCTCCTTCAAGCACCTTGCATTTTAATTTGAATTTATTGGCTAATCTGATAAGTTGACTTCATATTTTAATATGAACAAGTGAAGAGAAAACCAAAGTTTGAAGCAAGGAATGAAATGTCACTGTCTGAATCACATTTTAGGGTTGTCCATTATTTATACATGTACCTGCAGCTGCATACAGTTACAGTACTTGCTGATAAGTAGTACTCACACTCTTAAGTAGCGATACACACAGTAACCAACAATAGCCAATCCAACTGTGACACTGAGTGCTGCAAGAACGGCTCCTATTACTAGAGAAATGACAAAAGATTCAAACAATTCTATTTAATCACAAGGATTTTTCTCAGCTGTCCTGACAATTAATCTGTGCTTTGTACGTTAGACGCACCTCACTTGGTGAGTCATATTGCTTCTCCTGAATTACAAGGAAGAATACGAGTAAAAGATGAAATACCCAGCCAACAAACTAATTGTTGGCTGGGTATTATAAAATCCAATGTCACAGAGAATCCCCAACACACTGCTTGTTGAACTTTGGATGGTACATTTCAGCAGTCTCATGAGAGTTTTAATGTATGTGTGTAAAAGGTGTAGACCATACGGTATGTCTAATCAATGCTCAGTTTACTGTAAACAGCCCAGGTGTGTGTTTCACTCAGATGAACACTGCAAACATTGAAGTACATTTCAGCAACTGTTCTCCATTAGTGGAAAGTGTTTAGTATTCTTTGTAAAGTGCACTCTGTCAGGAGAACCCATGATGCTTGTCCAGCATTGGAATGGAAATTATATTTAAGTGTTCAGTCATAACAGTGACATTTTCATTTTTTAACCATTGAGTGCAGTTTTTTTTTCTACAATTGATTTGAATATCTACAAAATATACCTGTACCACTGCTAATGTTCTTGTCTTTGTTAGGCGCTGTTGAAGTCTCGATAGTAGATGCAGCAGTTGTTGTCAAAGAGGGTCGGATCACTTCAGTACATAGGTGAACCTGTGAGTTGTTGACACTACAGGTGACTTGGTAAAGTTCAGAGGCAAGAATGTAAGAGAAGACACCACGGTCTGAGTTGCCATATAATATAGCTGAGTAAACAGCATCTGGGAAATCTGGACTTGGTCGGATCATGTATTCCCCAGATTCAAGGGGCCTGATGGCTCCACACAAGTCTCCATCAATGATTGCAGGTCGTTCCGCAAATTTCAAAGCAGAACCTTTGGTGGGTATTGGTGTAAGTAAAATCTCATCAAAATACTCACAAGGTGCCATTACACTGATGTAGTTGCTGACTTCAGGAGAGTTTGTGTACATAGTGGAGAATATGAAAGCCTGTTTTGTGAACTGCTCTGCTGGTGGCACTGTCACCAGAGCAGTGTCTAAAACAATGCTTCCTAGTTCAATGTAGTGAAGCAAAAGAAATGGTTTGGATCCCCAGATGTATCCTATTTGGTTCTTGCCAATAGCAATTTCATAAATCTGGCCATTGTTGAGAGTGGTATTTCCATGTTGATAGTTTCCTGTGGAGTGTCGTCCTGAATACCAAGTAATGTCAGTGTTTTTCCAGATAGCAACTACAAGGAAAATGTTTCCGATGTCCATGGAGTTAAGAGGCACTGCGGTATATCTTGTTCCCAAAGATGGTAAGGGGAACATCTGATCTAATGACTGCACCCAGCTAAGCTCATGTGATGTGAGATGTGTCCCCACAATGCCTAGCATCGGCATTTCTGAATGGAAATGACCCCCCATGAAGCTTCTTCTTGTCTGGTACTCCAACCATCCTCCAGTTCCTAAGTGGAAGTTTGCGTCCACTGGAATATCCTCATGATCACGAACGGTGACATTAATGTTTGGCCTAAACTGAAAGGATGTGTCTGGTTGAATAGCCACAACAGTAAGCTCTGACAAATGATCCTCGTGCATATACGGCGAAGTTACTAGATAATACTTGTCAAGTGATGCACTAGGGATTGCTGTAAAGGCACTCAGACTTCCGCCGACCTTGACAATAACTGACACCGTTATGTTGACATCTGCAGTGATGTTGAATATAGCTGGAGTGGTGTTAGTTGCTAAAGGTTCAAGTGCAGAAATGTGTAGCGAAAGAGAAATGATTGGAGGTGCAGCATCAAGGGTGAAACTGTCCGAAAAGTTTCCTGATAGAAGATTGATGGTACCGGTTCCTGTGGTTGTTGAACTGGAAGTATGAAAGAAATGATCAAATATTATCAATATGTCAATATGTGTGAAAGTGCCATATAGTAAGTTAGAAGGGTTGGGATCTGTCATGATGTTTCCTAATTTCAGGATTTTTTCTAACATCTTGAAAGTCTTGAATATACGATTGAGACATTTTTACATGTAAAAAGTGAAATACAATGTAAGAAACTCATATTTTAAGGGGCGTCTCGAAGCAAACACAAATTTATATCATAGACTCTACACTGCTTTGGGGCCCTCTAAGCCTCTGGTAATTATTTCATGAATATTTAACATTTTCTTCTAATCTCACCCCCGGTTGGGTGACATTTTGTGAAATAAATTCCTTTTTTGAAATTTATTTAGAGTGACTTGTGTTCCATGTCTGAATCCTTTTTACAAAACTGATTTCTGAAATTTCAAAACGAGAGAATAACTAAATACTTTTCATAAAAAACATGATAGCTTCCTACCTTAGACAAGAAATACAAGCGATTTGAAGGAAAGACCCCTCTTCTGGTAAACCAGTGGTTAGTGGTACAGCAACTAGAAAATCTTGTCCATAGAGTTGTGTTGTCCGATTTGGTTCTGTTCAAAAGGTTGATGTTGATTGAAGTTTACAGAATGTTTCCTGAGACTAGCAAGTTTACAAGCATTTTTCACGGTCAAACATTTAGAAAATAATAAGTTGCTAATGAACTGGTTTCTTTCTAAATTAATGATCCTCAACCTGTTCCCACCTGCTCCCCCATCCTGTCCGTCTTACCCAAACCTCTCCCAACCCTTTACCTTTTACCTCCCTCTGGCTATATACATGTACCTCCCCTGCACCTGTAAATTGATCAATTTTCACATTTTACATGGGCCACAAATCCCCTATAATCTTGTAATATGGAGGTAATACTGAATTTAATATCCTATTACCAAAGATGCAATCTGCACCAAGTTGTCATATCAGTCAAAATCAGTCAAACAACATTACGATATGTCTAGTTACTGAGGAGCGACAAGTGAAAGGAATTTTGGCTGTGACTGTTTCAGCAAAGGAGGGTTTTAATTAATTAATGCCAATTTCACTGTGTCAGGTTTGCAACTTCTTTGTTTTGGATGACTTAGTAGGGACATAATTGAGTCTTTAATAGAAGCGTTAAGTTAGAGACTGGTCTTGCCTGGGGAAGCATACTATCTAACCTGCCAATTAGCATGCCGTATTCCTTCCTGAGGTCAGGCATTACCACACAATAAATTAAAATTTTCAATGAAGTGAAGGCTTATTTAAATACCTTTTAATCTATTGTGTGGTAATGCCTGACCTCACGAAGGAGTACTGCTAGGTTGGCAGGTCTGCATATGCTTAGTAAAGCATGTGTTATCATCATGCTTGCGGTAAGAAGAAATGCTAATGATTCAAAGGCTATGTCATTTGGACTTTAATCATCAGAACAGTGGTCAGTATTTTACATTTATCTCTAAATATGGAGCAAATTTTTATATTTTGCCATGTTTCCCATCTCTTCTAAAATTTTGTTTTCCCCTCAGAAATCTATCTAAGTTTATCATGGACCCATTCGTTAAGCCTCACTTCAGTGATTCTGAATCTTCTACCCGCATCATCAGTGAATAACATTTGTGAAATTTAACAGATGTAGCAAAATACATGGTTTTCTTTGAAGCAGAACTTTATTAACCAACCTGAGATATTGACAGCATTCAGCACTGGTAGAAGGACAGTAATGACAAGTGTTGCAAAGCTGGGGACCCATCCAAACTGATTCATCTTGCTGTATGGATGTCTAGAAGGTTATCACTGTTAGAGAACTGGAAGGAAAAGGAGGTGTAAACTTAACTTGAAGGCAGAAATGTAATAGCATCACCCCTATTATGTGTAACATCACGTCAGCTTTCAAGGTTGGCTTTAAATTACAAAACTGTGTAGACTTTGATCTTTTGCTCTGGTGACTAAACCAGATAACTAAACCATCTGCATTTGTTTCTCATTTTGTATTAAAAACAAAAAAAGCAAACAAAAGAAAACAAAGAATCAGAGGTACCGGTAATTATGAAAAATGATGGCCTTTTTTAATGTCTGTTGATTTTGCAGTACTTAAAAAACTTATTTTGGAAAATGAATGATTGCATTATTCGACCATCACACTTTTTGAGTGTCACAAATACTAACATGATGTGTAATACAAAACTGCTACAAACTGCTTGCTAACTACAGTGGCCTAAATTACAAATCACAAAATATGGAGGGCCTGATGTTTCGATGGTAGATCTTTCTCAATGGGAAAGGCCTTTGTCTTTGAGAAAGATTCGGCTAGGATCAAAATGTCAGGCCCTCCAAATGCAACATGTTTAAAAAGAGGTACAGTTTCTGTTAATTTTAGATACATTTTAGCAAAGTAAGAGAGTTCCTGCTTAGGGGAATACATTCAAACTTAGTAAACTTGATGTTTAATGCATTCAAATTGTGACGGATTAATGGAATATTGAACTTCTTTCTGTTGACTTATCTTTAGCATAGACTCTCTTGGTAAGTACAAATTATGAAAAAGTTACTGTAATCAATATAAATCTAGTAAAATAATTTCATGAACACAAATTCCATCTGCTAGTCTTCAATGGTGACATAGTTCATGAAATTAAGGTATGAAAAAGCTAGTTGCCACGGATCATGCCAAAGCAGGAGATTAAACCTGTCTTGTGGGAAGGCATATGCAGCACATTGACAGTTGTTTACATAACTAAGGCACTGTGGGCAGATTTTCCAGAACACGTCAATATTAAATAAATTTGGCAGACTAACAAAGTTTTTAAAGGAAAGAAAGGATATTGATATGCCAAATCTACAAGTATGATACTTTATGTTATTCAACTTTTGGGTGTAAATACATGTATCAAGTAAAATGCAGTATGTTTGAAATCATCAATTTCTTGTACATAATATTGCATAAGAGACATTTACGGCCACTACATACAATCTTACTAACATTAGAGCCTACATGATCTCTGTGTTTACCATCTTAAATAGAGGCTGGTACAGTACATGTATACTATTGCATTTCTTCATTGTGAAAATTAGTGATGTTGTGGATAGCATCATAACAGAGATGTCGTTTATGCTGTTCATTATTTCACAGAACTCACTGCAAACTTGTACGTTACTACTATGCCGCACTCCCGCGCCACGGTGCACCGCGCGCGGGATGCGGCGAAGTGCGACAGTAGGTCATAAACGTTGAGCTCTTTTTGCGGGAAAAATTCCATTTACGAAGTTCACTGTAATATCGCGTAATTACTACAAAAGTATCCTTACTTTGATCGCTGAATGAAGACAATTCCAATAGGCATTGAAGAGCTGAACATCGTAGGCAGGCTATACTAGTCAGTTCTGTTTAGTTATATGGCACAGAACATACTGCATATGTACCAGATACGTACTGTAACTCACCTATATCACCAGATCATGCAGATGGCATTTCATATCCGATGGCGCCATGCTAATATTTCATATTTTCTCCCGTGAAATTTAGAACATCTAGGCTACCTGTCAATCCGTTGCCCATCTATTTTTGTTTCGGCAAAAATACTCAACTTGTCTTCGCTTACAGAATCAGAATTCCTCAGAATTCCTCATGTACCAGATCATTCTGAGCTGCAGTTTATTATTTGGCTCGATGGGCCCTGAAACTACGAAAGCAGTTCAAAGTTTGTGTATGGTACCCGCCTCCTTCAGATTATGTCAAAACAAACCAAATGTCAACTAGTAGCAGAACATTAATGTTGCAACATCAACGAGCGAGAGGGCGCTCCTCAGTCTCTGCGCGTTTTGTTTAAGTGCGAAGTGGGTGTGGCCCAGTCGGATACCTTTTTTTGAGTTTGCCACATAAACTTTCACCAACAGCCCCCCCCCTCCGCCCGCCCAAAATGTTGAAGATGGAGGCTCTGCTGTTGAGTCGGGGAAATAAAGTAAAAGCTGCTGTTTCGTGTACATAAAGCATAGGCCCACTATATTTTTTAAACAAAAAATTCAGTGGCATCTACCCCCTTCAGTTCAATCAACTCAAAGCTGGACCAAGAGAGGGCGCATTTTCTCAGCAACGGAGGCTACTTTGGTCGGAACCACTGCAGGTCGGAACTTACTTGCAGGTTCATCAAAGTTTTGGAAATGCACGCCCTGTGGTCGCGTTTCTACCAACAAAATGAACACTGCAGACGAACAGTAGCTATTTCCAACCGATGAGGGGTGCTTATATGTTCAATCAAGGCGGATTGCGTCTACAACCACGTTTCCCGGACCTCAAACTAAATGGTTCAAAATTTGCCGTCTTCATCATCGCAGCGGTTGGAAGGAACTTTAGATCAGATTCCATGTATATCCATCTGTCTTAGTTTAATTTGTTGGACAAATTTTGATGCGTTTTCTATCATTTATGATTTAATTTGCAGGTTTTGTTTTGTTTTTAGGCAGTGATGGAAGATTAGGATAATACATCCCCAAAACACCACCCACGAAACTGAACTGGAACACGAACAAGTTCAACAGTGTGGCCCTAAAAGTCTTGATTGGTGAAGTTTTTATGGAAAATTAATTAAGACTTTTTGGGCCACACCGTTGAGGTGTGAAACTTTCCACCATGGGGGATATCTTATAAATCTTGTTTTCCGGGAGGGGGGGTTCCCAAGGGGTTAAGAAGACTGACTGATAAGCCATTGGTCGCCGATCTTTCAGGGGCGGGATGACAGATCCGAGTCCAACGCTTTCTAAAGTGACGGGCTTTGTCCTTGACACATATAAGAGACCAAATCCTTGCTACGTCTTCACACAATTGATATTCCCCGTAAATTGGTCGTTTTGCCAAACTGCAACGTAAATATCGGAGGTGGCATGTGGGACCGCGCACCTGTTTTCCTACGTACATGTATCGCTCTTTAAAGTTATGTTATAACTTTTAGCGCGTGATACTTCAACAAATGACACGCTGATACTATAACGTTTAAAGGTTTTCACATTTAATCGAAATATGTTTAATTACTTCTACACTGCTATTTCATGTTTTCCCATAGATTTAAAACTTGACATCATTTAGCTGTTAGCAGTACTATAAGTACAAGTTCAAGAGTTCGCAACTTACGCATAACAGATCAACTTCATTCTTAAGAAGAAAGCATTTCACATCGTACAAATACGAAAAATAAGAGATGTAAATAGAGGAACAGGCTTATTTGATGATGAAATGGGCTAGGGAATATGCTGCAGCATCCCCGTACAGTCGGTGAAATGAATACTTGTGGATAACCTAATTGTCAGTGGAAGACCACAACAAGAGCTTCATCAGGACCGAACAGAACAATGAATGTCTTTAATTACAAGTTAAAACGCAGTGGAGCTAACCGCGTCGACCAAAGAGGGTCATTGGGCTAGGCTGTTGATTTGTCCTGCGAATGTGGAACTCTACCCGTATATTGTAACGTCAACCTGATAACACCTCGTGCCCTAGATTGGGACCATATAATATTCTACACGAGTAAAATAAAATGAACTGAAAACCATTGTGATAGACGAGTCCTTCGTTTCAGCCAAGTTAGTACATGCCAGTGTATTTATATTGATTGTGGGACAGCACTGGTGAGTCATAAGAGGTTGAATCTTGTATCGTAGTTCCATTTCCTCCCTTGTAATGGCACCTTTCCTTAGCGGCTGCATCCAGCGTCTACTTCTTAGCGAAGATCCTCTTGCTAACCACAGCTTTGTCTCCAGTGCCGATGGTTTGTGTCTGTACAAGTTGACCATCAATCAACTCACGGACAACATCGATAGCCTCAGGGTTGCTCTTGTTATCGATTCGTAGTTTGGTTCCCTCCCATACGGGCATATAGGTGCTCATTTCCTTCTCGTTGAGCGGGTTCTTCTCAGTGAACTCCTGGCCCACGGTGAAATTAGCTTCAATGGTCCTGACTCCCTTGGTGACGACTTTGAAGACGTCTCCATCTTGAGTGATTTCCAGGACCGGAGTAGCGGCAGCTGCCATCTTACGGAGGGCAAAGTTGAGGTTCATCGCCTTGAGAAAAGCATCAAGATTCTCGTTTTTGACGAGTTTCCATGTCCCGTTCAGGTCAATGGGTGCCATGATTTATAATTTTTAACTCGATGCGAATCGTGTATTCGACAATGTACAGGTTTAGCTGTCTGACACACGAAAAATGAGCCTCCTGGCGGTCGATCGACTTATTTTTATATACGTTGTGTCTATGTACATGGGCAAAGTCCACAGTTTGCAGCAGTTATGCAATTTTGCTGTGTAAACATTAACGTCGTGATCGTTTTGTCGCATCCGAATGGATGCACCCAACCATTAAGACCGTGGTACCTTTCACCTGCATCTGCGCGGGTCACACCCTTAAACTTGTACCAGTCTGCTAGTAACGGTACTTGTACAGGTTATGTGTTGCTTGGCTACAAAATTATGACGTTACACTGTCTAAGTTTCTGACCACAGACACGTAAATCTGTTTCTGACTCCGAAAATATGTTTTACAGGATGCATGGGCCCACAGGATGGGTACATTTCCCTTGTAACTCGCGCTAAAAACACTACTTTGCAGACGTATGCAAGTCTCCTATGCTGATTCCACTCATCTCTCTGTTTACCTTGACAAAGGACTCATTCACCTGCTGTACAAAATTGATTTCATGGATCTCACCGTGATGCTTGGGATCTGGAATGTTATTGCAACCAACTGTCCAAGGCTGCTTCGGTGTACTTTTGAATATATTTTAGCAGGAGCTATCTACCCTAGATAGAATCAACACTACAGACGAACTTTTCTTCCTACCGTAACCAATTTATCAAGAATTCGTCAATCAGAACTGTTGATTGTACACTCAACAACTGTTTACAGTAAATCATGAGGAGACGGATACTTGTTCCCTTGCCTTGCTCTATGCTTAAAAGCCCGTTTACGTCGACAAAAATCCGGTTCTCGGTGGAACATTGGGCTGGTCGTTTTCTCAGGCAAACGGTCAAGCGCGTCAATTGACGATTTGGTGCTTTCGTGGAAAGTGTTCTTGGCCCCAGCCCACTGTTATGCTCATGCGGTGTATTTCCGAGTATCTACAATAATAAGCAATATAAACAATTGCCTTTCTACTTTTTGTACTTTTCGCGTGCTAAAAAGTGCTGGGGGTGATCCTGCGACCATCTCTTGTTCACTGGGTTAGAGGTCATGAAGTATGATCGTTCATTCATTAACAATGCGATATTTATGGGGACACAGAGAGCACACTTAACAATTTCTTATCTGTAGTTAACATGTTGTAAATGGATTATGGTCCACTTATCCAGACTTAATGATCCCCTAAATTAGCAACAGAAAGCATATTGGCCGATAATTAATTTATATCAAGTAGTGCTTCAGTGACCTCGATCACTGCCAAGGGACAAGGGTCAAACACTAGTAAGTGTTATAAAGTGTACGAAAAATAAGTTGCTTTATGCAGAATTTAGAAATACTGAGACTGTGAAACAAACAATTCTGGTTAATAACAAGTGAGGATGTTTTTGAAACACTGATTTATTGTGTATGCATGTACATAATATTTACAGACAAAATATGACTTGAAACCCTACAGAACAAATTTCGAAAACATTTAACACATAAAACATAGCAAAGCCATTATCAGAACCGTTACCATTTTCTTGATATTACAAAGTAGTCATAAAAGTTTCTATGATAAATCTTCAGATGATAGATTTGTAGTTTTTCTTGTAATCAACTTCCTGTTGACAGGAATTTAATTTCATCTGATGAGCTCATCCCAAATCCGAAGACTGGGTGAGCGACACTAAAGGTTAACTGCAGCAGGATTCTAAGCTGTAAACCAGGTCTACCAACTGAGACATCCAGCCTCGTAGGCAATCAGAGATTCCAATCCCGGTTCAATTTTTGTTTGTTCAATATCCAGCATCTAATCTGTTAAAAACTGTTACTTTAAATAAATCTGTCTCTGTATTAAAAATGACAGTCCCACATGTCCACAGAAAATAAAAACCTGTAAAAAACAATTAAACTGAATTGTGAAATTACAATGTTTCTCCGTTTTCTTGTTCTCTGGATCGTCTTTCTTGGATACAGCTTTTTCAGTGTTCTCTACTTACACAAAAGTCAATCTACTATGGTCCATTTGCTACCAGGTACTGAAGTCTGTTAGCTCTGAAGATAGCTTCGATTTTTTCCTGGATGAAGTTACATCTGTCTTGACTGTGGCTTCAGCTGATCGCTTGCTTGTACTGTGGAAATTTATGAATATCATAAGAGATTAATTTTTCTATAAAGGGCAGAAGTAAGACTGATTTAAGCGACAAAAAAATTAGAGTTTCATAGTAATGATGGTTAAAAGGAAATATATCACAAGAAAATAGAAAGGTTACTGTCCAGCGTTGACCTTGTTTCTTCACCGGGTGATGTAACCGTTGATGGGATATATTTCCCAACCCCTTTCCTGTAAGTGGCTGGTCTCTCTTCTGAAGCAGGAGGCACACCGACTGTTTTAGGTTTGCTGTCTTTCTCAGATTCCAGTTCCTCTTGCTTCTTCCTCCTTTCATTTGCAAGCTTTCCAAAAATTGAAAAGTACATACAAATTTAAACAAATGAAATAATTACTGATGACTCCCTGAGGTTTACAAATTAAATGTAATTCAAACCCTTTTATTACACGTTGGCATCTCCTTGAGTCAGTACTTTTGGCATTTGCTATACTGGATTCTGTTGGATTCACATTGAGATGCATGCAGTCAACCTCACAAAACTTAAGCACTGTGGAAATGTCTTACCTCCTCATCAACTTCATCAAAAGGATTGACAAAGATGGTTGCATCTTCAATGGTGATTGTCTCTTTGGGACGGTCCTTCTTGTCTGTCTCAATTCTCTCCATATTAGATAAGGTGTCAATACCTCCAACTACCCTGTAAAATGGACAGAAGAAAGAATGGTTGACAGTCAGTTTGTAAAGGGTCTACGCAAGAACAGATGAGGGCGCTGTATGGTTTACTCAAGCCAAACAAAAATGAGAGCTCTCTGCAGGTAGATTGATATGCCTGAGTCATGTTTAGTGTGAGCAGTGTGCAGGACCCTCAACCTACACTGGGTGAAAATGGCTGGACAAAGAGGGACACAGACAGACAGATACAGCCTGACAAACAAGTTATCTTACCTGCCAAAAATAGTGTGTTTGTTGTCTAAATGCTTGCAAGATCTGTAGGTAATGAAGCTGGAAAAAAGTTCAGAGGAAAATAAGAAGCAAATAAAAGTTATAATGTATGAGGCAATTTGACTGACGGATTCCACATGAAAGAAACTGTGACTTGAATGGCATCGTTCATTCAGTGTATCCTGAACTTACAACTGTGATTTATTAGTATTTGGTCCAGAGTTGGCCATGCTGAGAACACCTCGACCCGTGTGAGAAAGACTGGCTTTGAATTCGTCCTTGAAAGCTGTGACCCATGCAGACTCACCACCTGAAATGGAAAGAGAAATATGGATGGTAAAAACCACAAGAAGGGAACAGCTCTCTTCTGAGTTTACACAGTTTTTTGGTTCATTTCTGGTTGAATAGCTTTATGTCCTGGGTAAAATTTAGAAAGATTTGTAAAGTAATAATTCATCACGTTAAAGCAACAAGGTCGTATCTCATATAAAAAACAAGTGAGAGTTACAACTTCGTTGCACTGACACAACGATTTACAGATTTTGTGTGAAGGGTTTGACAAAAATGTTCTTACCTTTACCTGTCCCTGTTGGGTCTCCACCCTGGATCTGAGAGAAAAAAATGAAAATGGTCATTGTAGAGAGTAAGGAAAGCATTAAATCTTCCAATGATTTCAACTTTCAAACTCTGATTTGATGCTATTTATCTACGTCTGATATCCTACTGGAGAGGACTGAATAAGCATTTCAAACTTCATTTTACTCGGGACCTCATACTGGGATTATCACCTGTTCTAATTGGAAATGTCAGGTGTGCCTATACCTGAAAGTCTGCTTATGTGTGTACAATTTTAGGAACACCAAAGACTATTTCGAAAGAATCTTAGAGAGAGGCCATTTGTATATTTCCAATGTCTCAGTCCTTGACAAGAATGGTTCATCATCAGTTTGGTGTCATTTGATTTTCATGTAGAGCTTTTGGACTTACCATGAAGTTTTTGATTGACCGGTGAAAGATTGTCCCCTTGTAATATCCCTTAGCTATCAACTTCAAAAAGTTCTCACATGTCTTTTGAACCTGAAAAGCAAGGAATAAATGTTTTATAGATTAAGATTCGAGTAAGCCTTCATGAATGTCGCTGCCTTTTTTCTGAAACAAATTTGAGAGAGTTTTGACTGGTTTCATTGCTGCTGTTTTAATAAAATTGCAATGTGAGTGATCCTGTGGGAGTTAGCTGTGGCTTACCAGATCACAGTGTAGTTCAAGGTTCAGATTTCCATGACTTGTCACCAGCCGTACGTAACCTTTCTTCTTGACTCTCTCATACCTGATGACATCTTCATCAATGACGGCTAAATAGTGAGGAGAGAAAAGAAAAGAATAATTTATCACACTTTCTGTGGACTATCTATGGCCACAAGAAACCAAATGCACATGCGAGTCCCTTATGCCACAAAATAAACAGCATATGTGAACCTGTGAAATGATAATTCTCCATACTCGTTCTCCTTGGCGAGTTACACAGCGCCCTCTTCCATTTATGCACAACCATCTTAAGTAGTTGTTGCTATCTGATCAATTGCTTTGAGGATTTTAGAATGACATCATCATTTGTATTTGTTACCCAAGCTTACCAAACAAAATCTCTGAAAAATTACACCTAAATCAAGTTTACGATATGACGGCCCAAGATTTCCAAAATTAGGGACCCATTATGCAACCACATGACTACAACTGTGTGGTTACAGAACAGCTCCAGCAACAAGTACCAGCTAAAGCAGTGAACTATTACCTGCTTCATGTGTTGTTAGTGGAGTCATCACAGTTGATGTGAAACCTGCAGCTACCATCCCTGTACTGTAGTGGGCCTGAATCAATCAATTAATCAGCCAACAGGTTGTTACGTTGAGACAACAGTTTGGAGAAACGTATGACCCATAGTACATGTTTGCATACTTTCAAATTTCTGATCCGTAAATTATCATGTCATATTGCATGTAATTGCACTTGAGAAACAGAATGCGACACTCACAGCATTTAAATGATCCGCTTGTTTCTTCTCTTCTCTTTTCTTTTCCTGTAAAAAAATTCTGTTATTGCCACTTCAATGAATGTAACGAGCACAAACACTTACACAGAGACATTTCCTTTCCGATGATGATCCAAGAAACTCTCCTCAGATATAAATCATTGGCAGACTTTTCCTTTTTAATCGTTTTCTTTACTTATCCAACATACAGAGGGAACATATGTACACCATAATTCCATAAATAGTTATCATATAATACCAACTCGACTGGATTTTGAAACACTTGGAATTATTGGCTGATTCCAACCTACTCATTGTCTGTGACAGAGTAAAATGAAATTCCTCACTGTTGGTTTGTAGTCTCGGTACAATTCTTCCAGGATGTCCTTAGTTTCTGCATTGGTTGATTTCATGTAGTACCTAGCTCCTTCTCTTGCTTTCTTTTCACCTTCAAGAATACGAACAACATCCTCATATTTGTAAATGCAAGGTCAATATTTGAAAGTAAAATAAAATTACAGTTCAACTGTCTTGAATTGGTCTAACAGTCTTCCTTTAAATGTTTCCATCTCCAACAAAAGTAAAAAAAAAAGGACAAGAATTATGAAGTCTTATATTTACTAAAACCCTTCGGCGATTAACCTCAATGTGTGACATTCTTTCTCAGTAGTTCTCTGTATGTGTTTGTATAACATCCAATCCTTTCTGCTTTCATGAAATCAAGATACATCCTGTCTGTTGACTTACTTTCTGTATCCACCTTCTGGTTCTTCTGCACATGGTAGAAAGCAGTTATGTTGAATTTATCAAGGTGACTGGGATCTTGAAGTACAATCAAATCCTTGCGTGTGAAGGGTTGGTCTGTCAGTAGATCCTTCCAATTCTTGGCTTTGATGTTGAGTTGATCAATGGCCTGGAATCAGGGACAAATTACCATGGCGTTGCGTTTATTGAGGAAAGAATGATGGATCTTGGAGAAATGTGCAAATCTACTGAGGCTTTGGGGTTGATAGTAGCTTGCCACATATCCCAGCTTTCATTCCTGTACAACATTAAAGGATATTTTCCTTCATTGTGTATTTTCAGCAAAAACAATCCACAAAGGCAGGTAAGTTTGAAAACAGAACATTACACAGTTATTAATACATTGTAATACATTATTTACTGCATAGTAGAAACAATGCTCACATCAAATAATTCTAACTTTCTTAGGGTAGTACCTCATAGGCATAGACATTGCCGGTGGGTTTGACGGCAACAATGTGAGTGTTTGCATTAAAGACTTTGTAGGTCACAGGACAGTGGTATTTACCTTGAGAAAAAAGACAGAGATTTGGCATTAAAACTTTGAAGTTGAATCTTGGAGGAGAAAACCCACTTAAACCACAATTCCTTCAGTACATGTAAAATGAAGCTCAGATGTTGGCATTACATGAACAGCTCTTCTCCAAATAAACTGTTTTCAAAATTACTCATTCATTCTAAGGTGACGTAATTCTGACAGATTATCTTGCTCAAGGACAACAGCACTACAGTTCTACTTTAATGGCTAGACTGAACCAATATCGTTAATCATGGCCAACATTCACACTCTGAGTATACATTCTGAGCATCTGGCCAACACTGTCTTCAACATTCCGAGTATGACTTACCATTTGCATTCTTGCGGAAATTGAGTTTGATAAGTGCCTTGGTGTCCATGGCCTGATTTATTTGGAGGAAAAAATGAAGACCAGCTCAGCAAAATTGGCAAAGAACCTGTCACGCATCAAATGCACTGTGCTGGTTAGAGGGATTTTTTTTGCTGCTCAGAAAATTTGTTCACCACAGCTCAAAGAAATTACATGTAAATAATGAACTTTCTCACAGCAAGCCTACACTTTACCTCTCCAGTAATGGGGTTGGTTCCATATTTCTTGAGGTATGGGATGATGCTGACCAGATCAAAGATGACTCCATCTTTGGTGCAATAAGGATGCTCAAAAGGCTGGAACGACAAACTAAAAAAAATTGGGGGTGATTTCAAAGCAAGCGATGGCCTGGGTGAATTTACTGACTACCTATGTAATAATGTTAGAAAATAGTTCAGTGTTATTTCATTTCATTACATGACATGCCTCTAACTCCAAAGGGTGCATGTGAAAATCTTATCGAAATTAAAGGATTTAGGACAATTAAAAAATGTATCTGTTGGGGGATATAATAAAATTGTAGTTGGCATGAATTTAAACCTATGATACCTGCAGTGGTCAAATGGCAACCGTCGAAAGGCTGCACGTTCCCCAGTGTCTGTGTAAAACAAAATAGATCACACATGTGATAGTTTGATATGGCAAATGAGCGCTTGCTTTGATTCATTTTATCTGATCCTTGTAAGTTTGACAGAGTTAATAGGATTAAGGTTTTACCCCAGCATTAGAACTTTAAAGTTATATTTTTGGAACAATACCATCCCAACAAAATAATGCATCGCAATATTTAGTTCAAAGCATCTACCTAGTTTCTTCCCGCCATAGAATGCTGCCCACTCTTTGGATGTAATGTACCTGAAAAAAAAAGGATAGCAGAAAATGAGGAAATATATGCAGTCCACTGAGTCCAATAATTAATTTACTTTTTTGTCACATGTTGAAACGTTTCAGCTTCAATAAATAGCTTGATGTACATGTACATGTACACACATGTAGGTGTACTGTGCATTGATGTGTTTGTGTAGGATCCTTGGAGCTATGATCATGGTACTGAAAGCCAAATGACCCAACTCATACACACAACACAAGCAGCAAGAATGTTTCTTTCATATTTTCTCATGATGTACATGTTATAACGTGGTGTGGCTTATACATGTCATAGGAAGCATTTGTTTTTTGGGCAAAGTATTGGAATTTCCGGTCAGTTCAATTGTAGGGCCATGTATACAGAGGTAATATCAATCGAATACACTGGCCATACCATTCCTGGAGTCAGAGGTTGTTCCATCCATTGCATACACATCTGGGCAAGGGGGCAACCTTCCCTTCATTTGAGTCTGTGTACAGGGATTTGTATGTTTTCCTCCTTCTTTTTGTTAAGAGTTTTTATTCATTGTGCATAAACAGTGAATTTTCAGACATAAAAATTAAGAGTTTGGTCAACAATTCAGATTTTCCCCATCATGCCCATAGACAGACAGACGAAAAGGTGACTGTGAATTTGGGGACCCCCAAGTTTTTTTGTCATTTTAATCTGTGCGAAACTGGCCAATCCCCCCAAAAAAACCAAAGGTAATGCTGTCTGAACTGCCCTGACCCTGTATTTTGAAAATGTCAAAATGTAAATTGTGAGACGATGTGAGTTTCCTACTGATAAACCAGCTATGCAAATTTGACTCCATCAAGTATCAGGTTTTAAACACTCACAGGTTCCCCTCATAGAGTATTTTTAAAACGAGTGGATTCGGCTTTAGACTTTGGTTTCATTGGTTCCAGCCATTAGAAGCAGCATTCAAAACCACATGTTAAAGCTCTGACTGGAACCAGCGAAACAAAAGTCTAAGCCGAATCCACTTGTTACAAAAACGCTGACAATTTCTCTAAAAACTTAAAACCCTGCCATTTTTTCACAGTCATCTACCATGTCTACAGGAATCCAAAAGGTAAAATGTAGGTCTCCCACTAGGAACAGGGTCCCAAATTCCCAATTCCCAACAACAACACTATTTTGCCCTTTTTGAGTCCTTAGCGTGAAGTATGGAACAGCCACCAACTGACCAAGAGCCAAGACTCAGTGACGTCATCCCCACCGTGAGAATAACAACACAGCGTGAGGATGGAACAACATTGTGGTGATGCATGAAGTTGTACATGTACATGTACATACTGCCTGGGCCTACCCTTAGAACTGTGGGGTCCAACGTCCGCCCCACTCCCACAAACCCTAACAAATATCACTGCCTGTCCGCATCCATGTACGGCCTCAACAGAAAGTGTTCACAGTGCGACAGCACGCTCACGTGCACTGCCACCCAACGGCTGTTGCCTGTCACTCCTACAATAATGAGGAGCCCTGTGACTAGTCAGTGTGATCCCCAGCACGCCACAGCCGACTGCCATTTCAACCAGCGTGGCTAAGATAGAATTACACACACACACATATGGAAAGCAGCTGCAGCCAATTTCTATATCTTGTGTATCGATCGCAGCCGTAGTCAACCATTTGGTTGCGGCTCGTCTTTGCAAGTACATGTACATATGTGAACCGCATGACTCTTGGACACTGATCGGGAAACATTTGCACCTTGTTTTTGAAAACGGCTTGGTTTGGGCCTTTTTTTTTTGGTACTCAGAACGAAGGTATGCTAGACCCCATCTTGTATAGAATTCTTGGGGAAAATGGAGCAGTATTTCCAGTACACAACTAGAATAAAATCCCTGTTCGTGCCTTGTTGAACGTCATGCAGAGCCTATGGCGAAAGAGGCTAATTTTCTACACAGTTCGTACATGGAGGAAGGAGGGGAGCGGGGCAGACATCGGACCCCAGACGAGCCACAGCTCTGGGGCCGGTGTATAATTACCGGTAGGCCCCTACCGCGGCGGAGATGCGAAATGACGTTCTTCTGCAGAACCCAACATCAACGACTGCATAGTTTTATACAAGAATAAAGTTTTCTCAGCACTTACATCTTATCTGATTGATGTTGGCGTTTACCCATCTTGATGAATCCAATGTACAAATCGAACAAGCTTTTCAAAAACCCGAAAAAATCAAACTTGTTTGGGAATATACAGGCAGAATGGACTGCGACTTCTGAAAAACACAGTATATTGCAATAGCGCCCTCTTTCGTCTCATACCTGCCATCATTAGTGAACAGAATGGGCGGAGCTTCTGGAGGATACACAATCTCATTGGTCAAAGCAAAATGCGAGGTTTAATTCGATTCGAAAGGGGAACCAAGATGGCAGCTACCTTGAAGGCAGCGACAGCAAAAATTGGAAACGTTTTGCTGGATAGCAAGAAAGAATGGAGAAAGGTAAGGTTTTTAATGAGCATAATGCTAAGTGTCTCTCTATTCAGTTATTGAATTTCATTTTCCTAAAGTCGTTTGTTGTGGCCTAGTTTTTGGGAGTTAACTTTTATGGGTTTCAGAACCAAATTCAACGCTGTGCATTTGCTCACAAGATAGAGGGCGCTTGAAATTGAACACCCTTAAAGTTTCTTTTTATCTTCCTCCGTCTATTTTCTATGGTCTATCCGTGTGGATTCTGAAGTTAAATGTGCTCGAAAAAAGGACTGAGCAAAGGGGGTCATGTTTGACAGGAGTCTTACTGCTCTACTTTGTAAATTAGTTTCTACGTTTGAAGTTGGGATTAATAAAAAAGGACATGAACAGAATGAAGGATAATTGGCCAGACATCCGGGAACTTCTGCATATTACTTAATACTAGCACAAAGGGTAAATTTGACCCTTTGCTGCATGTTAAACAGTTAAATGTTTGTAGTGACGTCCAGCCCCACTAGTGTGGCACGGACTCTCACTCCTGATCCATCCTTAGCCACACATCTGTTTGCGCAATTTCGTGTCGGCGTATTGAACATTTTGGCGCACCCACTTATCATCGTGGGCGCAATTTCTTTTGCACACGAACATGATTCTTGACCTTTCCGCTTTCTAAAAACCATTTATTGAATGATTTCACTCTCGTTATTCAGGTACATGTGTGTATTTTCCAGTCTTTTTGCCTTTATCCATTCAATCTAACAGGCTCACTCTCACAGTCGCCATCTTTAAAATAAGATCGTTGAACAATAGGTCACTTGACCCCTGATAGTCTTGACGGCTGTTCCATGTCAAGATATGTAATAAACAGACTGAGCGATAAGATACTACATGTACCAATGGCTCTTCCAAAACTTTGGCAGCAGCTTAGATGTCTTGACATGGAAGAGGCGTCGAGACGATGAGGGGTCAAGTGACGTAATGTTTAACGACCTAATTTTAAAGATGGTGACTGTGAGAGTGAGTCCGTTAGATTGAATGGATAACGGCAAAAAAACTGGAAAATACCCGAATAACGAGAGTGAAATCATTCACTAAATAATTTTTAGAAAGCGGAAAGGTCAAGAATCATGTTCGTGTGCAAAAGAAATTGCGCCCACAATGATAAGTGGGTGCGCCGAAAATGTTCAATACGCCGACACGAAATTGCGCATACGGATGTGTGGCTAAGAATGGATCGGGAGTGAGAGTCCGTGCCACACTGCTGGGGCTAAATGACGTCAAGCTGACTTCAAGAATGTCCCGGTTTATGATTACACAGGTAGGTGATTAGTCAGTGTTATGCACATGACATGGAATAACATTAGGCCTAGTAGTACAAGTATCTTTCCTCCATGATCAGATGGTTAACACTGTCGTCGTTGTGTCTGTCATCTGGACCAAATAGAGTTCCGATTTAAAGTCAATGAGCATCCAAAGATTTTACAGTTATGATAGTCAACTTTTGATTCCAAGTTACAAACAGTGCTGATACACGTGCCCAAATCATACAAAATTAAAATACATGTACATTATCGATGAAACTTGAACAGTTTTCAAACTGGACAGTCCGACCATTAGTCATGATTAATCCATTAAGCCCCACCCCTTTGGGCTCTATTATAAGACCTTGGGGGGCATACCCCTAAGCTGAAAACAATATTGTGGATATGTATCTGCAGGAATGGGAACCCTCTTCCATGCTTCTAAGTTTTAGGGGAGGCATATTTTCAATCAAACATGTCTGATGAGATTCCAACTTGCAGGTCATTCTAAGAATGGATGCAATGAGTTGTATTCACTGAGTTTGGGCTTGCACCAGAAGGTCCTAGTTTCCCAGACTACACAATTTCTTGAATGTGTACATTAATGTTCGACAGAAACCAAGAAAAGCTACACCACAGAAGAAGAGACCTCATTACAGCAAGGTAACCATCTTTAATTTGTGAATGTAAAGCCAAAATCCTATTTATGGTGTATTTGTGACTGATTGAAATATTTTTCCTGAGATGAGTAGGTGTTTATTGTAAGGATGTTTTTGTGTTGGCTCTACCTGTTAAGTAATTTGCAGGTTATTCAAAATTGTGGGGTAAATTTTCACAAGAATGTGTTTCTTTTGCTCTTAAGGGCCTGGATGTCTGGGTGCATGATACCAGTGAGGTGTGGCTACCAGCTACTGTGGCCTCAGTTGGAAAAGACGGTAGTTTGTGTGTCAAGTTTGAAAATGGAAAGGTGGGTGTTGAGGTTAATTTATTTAAAGATCCAAAAATTCCAAGACCTGCACGCTCGGGAATTGTCCAGCTGCTAAAATGAATCCCATCAGTGCATGACAAAGCTTCTTCTTTGCTTATTTCATTTTTTCACCAGGAATCTGTGGTCAAACCAAAAGGAGACTATCCTCAAGTGAGTGGGATCACCCAATACTACGAAGAGACAGATGACCTTACTACACTCAGCCCTCTCTGTGAAGCATCAGGTACTAAACTATCCTCCACTATCCATTTCTTCTCTTCTTAGCATCCTGACCCTCTAACAGACTCCTACGCTCAAACGTTATTGCATTGGACTATCAGTAACAATGTCACTAACGATATCTTCTATGCAATCTGGTTTCAGTTCTTCACTGTCTACGAGTACGCTTCTATTCAGGATCTTGCAGCACCTCAGCAGGAGTAACTCTGATTGCAGTGAATCCCTTCAAGGAATTGAAAGGTTGTTATGGAGAGGAAGTCGTGCAAAGATACAGAGAAGGGTCAAAGGTCAGATATCATTTTGACGTTATGATTTGAAGTAAAAGTGTTTTGATATTAGAGTAGTTATAAAAGTAATGGCTTAAACCATGATATGAGCTTTCATTCTATGGATTTGTCTTTGTATGAGCTTTCATTCTATGGATTTGTCTTTGTATGAGCTTTCATTCTATGGATTTGTCTCTGTATGAGCTTTCATTCTGTGGATTTGTCTCTGTATGAGCTTTCATTCTATGGATTTGTCTCTGTATGAGCTTTCATTCTATGGATTTGTCTCTGTATGAGCTTTCATTCTGTGGATTTGTCTTTGTATGAGCTTTCATTCTATGGATTTGTCTCTGTATGAGCTTTCATTCTGTGGATTTGTCTTTGTATGAGCTTTCATTCTGTGGATTTGTCTCTGTATGAGCTTTCATTCTATGGATTTGTCTTTGTATGAGCTTTCATTCTATGGATTTGTCTCTGTATGAGCTTTCATTCCATGGATTTGTCTTTGTATGAGCTTTCATTCTGTGGATTTGTCTCTGTATGAGCTTTCATTCTATGGATTTGTCTTTGTATGAGCTTTCATTCTATGGATTTGTCTCTGTAGGAGCTTTCATTTCATGGATTTGTCTTTGTATGAGCTTTCATTCTATGGATTTGTTTTTGTATTTTCAGAGCAATCCACCTCATGTTTATGGCATGGCTGAGAAAGCTTACAGTCAGATGAAGTTAGGTTTGGATCCAAAAAACCAATCAATTATTGTCAGTGGAGAAAGTGGCGCTGGCAAGGTCAGTATTTTAATTCATCCTTTTGGTTTGGAATGGAAGGGTACCTTTTGAAATTTAGAATTAAAAGAAACTAAAGGAAATGAATTTTCCATACAACATTCAGCCCATTCAGTTTCGCATTAATGTTGTCATTTTATACGCTGTTTTCATTTCAGACATGGACAGCTCGATGTCTCATGGAGTATCTAGCTACTGTAGCTGTCTATAATCCAGGGTATGTGGCTCAAATCAATTAATTGCATTATCTATTAACTTTGACTATCTCAACATGTTTTAATTCAATTTTGAAAATGTTTCCATCTATACATTATGTGTTGTGGCTATATTTGATGACGGACTTACTTTTCCTCTTGCGAATGACTTTGTTTTCAGTGGTTTTGAGCCTTCTCCTGGAGATTGCATCAAGACAAGAATCCTTGATTCTAATCCAATCCTAGAGGCATTTGGTAACGCTGGCACAGTTAGAAATCATAACAGCAGTCGCTTCGGCAAATACATACAACTCCAGTTTGACAGGTAAAAATACCTCCTTTGGACTGTGGAGCTGACATTGTGTTTAGGGGTTCGACACCTCATCACCTGAACTTTGAACTTGCATTGTCTTGTTTGTAAGTGACATCGATGACAGCCTGTGGAATAGTTCTTGTTGCTGCTGCATGAAATGCAGTATTTGGGACTGAATAGGAATATATGTCAGGCCGCTTTCAGTCTGACTGCATTTATGTTTGGTAATCAGGTTTCTCGCCTGTTGTCCATTCAACACTTTTGATCTGCCACGATGTGGGTAGTCATCCTTCAGATCAAGGTTGATAACTGACATTTCTACATTTGTAGTTAATGTTTTCCTTGTACCCAGGGGCCAGCATATTATTGGTGCATCCATTCAGACCTACTTGCTTGAGAAGACGAGAGTGGTTCACCAGTCAACTGATGAGAGGAACTTCCATATCTTCTATCAGGTATGTCTTCTCTACTCTCTCAAGGAGGTTTTTGTCTCCAGAGGGTGCCGGTGTTTAAGATTAATGAAGTGACTGAGCACCTGATCTCATTGAATAAAGACTGTTTCCTCCCCCAATTTCATTGCCAATTGCTTACTTTACTTTGAAGAATTGCTTTAGTCTGAAGCAATTCTCTCCATCCTGTTGCCTGGGGCTGGCGCAAAAAAGGAATGTTGAATAAAGACGTGTGAAGTATGTTCTTTGGATCATTAAGTTTTGAGTCAGTGTACTAAAGAATCTTGGTTTTATTTGTCTGGTAGTTGTATCAAGGAGCAAGTTCTGAGGAGAAGGCTATGTTTGGCCTTGGTCTGCCTGATTATTATCTAAAGTATCTCCCGATGAAATCCAACACAGCCAAAAAATTGGAAGATTGCCAGGCATTGAAGACAACGAGAGAAGCAATGGCTGGCATTGGCCTTACCCTTACCCACCAGAGGGAAATATTCCAGGTAAATGCAGTTCTTTGTTCAGCTGCAAAAACTTTTTAGATTTTCCTATTTGATACGCAGAGTGAGTTCTTTCAAATGGTGTAACTAAGTACACGGCAGTGCTTAGTCTTGTCAACCCATGCCAAATCTAGAAATTATAGAAAGCCCAGTTAACTCATGTCCGTAGCATTTGAGACACTTCCCAATAAGGGGATAACAATTCAATACTTGTCTCTGTATTCATTCTAGGTTCTCTCAGGTCTTCTGCACTTAGGAAATATTTGCTTCACCAGTGATGGAGAACATGAGTCATGTGACATTGATGAAGATAACAAGGGTAGGTTTTTAGGAGACATTCGAGCACTGAGTAGGATCTGGATTCATCGTGGTGCTTAAAGAAATACCTGGAGGCAAATTTTAGATCTATGAATTCATCAGAGCTATGGAAAACAACACTTTCAAACTACAGCTAAGAAATCTCTTCTCTTTTGCTGTGGGAAGTGTGAAACAGCTTTAAATGTCATTGAAAATGTAGCTTCCACATTTCTCTTGTTGATAATTGTTCATAGCAGACGCATTATTTAGCATGCTCTGATCAAATTTGCCAACCATTTTCTTTTCTTCCAACTGAGAAACAGTTTTGTTAGCTTACAATTTTGTACTTAGCAGCACCAGGCCCAGAGATGGAATTGCACTTAAATTGCACTCAGTAGCAGAGGATGGCGTGTTTTGGGCTTGGTAGAGTGCCATGCTATACACAAACCATGTAGTCAGAGATTTGTGGATTTGATTGTTGGAGTTTAGACTATCAGTTATCTTCGGAGTTTGCCACCAGACTGCTTGGTTTGGATGAGGAACAGCTAGAGAAATGTCTCATGTTTAGAAAGATAACAGCCACTCATAGCAAGAGGAAGAGTGTCTTCATGAGACCTTGTACAGTGGAGGAGGCAGGAACCAGACGGGATTGTATGGCCAAACTACTGTATGCAAGGTGTGTAAAATTTCAGTCTGGTTGCTCTATTGTTAAATTGTTGAAATTTGTGTGACTTGCTTGAGCCAGGCTGTGTTGTAGTAAGTCAGTCAGTTTTGAAATGTGTTTGTAATTATTTCAGTAGAATCTGTCGGAACAAGTGATACTTCTAAATGAAAGCACGCTTTTTTGGTACAATTTATTTGGTTCAGACTCTTTGATTGGCTGGTGTCCTTCATTAATAAATCGACCTGTGCTGGCCAATGGCACTCCTTCATTGGTCTCCTGGATATCTATGGATTTGAAAGCTTCCAATCAAACAGCCTGGAGCAACTCTGCATAAATTATGCAAATGAGAAGCTGCAGCAGCACTTTGTGGCACACTTCCTCCGAGCAGAGCAGGTAGGAAAGCTTTGTCATGTGACTTCTAAAGTTATCCAGTAAGACTGGTGAGACTAGTTACCCATTGAGATTGTGAAAAAGATCCAGAACTGTGCGTGTGTAAACCCGTAGGCTTCCTTGTGCTTTCAACCAATAAATTTCTTACATACTTGTAGAGTGCTTGTATAAGTTGTAAAGTAGTGAAGCCAAAGACTTGCTGGCCACAAAGCCAGTTCACAATCTCCCATTAGATCATGAATATGTTTTCAAGATCCTACATCCAACGCCCTACTTTGCCAGGGATAGTCGTTTATAAATCCTGTCATTAACCTGTTTGTTTTGTTACAGGAGGAATATTCTATTGAAGGAATTTCTTGGCAATTCTTCCGTTTTGCTGACAACCAACCATGCCTTGATGTCATTGAAGGCAAATGCAGTATTTTCTCGCTTATGAATGAGGTAATGGATTTAAACATTTAGGTGGCTTTGATTCAATCAATTAGCAGAACTTGGGAAACTCCTTATTATAAAGTTGTTGCAGAAATGCTAGAAATTTCAAAGTTAGGCATGATCCAAGCTATTGAACTGAAGAGGATGAATCAATTGTATGATTTGGCTTGTGTCAGTGTGCAGAGTTACTCAAATTTTATACTGTCTGAAAAAAAAGAGAAAGTAATAGTCGACTAATTGCTTTGTATAGGAGTGTTGTCTGAACCGCCACACCGAGGCCTCAGCATTCAGCACCAGACTACTGGATAGCATCAATGGCAAACACATCAACAAACCACCTGTCACTGTCCGGTACCCTGCCTTCGTTGTCAATCACTATGCTGATGATGTTACCTACAATACACAGGGCCTCATTGAAAAAAACAAGGTAAATACCTCCAGTGGGACTTCAATTGATGCAGACTTTGAGGCAAGAAAAACTCAATCAATGCTGCAAAAATCCTGTGGAGGAGAATCTGATTGGGTATGATGGTGTAACAACGGGGTTTTCTTGGAAATTAATTGCTGTCATTCAACAAAATTTAGACAATTTGATTTGTTTGTAATCTGAATTGGTATATCCCCCCAACGCAGGACCACATTCCCATTGAATTGATAGAACTAGTCGCCAATAGCACTAAGCAGTTTGTCAGCAAGCTAGTACAGACAGATCTAGCAGAGCATGAGGTATGTGCTATCAAAAAACTTATTATTTTCTAGAGTTAGTTTTCTAATTATCCCAGACATTGAATGTATACATCTCTTTTCCGAAGTGCACCGTTCTAGTTTGCCAATTTATCTCATCACATGCGTCTTCTACATGTGTCTAGAATTGTGTTTAAAGGGGAATGAATGTGCTGCCCTACCAAGTCAACTGAAGAATTTGTATTAAATGGAGCAGAAATTGTAAATTGCTTTGTCTGTCAAACCTGTGGTTAATTTGCAAATTGCTGAAGTAATTTTTATTTTACTGTAGATCCAGCCTGTCAAGAGTGGAAAAATGCAGGCAAAAACTGTGGTCTCCAAGTTTAAGGTAAACAGTTGTCCTCAAAATGGTAGATTCCTCATCAAGCACAGTAGGCTAAAAACAAAGCATAAACAAAAAACTTTGATGGAAAAACTTGTCCGAGGGAGGCTCCCAGCCCTTTAAGATTTGAAGTGAGGCTTGAAAGTTTTGTAAATTTACTTTGAATTTTCAGACCTCCCTAGATAGCCTGATGACCATACTAACTTCCACGACACCACACTACATCCGTTGCATCAAGCCTAATCTAGCCTGTGTGCCAGACATCTTTGATAGTGGCCATGTTGTCTCTCAGTTGAGGGCTTGCGGTGTGCTAGAGACTATTGCCATCAGTGCTAAAGGGTTCCCTGCCAGGTTTGTGTATACATGCTTCAACTTAAAAAGAGCCATTTGAAACAGGTTGGGCTAGATTAAGAGAAGGAGCAGATATAGGTTTAAATCTGGAGCTAAAACAATATAGGTCATTCATTTTGCAAAATGATTCTCTTGAGATACATTTTAAGCAATTGGTACCGTGTTTTTGATGAAAGGTTTTGTCCCAAGTACTCAACCGACACACTTATATTCCTAACGCCAGAAAAATGAAAAAGTTCATTGGTCTTAGAATGAGGTTGAGTTTGAAAATGCGGAAGCAATAAGCAAGTCTCTGGAAATTCTATATATGTTTGTTTATAGAATTGCCTATGCAGAGTTTCAGCAGCGCTATCAAGCTGTGCACAACTCTATACAAGCTGCTACAGGAATTAACAAGGACAAAATGGCGAAGACATTCTGTGTCTCTCTCATGGAAAGTGTGTTTGGTGATGAAGATAAGGAAAATGAAACTGCTGGGACACAGTTTGGAAAGACCAAGGTGTTTCTACGTTCTGGGCAGGTATGGAATGGTCTGCTTAAAAATGTGGCCTCATCATCATCGTAAGTTAATAAAGAGCCATCCAACTTCAAGGTGAAACAATCCATACCACTTTTTTGTAAAATTGTTTTTCCTCCAAAGCGTCTGCTTCATTCCATTTCTGTGGAATGATGGCTCTTGTAAATTGAGAGTTCTGCTTTTCAGATGCTCTCGCTGGATGCCACTTTGGTTTGATATCCTTTGACCTGATTACATGCAGAGAAGCTCAACGGGAAAGAAAACAGTGAGCTTAAAGCAGAATACACCTGCTGGGTTCTGATAAGATTTCCCCTTTCTGTCTTTCCTGGTTTCAGCTTGAGGAGCTGGAGAGACTGAGAGCCTTTGCCTTGATGGAAGCAGCTACTTGCATCCAACGATGTTGGAGAAGATACCAAAGATGGCACAAAGTCAGGCGACTGGAGGCTGCCACATTGATCCAAGCAGGTAAGGAGACAGGGTGTGTCTCTGGAGCTTTGGTTTCAAAATTGTTTCAATTCCCATCAAAGCTTATTCTATATGGACCACCTGTGCTTCAGTCTTATGATCAGGCAGCGTCTGGTTTTGTCTTGATAGCGTACCGTGGCTGGAGAGTACGTCTGTGTATGGAAATAATGAACGATGCAGCAAGGGTCATACAACATGCCATGCTGGAATACTGCATCAAGAAACAGCAAGAAAAGGAACTTCAACGGCTGGAGCTAGAGGCCACCAAAAAACTGTCCCTGGAGAAGAGTTTAGCTCATGTTGATGACTGTCATAATGCAGACAGTTGCTCGTCAGAGGATGAGGCGAGTATATCACATCAGCTTTGATTTCTGATGCAACAGAGTAGTCTGAAAAGTTGTCCTGAAGTCTGAATTTCTTCCAGAATTTGAAAGAAATCAATCCATGCAAGATTTGGGAATGAATTTGATATATGTGACCCCTCTACATCCCAAAACCAGGCTGAAGTGGGTAATTTCATATCCCTCAAAACAGTGGAACTTCCACTCTTCATTTCTTCATGGAAGTTCCACTGCTATTGTTACCCGTATAAAGCTTTCTGGAGACAGAATTTAGACTCTACATGGATTATCTTGAAGGGTGAAAGAGGTGAGGGAGAGGACTTGTCAAACATCACAACTACCCACTTCAGCCTGGTCTTGAAAGAGTGGGTCACATTTTGTAACTTTTATATTACTTTGAGGACATCTCTATTTCATTTCAATTCCAGTAACCATGCTGCTAGTGTCAGAACGCTTTCTTACAATTTACCGTCTATTGTTTCAGCAGGAATTCCATGAATGTAGAGACAGACTCTCAGTAGCAAGAGAACATTCCATCTTGCTATCCTCACCCAATCATGAATCTCACCCCAACAACCAAGCATTACAACCTCCGTCAGTGGGACTCATAGACCTTCAACATCCCTCAGGATTAGCCCTATACAATTCTGGAATCTTACCGAGGAGATGTAGCAAGTGTGGCTCTGTCACAAATCCTCAGCCGGAGCAGCATGGTAGTGAACTTGATGACGACGAGGATGCTGACGACAAAGAAGTAAGACATGATGAGGATATACAGACAACCCAAGTGGGTCTTGGTGGAACCTTGGTTGGTATTTTCAAGAAACCTGCTGTTGATTTTGCACTTGCTGCTGTTGTGACCGCTTTATTATTAAAGGGACCGGTCCAACTTTGAAACAACCAACCGTTACATAGGCCTCAGTGGAAATAGAATCATAACAGAAATCTTTCAAACCCAGCATGATTTCCTGTTAAATTTCCAATTTATTGTGCAATAATCAGTGGCATTAATCCATTTATTTTATGACATCCAACACCTGTTTCAGTGCATTTTGTTGAGATTTTGATTCCAAATTTCTTAATGTCTACTCTCTACACAGCTTATAAACTGTTAGCTCAGGTTTAGTTTATGAGTTGTAAGGGATTCTACCAGGTATGTTTGAAATTCACTCTTTTAAAATTGCTAAGTATCTTTTTTGTATACTCATTTTCAGTGACACCTTTTTCATATTTTCAAAATTTCACATTAATACTTGAAGTACCTTGTACATTTATACGTATTCAATCATGTTTCTTTCATTTTTCACTATTAATGAAACAAAATATTCAGAGTATGGCTAGAATGCGATTTTAATTCGGTTTTTATTTTGTAGGCCTGGTGAATCAACAATTTATAAGAGTACTCGTTTAGTAATTTTTAAAACAAGAAATTTTCAATTACTAACGAAGTGCCTATGTAGATCTTCGGTTTCCTGGTTTTTTTCCCAGTACAAAGTTGAATGTTTGTTTTGTTGGAGTTGAAGGTAATTACTTTCTTACCACTTGCTTTTTGTTTTATTTCTGTCAAGTTGAAGATATCCAAACCCCTCTGTTTTTCATGTAAATTTACATTAAACGCATTTACCTTTATTTGTAGTGATGAGCTCTCCAATCGGTGGCGATATCAAATCATTGAAAGCCAAGAATATCAGAGTAAAAATAGACTGAAGTAACTTGCCTTTCTGAAGCTTTTCTCCAAATTTTTTTCAAAATCTTTCCATTTTAGTACCAACTTTGTGTAGCATTGAACACAAAAAGGGGGAACTCGAGAATTATTTACAACACATATTTTGTTCTTAATCAGAAATAAAATGTCTTCTATAATCATACGCGCTGAAATTATTCTCACAAAAAATGAAAATATGTAATAGAAAAATGGAAGTACTTTAAAGTCAAAATATCAGTATTCTCCTGATTTTATTCCTGCTCTGGCTACTCATGATGAAGGTAACTCCATGGATCCTAACAAAAAACATTGGAGAAATGCAAGGAACTCCATGATGAAGCCATTTGTGTATGCTCAATGCACAACATTCTATTTTCATAAATATTGTAATATTTAACAATTATTCAATGAAATAGCCAGCAATGTCTTGTAGAAATGTAGTTTTTGTATCCATGTTTTGCATGTGCTTCAAAAAACAAAAATCCGCTCACAACGGAAGAACGTAAACAACATGACTGACACTAGCATGAATATATCTGAAGCCAAATGAAGGTTTAAAATGATTTCTAGAAGTATTGCAGTGTTTTTTTCTTAATCTTTCTTCTCTGGAGCCATGACTGTAAGAAGATGTCTTCCTCCATCTATGGTGATAAGTTCTCCTGTGACATATGATGAATCATCAGAGGCTAAGAATGTTATCACCTTGGCAACCTCATCCACAGTGCCTGTCCGACCCATGGCATGAGTGCGTTCACACTTCTTTAGAAACTGGAATTGGGAAAAAGTTGAAAATAACAAAAATGATTACTTCAAGTCAACGACCAAATAACCAGGGTAAAGCAAGTTTTGCTTTTAACCCTTCCGTAATGTTGTTTCACTACAGTTAACTTCAATGGCCTCCATACTTTATATATCAATTTACTTTGCATTTGTCCTTCGTAGCAGGCCATTTTCTCATTTTTATACAGCAGCTGTGGGCAAATATTTTCTGGCTTTGATATAACTGTATCCATTCTGTGTGCTCCATGCAGGAGCTTAGATGGTGTTGCATAGCTAATTAGATGAATATACTGCATTGCTTCCAGGGTTGACAACAGTGTAATATGTGACCAATGAATTTCAACAGAATGGGCACAAAAGGGAATGGTTTTAAAAGAGGATTATGCTTGCAGCTTGACCATGGGTGTGCAGTGTCTGTTGATAATGTCAATAATTTGCCTTTTAACCCTACATGATTGGCAAATGCACAGTCCACAACAGGTACACTCACCTGTTGATACTGCTCATCTGTCATGCCTCCACGTTTGTGCACAGCTGTTCTGATTACCCCTGGGCTATAATAATGAAAAGGAATATAAAAATCAATAATTTTGTGTCAATGGATGTTGTAACAAGTTGATGACTTTGCACATAAATGTATATATAAGATACATTTTTCCATTAAGACAGGAAAAAAAATGAAATGACTGAAAACTACTGAGCTTTGTGAGTTTACCTCAGATACAGAAGATTACAAATGTACCAACTGAGCTAGCATGGGAACTTTCAAGGTATAAGTTTGTCAAACTCTTGGTTGATATTAAGTACATGTACATGACATATGATTCATGTAACAAAGCCTTTTTTACACTGTTGGAAGCTACAGATCACCACATATTGAAAATGAATATCTGTGGTCTGAGGTTCCAAAGGTCTGGCCAACACGATTTCAAGACTGGAGTAAGTTTTAGACAAAAACAAACTTACTTGACGGAATTCACTCTTACTCCATGTGGGGCTAGATCTGCAAATTTTCAATCACACAAAATGACAATTATTAAACAGATATCTATCCATTGCAAATTTGAGAACATACTTTTGTCTTCACAAAACAGAACATGTGTTTGTGACCTTCTCTCAGAAGATGTTTTTTTTAGATTTTAGACACAACTGCTCTTTCAACAAATCCTGTTTTTAAAAGTAAACAAAAACATAACCTTAGTAAAGAACAATGTAACAAGGAAACACCAATTTCAAAGTGGGTCAATGTTTTCCTGCTTAGCTGGTCTAGAACCCACTTAGCATTTTATCTATAGAACAGTGAGCTGAGATAAGGAACTGTTGATCCTCCATGCTCTGATCTTGTGTCACTGCACACAGTCACTTACCATGTGCACTGTTGAGTGTTAAGCTATCCAGTGCAGTCTTTGACATACAGTAAGTCATCACCCCTGGAAACTGTAGGTAAAACAATTTCAAACATCATAACCATGAACAAAATGTCAATGGAACTGTTAACAATATATACTTTGAATTGTTATGGTGAAGGAAAAGTCTTTTCAATCTCTAATTTTTCTGTCTTTAGTATTTTTAACCACTTACCGCCATAATACCGTTGACGCTGGAAACATTCACAATGGCACCTTCAAGAAAACAAAAATATGCAAATTTACTGTATATTATATTAAAATTTATTATTAGTATTAAAGTTTAACCCTAACAGTCCTCAATCCTCCAACAGGTGAAGGATTGAGGACTGTTAGGGTTAATATTAATTTGATCTACAATCAACTGCATCATACATGAGAACACTGTTACAAAAATCAACCAAAATCAATCAATCAAAAATCAACTGGAACATTAAATCGATGGAGAAGTTTGGTCACATACAATGCTTGTTTGTTGTTTGCCACAGATTAACTCAAACTCTCTAACAATTGACTAAATACATAATGCTTTGTTCTATCTGCTCGAGTTCTGCCAGTCATTTTACCTTTGACAAAGGCTCTGCTAGGATTAAAATGTCAGACCCTCAAACATTTGCAACTAACCTTTTGTTTTAATGAGATGTGGTCTGAGTAAGTGAGTTAGCTGTAGCGGTGCTCGGACGTTGACATCAAACGTCTTGTCAAACTGTTCCACGGTGACTGTCTCAATGGAGCCAGGGATCACAATACCTGCATTGTTCACCTACAACGTAAATAATAAACAAAACAAATTCCAAAACTTCTGATATTTTCAAAATTCTAATGTGATTGAACCAGATAGTCTTACTAGTCTTAGCTATAGCAGTTTGTTTTTCCTGTGTTTTTTATGTGCATGCCCAACAACCTGTCAAAGTATTCAGCTATCCGTGTATTATAAACCATTAGCTGTAATGTCTGTGATGCATGGAACACTACCAGAAACTGGACATCTTACCAACACATCCAAACCCCCGAAGTACTCAATCGTTTTATCTGCAACCTTTTTAACATCTTCTTCTTTCCCCAGATCAGCTATGATGAGGAGAATCTAGGAGAAAGTCAGTTTGGATTAAGTGATTATTTAATTAATCCACTTGTTGGAATATGCATGTCACAAAGGTTGAAACGTGTTCTTTGCTGCTATTTTGCTGAATATAAAGTTCCTGTAGATGTCACATGTTCATTTTGCTTTTAATT